ATTAGAGTTTTGAGTTAAAAATTGCATTATTCAAAATACCTTTGAAAGAATGTGTGTTCAAGTGAAAAGAATGAGTTTTGAGTTAAAAATTACCTAATTTAAGGTACCTATAAAGGAATGAGAGTGTTTTGACGAGAGTAGAGAATTAAAATGAACTTATTCTAAAAAACTTGAAATAAGTACCGAGAGTGTTTTGATGTAAAAAGATGGAAACTTGGAGTAGAATTAAGAGTTTTAAGTTAAAAACGACCTTATTAAAGGTTGGTTTGAGGAACGAGAGTGTTTTTGAAGTAAAAAGTTTGAAACTTACAAAGAAAATGAGAGTTTTGACATAAAAATGACCTTTTTAAAGACGCCTTTGAAGGAATGGGAGTGTTTAATATAAAAAGTTCAAAACTTTGAATGAAAATAAGAGTTTGGAGTTAAAAATGACCTTATGCAAGGTACCTTTTAAAGGAAAGAGAGTGCTTTGATGTAAAAAGAGAGAAACATTTAGTGAAAATGTGTCTTTAATTAAAAATGACCTTATTCAATGTATCTTTGACGAAGCAAGAGTGTTTTAAAGGAACGAGAGAATTTATGTATACAAGCTTACATGCATTGGACATTTGTTTTATGGTACGTGTGTTAAACGTGAATAAAATCTAATTTAAAATTAATATTCAATAAAGTAATTAAATAATTATTTTTTCAAAATGGTAATTAATATAATTTTTTAAAAATAATCACATTGACATATTAATTAAGATAAACAAATTACAAGATTAAATAATGAAAAAAAATTACAAAATCTTTACAATAATAAATTTAAAATTATTCTATAAAATATAATTAGCAAAATTCGAAAATAATCAATAACATAAAATTAAAACAATGTAAAAGAGATAAAAATAATATTTATTAATTAGTCTTTTCAATAGGAATTCAATTAGTGATAGCTGTATTTTTAAACTCATAAAATAATATCAAAATCATGATGTTTTTGAACATAATAAAAAGAGAAACTGAAGAAAAAATCAAAACTTTTACATATCAAAAACTGTCGGCAACAAATTCAATTCATAATCAAGCCAACCCAAACACCAAAAATATTGAAACACGGTGTATGACTCAAAACAATAAATTAAGATTGAACAAAAAATTACAAAAATAAAAATAATAATAATAATAATAATAATAATAAAAATTAATGTACTTTTACATATCAAAAACTTTCAGTAATAAATTCAATTCAAAATCAAATTCAACCCATACACAAAAGATATTAAAACCCGATGTATGACTCAAAACAATAAATTAAGATTGAACCAAAAATTAAAAATTAAAAATTGAAAAAAAATTAACATATCAAAAACTTTCAGCAACAAATTCAATTCAAAATCAAGTCCAACACAAACACAAAAAACATTGAAACCCTGACTCAAACTAATAAATTAAGAATGAACCAAAAATAAAACGAGAAAAAAATTACAATCCAAAGTAAACTTACAACGAGTAAAATAAAAACAAAAGAAAAATAATAATAATAATAATAATGCTTCTAAAAAGAAAAAGTAAAGAGTGTTTAATGTAAGAGGTTAAAAATTGAGTGAAAATTAGAGTTTTGAATTAAAAATGGCCATATATAACGTACCTTATGAACGAGAGTGTTTGGATGTAAAAAGTTAAAAATTGGGAGTGAAGATGAGAGTTTTGAGATTTTGATGTACAAAGTTTGAAACTTTGAATGAAAATGAGAGTTTTGAACTAAAAATAACCTTATTGAAGGTAACTTATCAAAGAACGAGAGTTTTTTTTATGTAAAAAGTTAAAAACATGGAATGAAATTGAGAGTTTAGAATTAAAAATGAACTTATTAAAAAACTTGGAAGTAACGAGAGTGTTTTGAAGTAAAAAGTTAAAAACTTGGAGTAAAATTGATAGTTTTGAGTTAAAAATGGCCATATTCAAGTTAGCTTTGAAGGAACAAGAGTGTTTTCAAGTAAAAAGTTAGAAGCTTGGAATGAAAATGAGTGTTTTGAATTAAAAATGGCCTTATCCAAGGTACCTTTTGAAGGAATGAGAGTGTTTTGATATAAAAAAGGGAGAAACATAGAGTGAAAATGTATGTATTGAAATAAAAATTAACTTATTCAAGGTATCTTTGAGGAAGCAAGAGTGTATTGATATAAAAAGTAATAAATTTTGAGTGAAAATTAGAGTTTTGAGTTAAAAATGACCATATGCAAGGAACAAGAGTGCTTGGATATTAAAAGAAAAAAAATTGGATTAAAAATGAGAGTTTTGAGTTAAAAATGACCTTATTTAAGGTAACTTTGAAGCAACAAGAGATTTTTGATGTAAAAAGTTTGAAACTTCGAATGAATATGAGAGCTTCGAACTAAAAATAACCTTATTGATTTCAAGGCGCCAAAATTTTTTAATGTAAAAAGTTAAAAACATGGAATGAAAATGAGAGTTTAGAATTAAAAATGAAATTATTCTAAAAACTTATGAAGTAACGAGAGAGTTTTGATGTATAAAGTTAGAAACTTGGAGTAAAATTAAGAGTTTTGAATTAAAAATGTCATTGTTCAGTTTACCTTTGGAAGGAGCTGGAATGTTTTGACATAAAAAGTTGAAAATTTGAGTGAAAATGTGAATTTGAGTAAAAAATGACCTTATCCAAGATACATTTAACGAAATGAGAATGTTTTGATGTAAAAAGAGAGAACTTAGAGTTAAAATGAGACTTTTGAGTTAAACACTACCGTATTCAAGGAACCTTTTGAAGGAATGAGAGTGTTTTCAAGTAAAAAGATAAAAAAATTGAGTGAAAATGAGAGTTTCAAGTTAAAATTGACCTTATTCAAGGTACCTTGAGGAAACAAATGTGTTTTGATTTTAAAAAAAGTTAGTAATTTTGAGTCAAAATGAGATTTTAGAGTTAAAAATGACCTTTTAAACATTTGAAGGAATGAGAACATTAAATGTTAAAAGAGCAAAACTTTGAGTGAACATTAGAGTTTTGTTCTAAAAATGACCTTATCCAATGTACCTTTTGAAGGAAAGAGATTGTTTCGATGTAAAAATAGAGAAAACTTTGAGTGAAAATGAAAGTTTGGAATTAAAAATGACCTTATTCAAGGTATTTTTGAGGAAGCAAGAGTGTTTTAATGTAAAAAGTGAGCAAAAATGAGAATTAACAGTTAAAAATGAGTTTGTTAAAAATACCATTTAAGGAATGAGAGTGTTTAATGTGTAAAGTTCAAAACTTTGGGTAAAAATGATAGTTTTGAGTTAAAAATGACCTTATGCAAGGTACCTTTCGAAGGAAATATAGTGTTTTGAAGTAAAAAGAGATAAACTTTTGAGTGAAAATGAATGTTTAGAATTAAAAAAGACCTTATTCAAGGTATCTTTGAGGAGACAATAGTGTTTTATTGTAAAAAGTTACAAATTTTGAATGAAAATGAGAGTTTAGAGTTAAAAATGACCTTGCTACAGATACATTTGAGGGAATGAGAGTGTTAAATGTAAAAAGTTCATAACTTCGGGTGAAAATGAGAGTTTTGATATAAAAAGAGATAAACTTTGAGTGAAAATGAATGTTAATAATTAAAAATTACCTAATTCAAGTGATCTTTGAGGAAGTAAGAGTGTGTATAAAGTTAGAAATTTTGAGTGAAAATGAGAGTTTAGAGTTAAAAATGACTTTGCTAGAATGAGAGCGTTTACTGTAAGAGGTTAAAAATTTTGAGTGAAAATTAGAGTTTTGAGTTTAAAATGACAATTAACAAGCTACCTTTTGAAGGAACAAGAGTGTTTGGATGTAAAAAGTTAGAAATTTGGAGTGAAGATGTGAGTTTTGAGTTTAAAATGACCATATTCAAGGTACCTTTGAAGCAACGAGAGAGTTTTGATGTAAAAGGTTTGACACTTTGAATGAAAATGAGAGTTTTGAACTAAAAATAATCTTATTGAAGGTATCTTATCAAGGAACGAGAGTTTTTTTGAGAGTTTAGAATTAAAAATGAACTTATTAAAAAACCTGGAAGTAACGAGAGTGTTTTGATGTAAAAAGTTCGAAACTTGGAGTAAAATTGAGAGTTTTGAGTAAAAAATGGCCCTATTCAAGGTAGCTTTGAAGAAATGAGAGTGTTTTCAAGTAAAAAATTAGAAGCTTGGAATGAAAATTAGTGTTTTGAATTAAAAATGGCCTTATCCAAGGTACCTTTTGAAGGAATGAGAATGTTTTGATATACAAAGGGAGAAACATAGAGAAAAAATGTATGTGTTGAATTAAAAATGACCTTATTCAAGGAATCTTTTAGTAAACAAGACCTTTTTATGTAAAAAGTTAGAAACTATGAGTGAAAATGAGATTTTATAGTAAAAAATAACTTTATTCAATGTATATTTGAAGGAACGAATTTGTTTTTTTGTAAAAAGTTAGAAACTTTGACTGAAAATGGGAGTTTTTAGTTAAAATGACCTTATTCAATGTACCTTTGGAAGGAACGAGAGTGTTTTGATATAAGAAGTTGAAATCTTTTGAGCGAAAATGAAAGTTTTGAGTTAAAAACTAGGAAGCACGGACACTCCAAAATGGGCGAAGAATCCGTGTTCGACACGTGTCGGACACGGACACGCGTCAGACACGCCCCGACACGTGTCGGACACGCCAAAAAACGTGTCTGGAATTTTTTTATTTTTTTTAATTTTTAGACACGGCTCGGACACGGCACGGACAGCTCGGACACGGCTCAGATAGCTCGGACACAGCTCAGACACACTTTTCTGGAATTTTTTTTTTTTTTTAAATTTTTAATGCTGATATGTTAATTTTTTTTAAAATTTTTTTTTTTTAGTGCTGATATGTTCTATTTTTTGTTTTGTACTACCCTAAAGATGCTGATATATATATATACTAACATATCAGTGATATATATATATATTCCAACCTAAACATATCAGTGTTTTTTTTTTAAAATTATTAATGCTGATATATATATATATATATATATATATATATATATATATATATATATATATATATACACTATTCGCCGTGTCCGTGTCCTAATTTTTTTGGATTTGCCGTGTCGCCGTGTCCGTGTCGTGTCGTATCCGTGTTCCGTATCCGTGTCCGTGCTTCTTAGGTTAAAAATGACCTTATCCAAGGTACATTGGATGGAAAGAGAATGTTTTGATTTTAAAAGAGAGGAACTTTGAGTAAAATCGAGACTTTTGAGTTAAAAATTACCTTATTCAAGGTACCTTTTGAAGGAATGATTGGTTTCATGTAAAAAAGAGACACACTTTGAGTGAAAATGAAAGTTTTAAGTTTAAAATGACCTTATTAAAATGAAACCATAGTGTTTTGATGTAAAACGTTAGAAATTTTAAGTGAAAGTGAGAATTTAAGGTTAAAAATACCTTATTCAAGGTACGTTTAAAAGAACAAGAGTGTTAAAGTAAAAAGTTCGAAACTTTGGATGAAAGTGAGTTTTGAGATAAAAATGACCTTATTCAACTTATCAAAAAAAAAAAAAAAAAAAAATGACCTTATTCAAAGTACCTTTTGAAGTGTCTAAAGTGTTTTAATGTAACAAGTTAGAAACTTATAGTGAAAATGAGAGTTTTGAGTTAAAAATGATTTTATTCAAGGTACCTTTATAGAAACAAGAGTGTTTTGATGTAAAAGTAATAAACTAGGAGTGAAAATGAGAGATTTGAGTTAAAAATAACCATATTCAAGATACCTTTGTAGGACGAGAGTGTGTTCATATAAAAAGTTAGAATCTTTGAGTGAAAACGAGTGTTTTTGGTTAAAAATGATCTTATTCAAGGTACCTTCAAAGGAAATATAGTGTTTTGATGTAAAAACTTACAAACTTCGAGTGAAAATTAGTGTTTTGAATTCAAAATGACCTACAAGAGTTTTTTTTTTATATAAAAAGTGTTAAATTTTTAATCAAAATGAGAGTTTTGATTTAATACCTTTTGAAGTAACGAGAGTGTTTTGATGAGATGAAATAAAAATGAGATGAATGACTCAAGGCTGTCGGAAAAGTGGTTATAAAAATGAGATGAATGAATGTGCATTATCAAAGTAGACAAGTAGTAAATATCTGATATTTGAGAATTTCCTAACCCAAAGAAATTATATGCCATACAATCATGAAGAACAACTCTTACCTCAACCACATGCCTAACTGGTGTATCAAGCTGTTTTTTTGGCATTGCATCTTGGAAGGCAGGAAGCCCATTGTGTGCCTCATTAAACGTAGATAGAAAAGGGAACTGAGTCTGCAAAAACCATCAAGGAACAAAAGGTTTTAAGTTGCAAATTTATAAAAATAGCAGCACATGCAAGTAGAGAATCCAAGGAAAGTGTAATGGTTTATATATTGTGCTTAAAAGTGATCAAATAATCATTGCTAGTACTAGTTGGTAGATGAAGAAACTGGAGCATCCCAAAAAATAAAGGATTTTCCATTAAAGAAACATGATACACTAGGCCAAAGAGACTGTTCCCGCCACGATTATTATGGGCAAGGTCTTTGAAGGCATAGGTTCAGCAAAGTGCAAGAACTTCTATAATTGTAACCATTACATAATCAAACAAATAATATTTATAATACATTCTTGCACTAGGGTGTTTTTTACTGTTTTTATAACCAAAAAATAGCAAAAAGAATAAAATAACTAATACAGGATCACTTTCAATCAAAGGAAAAAAAAAAAAATTTCCTATTCTGTAAGACTACAATTTATACAATTTATATAAACAGCATAACCAACTTTCATTTGGTAAAACCGTGTCTTTAGTACATGGAAATGCTGAAGTTCAGACATGCAACTTATATGCAATCACTTGAAACAGAGATATAAATTGCATGTAAATTATTGAGCGAGATGTTGAACCTTTTGATTGCTGCATGAATTTGAGGTGCTAGATACAAATCTGCCTGAAAGAGTAGCCAAAATATATTTTAGGAAATAAAATATGCATAACAAAAGTAATTTATAAGCACGTGTACTGTATTTTATAAGGGTCCAAGGTGCTATGCCACATATAACTCTGATCAAGGCCGAGATAACCGTAATTATTAATGCAAACAATTCTGATGCCTTTTCTAACATGCTTTGTGATGCCCTAAAATTATAAAAATAAAACAATATAAAATAAATAAATAAATAAAGACATTGCACCTCTTTGAAAATAATTACATCATAAAATATTGAAGTACACTCAGCTACCTATCTAAGCTACAATATAAGTGTACAAGCAAACAAAGTGGATCAATCCATATTATGTACATCTGCACTCTAATTCACTACTCAAGCAAATTGTTTTCCCTAAAACAGTTTTCTATTGAGTTAAAGTTCTTGAATTAGCAATTTAAAGAATTTGAATGCAATGATTCACATTATAATCGTATTTTCAGAGCTTCATCCTGATCTTTCAGTCAGTCTTAATCGAGCTCTAGCTCTTCGAACCACATCCATCTAACCTGGCTCGATTCTTACGAATCTCCTGTTCCAGGTTATTCTTTTGCCCTTGATCTTGATTCTCAATTTATATAAGCTCTATCGCCGCAATTTTGCTCATTTTTGCTTACCATCTAAAAAGGGGAAAACCCAGTAGTCATTATGTGTCTCATATGTCCTTATGAGTTCATCTTTACGGATTCAAACTCAACAATGCAATCGGATTTTGGATGCAAGAATGCAAGTGAACAACTTTACAAGACATCACCAATCTCAAATTTTAATATCTAGATATATAACATATTAAAACAAATGAACTCCGTATTAATTATTATATAATCTGAGTGATGAAAATATCAATTTGAGTTGCATTAGCCAAAAGTACAACACAATAGCACATTAATTGAAATAGTACCAAACAAAAAGCAAAGAAACATCAAGTAATTAGTAGAAATAAAAACAACAAATCTGGAAAACTAGTTCAAGAAGACAAAGAAAGAGAAAAGAAACAGAAAATACCCTAAAAATAATAAAAGACTTCGATATGATCAAGCCTGCACAACTGTACAGAAATGGGTTGATAATCAAGGAAGAGAACGATAACTCTACATGAACAACGGCTTAGAGAGAGAGAGAAATGAGGAGAGAGTGGCGGGTAGGGCGGTGGAATCCTAGGGTTTTGATAAGATAAACACTACAAAATATACAAAAATGGGTTGATGATCAAGAAAGAGAACCATACCTCTACATGAACAATGGCTTAGAGAGAGAGAGAAGAGAGTGGTGGGTTGATTGATCAAGGAAAAGATGCATAAACAGTGGCAGAATGAGAGAGCCTTCTGATGAGGAGGAGAGAGTGGTGAGTATTAGGTGTTGGAATCGGTTTTGAGACGAACTGGTACATATTTTTGTAACTGGGTACATTTTTTGTGTTGGGAAGGTGCATTTCTTGTGATGGGAACAGGAAAAAGAGACTCTGAAATTTCTGTCTCAGTTGTACAACCATATTCCTTTTCTGTTTCAGAGTGAGAGCAAAATATATATAAAATCCACAGAGTAAGAGTGGCTTACAATCTACGCAAAAGCTAACTCGGTCTAAGTAAAAATATTAACAAGGTTCTTTTTTTTTTTTTTTTTTTTTTTAAGTAACAAGGTCTTTTTTAAATAAATAAAAGAATTATATTGAATTAATTTAAATAATAATTTTTTTTTTTTTTAATGGAGATGGTTATATACTCCCTTGAAGTTCAAACTCATATTATTCGTTCCTTTTAAATTATTAAATTATTTTTTAAGTTCAAATATATTTATTATTAAATTGAACAATTTTTTAAAAAATTAAAAAGTAATTATGAAAATATAGCCTTTATTTTGTTTTATAAAAGGAGTAAGATATACAAGTATATGATATACATGTAAATTGTAAAGTTTGTATTGTAATACAATAAGGTTGCTCTTCAAATATATATATTGCATTGAATTGACAGCTACTTTGTCACTTTTTAAATAAATAAAAAAATAAAGAGGATTATTCATGTGCCCTCGTTTTGTATTATAAAGTATATAAACTTTATATCATATAATTGTATATCTTACTCCCTTTATTCATATTAGTAACTATCACATGATTTCAACCGGCTAACAGTAGGCCACTTTATTATTTTCTTTTTGAAACAAAATAAAAGATATGTTTTTATAATTACTTTTTAATTTTTTAAAAATAAAATTGCTAATTTAATACTACTATTTACTGATAATGGCCTACCGATTTTACTTTTCAAAAGGAAAGTTAAGGATATATATATATATGTGTGTAAGGATCAATTAAAAATAAATAAATAAATATATTTAAACTTAGAAAGATAGTTTAATGATTTAAAAAGAAAAAAAATACTATAATTGTATGTTTCCAGACAAATAATATGGGACTGAGGGACTAAATAACCGCCCGGTGGTAACTCCCATGGAAAAAAATATATATATACATTATTTAAATTAAATCAATATATTTTTTTTTAAAAAAAAGATATTGTTAATATTTTTACAGACCAAATTAGCCACGGCATTGATTGTGAGCCACCCCTTACACATTGTATCTTTTGCCCTTCTATCTAAATCAGATTCTCTCTTTTTTATGTTCCCAACTCGAGAAATTTACCTTTTCAATACGTGAAATGCACCCAGTCCATCTCAAAACCCTAGGATTCCAACACCCAATACTCACCACTCTCTCTCTCTCTCGATTAAGGAAAGGACCAGTTTGTTTTTAATTTTTTTTTTTTTTTTAAATGGTTTTTAAGAACTCTGCAATAAAAATGAAAGTTTAACCAGCAAAAACAGTTCTCTAGAAATAATTATTCACCTCTTTTTCAATTAACTTTTCTAATTATAGAAGATTATTCCTTAACCAAAAAGGGAAAGGATGAAAAAAAATTAATAATAAGAAATCGAAAACAAAGTATGCTCTGGCCCAATGTGTGCCATAAGATCTTAAACCTTAAATTATTGGAACGTTAATGTATACTTCCCTTTGTAAATTCAAAACTTTTATCATCTGGATTCGATGTGGAATTAAGACCCTCTAACAAGAATATCTTCTTGTGACAAAAATTTAGTGCTTTCTTGAATTCTTCTACAACATCAGTTTTTACCCGATTAGCCCTATTTGATAACTTAATTCAGCACGCTTATTCAATTAACTACGTTTGATTGCACAATTCCAGTGATACACATAAAATGGGATAAAATTTTTAGTGACAGAAACATCCTTAAATGCTAAATGCTGAAAATTCAAAAAGATATTAAAAAATATTTTTTAATCACCACTTAAAAACATCAATTTTCAGTTTTATCAAGCAAAACCTAAGTTGCCCCTGTTAGAAAATGAACTCAAACGAATTACTCACATAATAATAGCAGACTCTTGATGGTAGTTCCAGTTGTTTGAGAATCAAAGATGTCACTGAAACACATGTTTGGGAAAGCTAATGACCATGCAGAATGTAGATGGTTCATGCCAGTGTGTCTTTATCATATACAAAGAATCATGATGTGAAGACTTGCTACTTTTTTTGTCCTCATAAACTTACTGGAGAAAACATCTAATGCATCAAAGACAAATAAGGGGAAAGGGATGGCCAAGATTTAGATCATTTGTATAAATGTATGCAACTTTAGCTCCATAAGGATTTTACAAGAGAGACAGTTTCTTCATCAGCAATCCTGATGGTGGTACAAGACGGAAAAAGAAATACCGACGATATATCAGTTTACAGAAAATGATCAAGTTTACCATATGGAAAACTTGGACAGATTTTCCAACATTTATAATCACTACTTCATCTTTAGTTAATCATTTATTCTTATTTGACGACAAAGTTTGATGATGTATCATAACCCTCGCCGTAGTGTCTTTGCACAAGATCTACCTTGCAGGCTTTACCTCGAAGGTAAATCAAACAGGATCCCATGCAGCAATTTTGAGATAGGGAAATCTACACAGGAACAGAAGTAGAATATCAGTAGAATACATGTGTGTGTGTATATTATCATCCATCACAATCATTAGACTTGACTGGAAAGTGGTTCTAAACATGAGATGAATGATTCTGCATTATCAGAGACATATATATAGGCAAGTAGTAAATCTGATATTTGAGGATCTTCAAACCGAAAAAATATATTTATGCCAGACAATCAGGAAGTACGACTCAGATACCTCAACCCAATGCCTGAACTGGTGTATCAGGCTGCTTTTCGGGCATTGCATCTTGGAAGGCAGGAAGCTCATTGTATGCCTCATTCAACCTAGATAGAAGAGGGAACTGAGTCTGCACAAACCATCAAGGAATAAAAGGTTTAAAGCTGCAAATTTATAAAAATAGCAGCAAAAGCAAGTAGAGAAATGCAAGGGAAGTATAATGCTCATTGCATGCTTTCTATATTGTACTTAAAAGTGATAAGATAATCGTTGCTAGTGCTAGCTGGTATATGAAGAAACTGGAGCATCCCAAAAAATAAAAGATTTTGCATGAAAGTAACAAGATACACAAGGCCAAAAAGACGGTTCCCACCATGGTTATTATGGGCAAGGTCTTGAAGCCATAGGTTCTCCAGAATGGCAAAATTTCTATGACTCTAACCTTTTCATAATCAAACAAATAATATATATAATACATTCTTGCAGTCGGGTGTATTTTTACCGTCTTATAACCCTATAACATAACATAATTATCAGAAAATAACCAAAAAGAACTAATACAGGACCACTTTCAATCAAAGGGGGAAAAAAATTCTTAATCTGTAAGACTATAATTGCTAAACAGTGTAACCAGCTTTCATTTGGTAAAACCGTGTCTTAAGTAGATGGAAATGCTGAAGTTCAGACATGCAACTTATATGCAATCACTTGAAACAGAGATATAAATTGCACAAATGGAGCTGATTGTAAATTATTGAGCGATCACTACCATATTGATGTTGAACCTTTTGGTTGCTGCGTGAATCTGAGGTGCTAGATATAAATCTGCCTGAAAGATTAGCCAATAATATATTTTAGGAAATAATATATGCATAGCAAAAGTAATTTACAAACACGTGTACTGCATTATTAGGGTCCAGGGTGCCATGCCACATGTAACTCTGATTAAGGCTGTACAGCTGAGATAACTGTAATTATTAATGCAAACAGTTCTGAAGCCTTGCCTTGCATGCTTTCTGAGAGGACCATCTCAGCAATATAAAGATATTTGAAAGCAATGCTTCACATTGTGGTTGAATTTTCAGAGATTCACATCTTTTGCTTATAATTTTAAAATTTTGGGTACAGTTTTTCCCTTTAAAAGAAGGGCCAACCCAGTATTCATTATGTGTCTAATACAAACTCAACAATCCAATGACGCAGCTCCATACTTCTACCAACTTTCATCAACTTCACCCCAAAAGAAATGCGTCACTAACAATTTCTTTTAATTCTAATGAACTGGTACACTACCTTTTAACTTTAATCACCTTTTTCCTCAATGGAAAACTCTCACATTCTTCATCAACATAAGATCAAATTACACCTTAGATTTATTAAGAACCTTGCATTCCAGTTCTTCTAGCTTTTCCTATAAAATGTCCAGGCTTTTTAATCAAAACATCACCTGGAAAACTTCCAATCTAATTCACCATTCTCTCATCTTCAAAATAAAGCTTTTGTTGCCTTTCTCCCTGTTCAGAACATCACAATTAAACATAACATGGATATGAACAAAAACTACCTTTGCAAAGCCACTTGTCATACATCTAAAATCCCAAAACAGATGGACAGTTTTGAAGACGTGTATATACATACAAGAGGGCAAAAGGCTACTACTACCCGAATGTCGCTCACATTAGAACTGACAAAGAAGAGGTGGACGTCTAATTTCAATTTTTTAAGAAAAGGTACTATTTTGCAGTCACCAAAAATAAAAAACTGAATTCCTCGCATCAGTTCGGTCTCTTTTGGTTCTCTATTGGACCGTATACCCCCAATAGACCCCACTTAAAAGTTGAAGTTATTCTACATTCCAGAAACAAGCAGGAGCAAAGAAAACAGCCGTCGTGTCACATATCCTCTTTTGCCCCCACACGCTTAGGACGCCTTCCATAACAGCTCTGAAAGCAAATTTAACCACCGAATGTAAACCCTACAAATACCCAACACTATTCTGTCAACACGGCCTGTTCCGGATTTTAAAATGTTGCCAATACCATTCTGTCACATGCTTTGGCACAACTATACTAGGGAATGGACCCCAAAAGTGTATACAGCCAGCAAATATAACTATGTAGGCTTTAGGTCATTAATCTGTGTAGTTGACAAAATTTCCAGAGAAGAAACAAACCAGGTTAACTTCATCTCCAGTTGCATATTTTCCAGTATAGTCTTTTAAAAGCTTCTCAAGAGCTGCAACACATGCACATTGGAAAGTACAAGAGTTAGTACTGGTTAAGATTTCCCTCACAGGATTACAAATGTTCCTTGAATGACAAAAGAAATTTTAATTGAAAAAAAAAAAACTAAACTTTAAAACTAGTGCAATCATCACCTAACTTAAAAAGTTATAAATATCTCAAGTAATTAACGGCAAGTTTGACACTAATTTTAAGTAATAAGTGCCATAGGTAACCCAAGTGGGATAGCTGTGGTGATATCAATAAACCGATGCATGAGCTCCCATGTCCCACCGACCCTCCAAAAAAGTCAGGTCATAAAAGGGCTCATAGGGAGTCAGAAGCAAGCAGAGTCAAAGGTGGGTCAAAGTCACATAAGCAGAGGGGGAGACACATTCATGAAAAGCGAAAAATACACATTCAGCCATCCATCCATGCAAGAAGATTCTTATTGAACATAGAAATCCTGACTGTCCAGGTATACAGTTGATAATATCCTTAACAAGCCTATGCCACACAAAACCTTGATCACTCAAAATGTCCTCCACTTGCTCCTAAGGTCAGTTTTGAAGGGTGTCAAATAGAACTTAGGTTTGGAACTTTGTTCAGATTTATTTGGGAAAAGGGAATATTTCATTATAAATGTAAACAAATTTGGTTTTGCTGATGGGTGGTTTAACACAGGTCAAATTTAGACTAGTTCAATATTTTTTCACTTTAGGGCACTATTACGATGGATATGCTAAATAATATGAAAAGGCCAACTATTTTACGGCAAGCAGTAAGAGAGGAGGTGAAGAGGGAAGGCTGAGTAGATAACAGAATTGTGTTGTCTCTGCAAAATAATGAAATAGTGCCCAAAAAAAAAATATTCACAAGACGACCAATTTCCTTGAGGGAAACAAACCTTTGAATGAAAGTGAATAATCTAATACTGTAACCTTGAATGATCATGTAGTTGATAAGAGGATTACTTGTACTGTCATGAGGATTATCTTAACAAATATTCTATACAGATTTCTTTTAGAGCCCAGAAATATTCTCTACAGATTACATGCATACCATATAACAAGGATTTGAACCCAGTAAAGTTCTTTTTGGAGGACGAATGACACCTCCCTTTTCATATTGTTAGAAGATTTAGCCTATTTGGTTTATAACATAGCTTCTTTACCTGACTACAAACAGGCCATGCTATAGTTAGGAAGTTATGAACCTAACCCAACTTTTATCAAGATCAATTTATTATAGTGTTTTCAGTACTATGAAATAGCAATTACCATCCAAAGAAAAGAATAAGACTTTGACCAACTGGTAGATACCAACAAAAAATAAAAACAAAAAGGTGAAGCTTGGATAGATTAAAAGACATAAAAATATAACAACACAAGACCAACCATAACCAACGGCACTAGGTGAGACGCTTACCCTCTAACCCAAAAGCTTAAGCTATTGGGTAGTGCTGCACACCCACCTATTTATACCCATTTCACTTCCCATCTGGATCTGATGTGGGACACCTCTAACAACCTGGAGTGCACAGGAAGGATCCTAATACATTACGACATGGTAAAGTGCTACATTTTAAAGATCAAAAAGAAAAAACCAGTTGACATCTGAATTTTTTTCAGTAATTTCATGATGTTTTTGTAGCAATGCCATGTGTAATTATTGGACTGCTATGTAGACAACTGTGAAATTCCATACCTTAAAAGGATATCATCATTGACAAATTTGGATAAAACTATAACATCCTTGCATCTCCTATATGCTTGACTTTGCTAGGAACTTCTTTCATGGGCCAGAACTGGTAAGTTCAAACCTGTATGTTAGAATTTTTAAATAATGAAAATTTTAACCTGTAGTTCATTAGGGAGCCGTTCCCATTATTTTTTTTCCGTCTTTTCTTCTTTCTTTCTTTTTTTCTTTTTTCGGTGTGGGGGTTAAAAGAAGTGCCGGAGGATTTCTGCTAATGATGCAGACAGCTTGTATACACATATAGACATGAGTAAATATACATACACACATACGCACACACACACACACAAACACATACATATATATATATATATAGAGAGAGAGAGAGAGAGAGAGTCAGGGGCCTTCTTTCTTTCTTTCCCTTTATCTTTTTCCGGGAGGTGGTGTGGGGGGAGGAGGATGGAATAGAAGGTTTCTGTTGATGATGCTGGAAGGTTATATACAATACATAAATGTGTGTGTGTGTGTGTGTGTGTGTATAGACAGAAAGAAAGAGGAATAATCAAGGGGCTTCTGTGTTTCTGTAACTGCACGCGGACCAGACACAACTTAATGATAGAAAGCAGTGAAAGATTACCTGCAAAACCTCTTTCAATATGATTTATAGCCCAAGCACGTCTCTCATCAACATTAAGTATTTCCGCTATATAATTCTGCCTCTGTAGATGGAAAAGCATGAAAAATGTATAGAAACAGTAATCTCAGACTATGTCATGATAACATGATCTGAATTTCAGCAATGAAAAGGTAACCCAAAAGGAGGAACTCCCACTGTTTACTCACCTGTCCGACTAGATTCTGAAAAGGCTGTATGCTTGAGGAAACAATATTAGCAGCCTACATATCAAATTATACACAAATTGAAGGATATACCCAAGGAATCAAAATAAAAAGATTAACAAGATAGAGAAAATGATTTGAACCAAATCAATGCTAGAAATTTAAGATTCATCATTTCTTTATCCAACATGTCATACCACGCAAGAGCACAATCCTGATAACATTTTCATCATGTTACACACACTGAGGCGTGTTTTTAGTGGCATCATTGTGACACCCTTTACAGAATTCCATTTTCTTCCCCTTCATTCAATAATTTGCTATTGTAACACTAAACTACCACCTACTATTCATATTTCTAACCCTAAAAGATTTTCAATATTATAATTGTTATTACACTTGGTAGGAAACTATAGTAGTATGAAACTCCGACTTTAAACCACATATGTTCAAATGAATACTCGAGTTTGGATCAATTTTTGTATAATCCTTGACTTTGTTCTATTCAGCAAACCTTGTTTAGCAGGGTACTTGGGTTAGCAGGGTTAGGATTAATTAGGTGGCTGCTTTGTAGATCTTGTTTTAGCACAACTTGCTTCTCCTAGATATAAAAAAGGGAGAATTTATCTCAGGCGGTACATTAGTAATTACATAGTTTACTTGGTTGAAAAAGACAATCAAAATTTCTAGGATGGCTTTAGACAGATACTGATGGAATGGGAGAGAAGATAATAACATGCATGCCTTAGACTTCAACTAAGGAGGAGTTCAATGTATTCCTGAATTTCTTATAATAGCATTTGAAAGGCCATTTGATCTCATGTAATTTCTTCCTTTTGAGTGAGGTAAAAGTTGACGTTGGCAGACTGGTTTATTAGTAATCTGAGTGTAAAGATGCAAGGCATCTTCTTGCGAGGAATGTCCTTGTGGAAAGTGATCATCATGGTGATTCACTGGGCCACCAGGAAGCATGGACACGCTTAAAAGGACAAATAATCTGTGTCGGACACCGACAAGCCGCTGACACGTCCCAACACGTGTCGAACACACCAAAAATGTCTGAATTTCTTTATTTTTTTTAATATTCCGACACGGAGCAGACATGGCACGGACACGCCATGGATACGTGTCCGATAGGTGTGTCCCATTCTTGGGAATTTTTAAGAAAGTTTTAGGAAGAAAGTGTAAATATGAGGAGTTATTTAATAACTTTCAGTAATATGACGGGTCATTACATAATTACTAAAAAGTTGTTTTATAAAGTAATTTTATATTAAAACGATCAGATTATTTATGCTTATATTCTAGCTCAAAGGTTCAAACTCTTGCACGGTCATCTTTGACTCTCTCGTTCTCCCACTAATGAAAAAGTACTATGTCATTTTTTCCTGAATAAAAAATAGGTACTGCACATGTGGAGGACTCAGCAAAGATTAATTGTCAAATTTATTGTAGCATATGAATTTTAAGCAACAATCAATCATCTATTGACAATATATGAATCATATAGATTATTCCATTGGAAAACTGCTCTTTTACGAATTTGAATTTTTATTACTATTAGTGATCTGGGTAATGAGAGTTAGTCGAACTACAATTGACTATATGGAGTGTAAATTTAATAAAGTCTCAGACATTAATAATGTAACGAGAACACTTCAAAACCAAAAAAATTACTCAAAACAACCACTTTTGGTATATAGGATCGATATCACAAGATGATGGACAGATAGATAGGGATATAACTAGTAGGATTGGAGCCGGTTGGGCAAAATGGAGACAAGCTAGTGGAGATAAAAGAATAACATGTAGGCTAAAGGGAAAATTCTATAGGACCATTATTAGACCATAAAAAATATAAAAAATAAAAAAATAAAATAAAATAAAAAAGAAAAAGAAAAAAAAGAACAACGCCTTCATGTAGCGAAAATAATAATGTTAAGATGGATGAGTGGTGTAATTAGAAGAGATATGGTTACTAATGAAAGTGTGAGGAAAATTAGGGGTAGCACTCAATAGTGAAAAAATTAGAGAGAGTAGACTTAGATGGTTTGGACACATACATTAGAGATCTAGAGATGCGCCGGTCAAACGAGGAAGACTAGTTGTAATAAAAGGTAAGAGACGGAGAGGGCAACCAAAAATGACATGGGAAGAGGTTATTAAAAATGACTTTAAAAATTAAATATAGTCGGTAAAATGGCATGTAATAGAAAATATTGGAGAGAGATAATTCATGTGGCCAACCCCATTCATATGGGATTAAGGCAAGGATGATGATGATGATTAGTGAAATGGGTAGCAGACTAATTGCATGACAAAGTGCAAACTCCAGCCATCCTATGGCTTCTGATAGATTCCATGTTTAAGCATACATCAAATCAACACTGGCATACAAGTGAGTTTGCAGATAACATTCAAAGATATTGCTGGTAGACATCATCATAAAAAATATACACCAAAAGCTAAATCAAAATTAAGGAATCCTTAAGGAACCTTCAATGTACAAAAGGCGCAAATATGCACCTCAGACTGGACAGCTGACATCATAATAGCAATTTCAAAGTAAAAAACACACAAATTCTTGCCTCTTTGAGAAGCCCAATAATCAACACTTTAATGGTGGTACAAAATTGCTGATACAAGTTCACTAAAACAGAACCGAAATTTTGAAAGTGTAAGGAATCACATGCAGTTTACCTGGTAATTGATTGCTCTTTTCTGAATGTCATGAGGCAACAATGGATGTTGTGGATACTTCTCTTCCAGATACTGTACATCACAAAGCACATACAATAATCCTTTTGGTGAAGTTCAAAAGATTATTAAAATCAACTTTAAATCATATGAAACAAGGGATAAAGAGGATAAAAGTCCAAAAGACTCACCAATATTATTGCAAGAGAGTCAGCAACTATAATGTCTTCATCTACCAGCACCGGTACAAAACTAATAGGATTGAGCTTTAAATATTCTATACTCAAAAAACAGAGAACACATTAACAAGTTATATAAAGACTACCAAAAAAAATATGGAGCTAGAGTCCCAAAAACTTTTTGGCCAATGATTAAATTGCGACGATCGTTCAAGACTCTGTTTTATAAAGCCAAACTGAACATATAAAACATTACAAGCAATAGATAATAATCAAGTTTCTATTTTGTTTTCACTTATTAGATGCATGAAATGGATCAAAAAGTTAAGACAAGCACTAACTTATGCAATTAGTGTTACATTTCTGCATTTCCAAATAAACCTTTTATAGTAAAGCTATCCAAAGATCTCCCTGTTGACAAGAGCCATATTCTCTTTATGGATAGGACTGGTAAAAGATTCTCAGACCCTGTTTTTACATTCACAAATTACTATATTTTTCTCAATCCAATGGCCAATGAAGAGAGCTTACGACTCTTTTCAAGAGAGAGTGACTTCTCCCTTGAATTGATGCCTATTTCCAGCTCAAAGTAACTTTCTTTGATAAATTATCCGCCACCAAAGAAAGTTACTGATCATAATGTGTGAACAAAAAATGAATTCTGAAGTTTGAATGTCCATAGTGTAATATTAATGCCAGACACCCAATATGTTAATTATTATAACTATCATACTTTATCATCATATAAATAAGCCTAAATACTACAAAAAAATTTCATGAGACACCATGTATGTTCTCACCAGGACTTAAATGTTCTCCTTTCATGAAATCAACTGCTTTGTACTCATATTTGAGATCTGTGTTGAAAGAGGCGATAGCTAATGATCAATAATTAACAAAAAATAAAAATAAAAATAACTAAAATCAAATAAAAAATCAGGGTTTTAGAAAGTGAAACTGGCAGAAGAAATTGACTGATCAAAATTTAGACAGGGAAAGTAGTAGAGTGAGACAGACCTTTGAAGTTGAGAGCGATACGAACACGGCAAGAGCAAGAGCTCCCCCAGGAAGAATATAGCTTCAGCTTCATTGGCTCCTCACCATTACTCGCCTATTCACAAACAAGCAATAGCTCGTTAGACAGTTAAATCAATCAGTTGGGTTTGTAGTGATTGATGTGATGGTGCTCTGTGCAATTGATTGACAATGAATTTGATGATGAAGTAAGAAAATTTTAGTGAGAATTTTTTTTTTTTTTTTTTGAGTAATGCTATTGCGAGCGCGCAAATTCCATCTCTCCGAACCCAAATTCATCACCTCAACCTTCGCCGGAAAATTAAACCTTCATGAACAAACAGCACTGTTTTTTTTTTGCCCCCTTTTTCTCCTCTGTTTCCTCTCTGTCTCTCTCCCAAATTAGCCCTTTGTTTTATTTTTTTATTTTTTCAGTTTTGGCCTTTCTCTGGCCTTTATATATGAACAGCCACCGCCGGCAACCATCCTTTCTTCTTCTTCTTTTTCCCCTCCCTTTTCTCCTCTGTTTCCTCTCAGTCTCTCCCCCAAATCAATTTTTTTTTTTTTTTCTTTCTTCATTTTTGGCCTTTCTCTCTCCTCCGTATGCACAACCTCCACCGTCCTCTCCAAACACGGCCACAATCTCCACCTCTGCTTCCCAGTTCTCATCTCTCCCCTATATTGTAAAATAGCCCATCAAAGTTGTTCTTCACGGTGGCCGACTTGCTGCCATATCCGTCCTCTGTCATCGCCGATCTGTTTTGCTGGTGAAAGGATTATCGGCGGGTCGCTGGAAGCTTTCTTACTCTACTCTCTCTTCTTCGCCGGAAGTGATGAAGATGAAAAAAAAAAAAAAAAAATGGCTAGAGAGAGAAAACAGATAGAGTCTGAAAGTTTTGAAGAGAGAGAAAGTAGAAGCTTGAGGAGAGAGGAGAGAGGAGAGAGAAGGAAAAAAAAAAATCTGATCCCAAAACCGATCAATCCAACGGCTCAACAGCGAGAGCTCGTTTGTGCTATTGCGAGCGCGCGCTCGCAATAGCATTACTCTTCTGTTTTTTTTATGAGAAATGGAAACAGAGCAATTGATGACGACGAATTTGAGATACACCCACCATAGTACACTGAGACCTGATCAGAACTGCAGATTGAACTATTCTTTGAGCACCTATTTGTATCTCTATACTATATATGGAGACACACACACACAGAGACGGAGAGTCTACCAAGGCGGCTCTCCAATCCAAGAGCAAGGAAACCAATAGTTTATTTTTGGGTTAATTACACTTCTGGATCTCCTTTATCTATGTACATTTATTAGTTCATTACAGGGACAAAATAGTTTTTTCATAAATATATAAGGGTTAATTACAACATTCCTTAAGGTTTGATGTATTAACATTCATATATAATTTATTTTTTTTTTTAGACGATGACATTCCTTAGATTTGATAAAATTAATAAAGACTCTGAGGTTCAAACATTCCCTTAGAATATGTAAAAAGACGAGAGTACCCTCAATATTTAATTCATTTTAACCATAAAATATTAAACATTTTAAAAAGACTAAAACACCCACAGCTTCATCCACCTCCTTCCCACCTAAAAACACCATCATACATTTACTATGCCCTCTCAAAATCCACCCAAATCTGAATGTACTATGCAAAATTACCACCTCCTACCAACCAGATTTGGTGCTAAGAAACAATGATTCCATTATCTTCAACCAAACCACGATGGGTTTCAGCGTCATCCGTTCTTGATCTTCTTCGTCCAAACCCAAATACACCAATCTGTAATAAAGAACTTCATGTTGACAAATTTTCAACTAATTAACCTGCACATTTCCAGCTCAAGAATGAAGACCCCAAAAAAAACACCCTCACACAAACCCTTATTGCTTGCTTCAACTCTAGAAACCTCCCGATTCTCATATACCCGAAGGTCATGAGCTTCTAATTCCTAAAAAACTTGACGAACTCTTCAGGTTTCAGCTTCACTAATCACTCACAGACAATCGAAGCAATAACCACTGAAATACCCTAATTTTGGACTTCAAAGGCACAAAAAACTAAATTCAGCAGAAAAACCTTTGAGTAAACCAGATCTCCACACAAATTTGACAGATTCAAGTCAGCAATCGAGCATATTCATAGCTCATTCAAGCTACACATTACACAATAATAATAATATTGTTCTCTTCAAAGAAGACTTCCACAGTTCCACATACATACATATATATATGTGTGTGTGAAGGGAGTGAGAATGGAAAAAGACTTGGGCTTCTGCAATAGGTTTGGAGTGATTGAAATGGAAGGTACTGAGAATACTACCGAATGGGTCTGTTTGTGCCTCTGCTTTTACTTTCTCTCTCATCAATTTATTGGACGGTGGAACTTGGGGTTTTTGCGGTGGCGACCCACCCCTCTTCTTCTTCTTCTTCAACGACCGCGAAGACCCACAGCTCTTCTTGTTCAACGACGGCAACAAGCCCGAAGACCCACCACCGGTAATCAACTACAAATGAAGAAGACCACTTCCATGATCGGGGTGCTAATCGTCGATTCGTTGCGGACATCGGCTGATGGTGGTGATGGTGGGTGGTAGTGGTGGGGATGGCTGGCGATGGTGCCGCTCCTCTTTTCCTCTCTGCTATTCTATATATATATATATATATATATATGGGCAATAGTGTATATAGTGTATATATATAAGGGCAAATTTGACTTTTTATGAAATCTGAAATTTTACTATACAAATGAATTAATATTGGAGGGCAATATCGTCTTTTCAAATGTTTTAAGGGCTTGTTTGGATTACAATTATTAAAGGGGGTGTTTTTGTTCAAAAAATAATTAAGTTATATATGACTGTCAATACATCAAATCTTAAGGAGTGTTGTCCTAATTAACCTTAAATATAATTACTATCTCATTATATATAAATAGAGAGAGACACGCACACTCTTGTGTGAGTGATTTCTTTTGATGCACAGAACTAAAGAAGTTGAATGTCACAAGAATGGGCAGCATTTGGCTGAAGAATGGGCGTCAGCATTTGGCTGGTTGGATCGCCTTTAGCTCATTTTCATACCTTGATCACTGTAAAACAATTAGACGGATGATATACGCAGATACAACATACAATGTATAAAATTAATATATTGTTTCCACGAATAAATTAATCGTTTATATATATATATATAGTGTTACTAACATTTCTTTGTAACAAACTCTCAGCCATTGTCGTATATTTAATATTCTTGTTGAATCAATGAGCTGATTTCTTCGTCCCTATTGTCTTCAATCTTATCTTGGTTCCTGTTTAGTAGAGCTCCCATCTCCGCCCAGAATCATTGACTAAACAAAATAGGACAGGAGCGGGATGGGTTTAGTCGTTGTGTTCCACGAACATGCTGATTCATGTACACCACACGGTATTATATATTGGTGTTTTGTCAAACATTTCAACTAATTTAATGCAATGCTCATCATGTTCAATTTTCAAGACTTTGAAGATCCCTCTTGTGATTACCAAACAGACCCATTTGATTCGGTTATTTCCAATTGGTTCAAGAATCTATACATATAAAGAAGTTCTGTTAGAACTAGCAATAACAGTTCGCTAGATTTACTTCTATGTTATTGGCACTCGGTGGGAGGCTTGTACGACGAGTTATTAGCTCAATGGTAAAATGCATCCCTGATAATTGTGTCGTGCTTGGACTGTGAGGGCTCTCAGTTACGAGACCGCCTCGTAAGAAAAAAACATAGAGCAGGTTTGGCTGGCGCCCATGGTTTGTCAATGACTCGATGCCCAATTGTTTAATTTTGTGACAATCTAACGCTTTCTTCTATTCTTATACAACATTTCTCACGCCTTGTTAGCAGGAATAAACTAGTCTTTCTAGTAAAGACCCACACGTGAACAAATTATTGGCATAATAACTGCAGATTTTTGAGTTCCAGTGGTTTGAGAATCAAAGATGTAGCTAAGCCACACCTGGACTGCAGACATGTCTCGCGTCAGTGTTTCTATGCCAAATGCAAAGAATGGATGATGCAAGGACTTAAAAACTCTTGTTCATTTGTCATCGTAAACTTACCGGAGAAAATATGCAATGCATCAGAGGAAAGGCGGGAAAAGGAATAGCATTTCCATAACGATTTTACTAGAGAGGGATTTTCTTCGCGACCAATCCTGATAGTGGTACAACTGAGGAATACTGATGGTATAGCACTTTACAAAGATGAGCAAGCTTTACTATGGAAATTTTGGAAAGATGTCCGGAGACATATCATCGCACCAGTTCCATCTTTATTTGATCATTTATTCTAATTTAAACATGAAGTTCGATGACATACTATCCATCCTCATTGTCTTTGCACAAGATCTACTATTGCAGGCTTTTACCCCCATGATCAATCAAACAAGATTCCATGATGCAATTTTGAAACGGATATCTACACAGGAACAGAAGAAAGATTAGAATAACTAAAATACACAAGTAAATAAATATATACATACACAATATCCATCATACTCCGTAATTATTACACAGTCTAGAAAGTTCACATATAAAAGAGATGAATGGTTGTGTGTGGATAACGACATAACTAGACAAGTAGTGCATCTGCTATTCAGGTATCCTCAAACCCAAAGAAAATATATGCAAGACAGTCATGCACCAGGCGACTAAGTTAAATGGTGGTAGATCCTGTGAAGTTTTAATATTAGAGAGAGTATTATTCTCTCTAATATAAAAAAAGAGGACACCTGTAAGTGCGAAAAGTATTACTCAGATACCTCAACCCAATGCCTCAACCGCTGCATCTGGCTGCTTTTCTGGCATAGCGTCTTGGAAGGCAGGAAGCTCATTGTACGCCTCAAAAACCCTAGATAGAATAGGGAACTGAGTCTGCAAGAACCATCAAGGAAGAAAAGATTGTAAGTTGCAGATGTATAAATATAGTAGCAGATGCAAATATAGAAAGGCGAGAAGTAAAATGAGCCAATTCTAGGGCACAACAAGGAAGAAAACAGATAGTAATTTATGTGTCTGAGAACAGAAAAGAGCTTTGTACATTGTACTTAAAATCACTTTAAAAAGTAAACACAAGTGACAGGATAATTATTCCTAGTGCTAACCGATAGATGAAGAAACTGGATCCCAAATGCTAAAAGTTAAGACATGGATCTTTTTCCCATTTTTCCCTTTCCTCATTTCTTCAGGACGCAAATCCTAAAAGTTAAGACATGCAACTTATATGCATCACTTGAAACATATATATAAAATGCATCGATGCAGCTGATTATGAACCTATAGAATAGACATTACCATGTCAATGTTGAAACTGTTGATTGCTCGATGAATCTGAGGCACTAGAAACAAATCTGCCTGAAAATTATAGTCAATAAAATATGTTAGGAAATGATGTAAGCATCAGAAAATAATCTACAAGCACTCGTTTGCATTTAATTACGGTTGAAATTCCAGTGTGTTATGCCATTGTTATCAAGGTTGTATAGCTGAGACAACCACAAGTACTAATGCATACATAATCTGACAACTAGCTTTACATGTTTTCTAAGAGGTTCATCCCCATCTCCTCTCAAAATTTTTATAAGTAATAGACTTTGCACCATAAAAGTACTTGAGACTTTCTCCAAAAATAATAACATCATAAAATGTCAAAGCGGTATGTCGTGTATGTTGTCCTTTTCTAATTTTATATCTTCTTTTTGTTGAGCTCATTTTGCTGTAGGAAGTTCTTCTACACACAGAAAATCACTTATCTGTTTAAGCTACACTATACACTTGTACAAGCAAACAAAGTGGATCCAGAAAGTGGATTAACCATGGTGATTCTTATGGAAGTTTTTTCAGACAATTAAAGCTATTACCAGTTGAAATATGTCGTAGTACCCTGAGAGATATCAGGAAGCACATTTTTTTTCTTTTCCTAAAACCATTTTCTATCAAGTTGAAGTTCTGAACTCGAAAGTGTGAAGGCAATGCTTCACATTTCACTATGTTTTTGAAACTTCATCGAGATTTTAAACTCTCTACTTTTATCACCCTTCATCAAGTTTCACCCCCTGAGAATTGTGTCACTAATAAATTTTTTAATTCTACTGAACTGGTAAACTGCCTTCTAATTTTAATTTTCTTTTTCCCCAGTGGACAAACCCTTACATTCTTCTCAAATAAGATCTTCTCCCTCCACAAATCAAATGTTAGATTGGAGAACCTTGCATTCCAATTCTTTTATTTCTCCTATTAGAAAATCGGCTTTTTAATCAAAACACCACCTTGAAGGTTTTCAACCTAATTCACCATTCTCTGGTCTTCAAAATAAGGCCAGGGTAGCAAAATATTTCAAATTGAAATAATTTTTTTTTCATTGTTCAAAACACCACCACTTAACATAAATAAAAAATGTCATTACCCAGTTCAAGTCCTGCCATGTCAAGTCCTGTGAAGGGAGGACTTGATACCTAATCTTTGGTTTTTTTCAAAGAAGCTACTCTGAGGCTAAAACTCGAGCCAGTGGTACAGATGCCCAAGCATTTACCCGCTGAACCAGTCACTGACCCTCAATTAACACAAATATGGACCAAAATTTACATCTACAGAGCCACTTCTCATACGTTTGCAATATCAAAAGAGATGGACAGTTTTGAAATTATATGTTTCTATACAAGAGGCTCCTCGTACAGGAATGTCACTAACACATTAGAACTAACAAAGAAGAGGAGGACCTCTGATTCCAATTCCTTAAGAAAAAGAAGAAAAGACACTACTTTGCAGTCACAATCCTCCCTCCAAAAAGCACAAAAATGACCCATGGGACTTCTTTTAGAGTGAAAACTCTCAATCCATCGCATTTGCCTATCTTTTGTTTAATTAATTGAATCTCTATAATTATGCAAGCTGAGGTCCTTAATCTGTACAGCTTACACAGCCAGCTCAGCATCAAATTTCAACACTTGATTGAGGGATTAAATATTCATGCCACAACCCACCTCGTTCCTTCCACCAACCCGTGGAAGATCCAACAAATTCCACCTCCAGTTGAAGCCTTAAAGAAGGATACATACATGCACCTTGAAGTGTTTATGCAGCATAAGTATATACATATATATATAGGCTTCAGTAAACATGCCAGGGAAGAAACAAACCAAGAAAACTTCATCGCCAGTGGCATATTTCCCAGCATAGTCTTTTAACAGTTTCTCAAGAGCTGCAATACAACAGCATAGGAAAGTACAAAGTTAGTACCAGCCAAGATTTGCCTCACAGGATCATAATTGTTCTTTGAATGATAAAAGAATTGTAATCAGAACAAAATAACTTAATGATGGAAGTGCAGTGAAAAATTACCTGCAAACCCTTTCTCAATATGATACTTAGCCCAAGCAACACTCGCATCAGCATTAACGTGTTCCTCTATATACTTCTGTAAATGGCAAAGCATGAAAAATATTCAGAAACAACATGCTCGGACTATCTCATGATATCGTTATCTGAATTCCAGCAAAGAAAAGGTAATCCTAAAGCAGCAACTTCCATTGTTTACTCACCAGTACAACTAGATTCTGAAGAGGCTGTATGCTTGAGGAAACAATATTAGCAGCCTACAAATCAACATTGATGGATATATTCAAGGAATCAGCACAAAACAAAATTTAAAGTTCAACAGGATAAAGAAAATGAACGCACACAATTCTAAAGATTTAAAATCATCACTTGTTTATGCAACATATTATATCCTTAAATTAGGATGACAGAACTTCAACTAGAGCAGCGGTGTAGGACATGTTGTCCACTATGTAAAAGGTCAATCCACAAAACATTTTTCAACATGTTAGACTCACTAAGGCACTTTTTTTTAGTGGCATCATTGCAATATCCTTTCAAGAAGTCCATGTTCTTCACCTTCATTCAATAACTCATTATCTGTATACTAAACTCCCATCTAAGGTTCATATTTCTAACCCTAAAAGATTTTCAATATTACAATTTTAATCACAAGTATCATGGAACTATAGTAATATAAAGCTCTGACATGAGATGGAAACACCTCAAACCACATATATTGATTTAATACCTAAGTTAGGATTAACTTTGTTTAGTCCTTCTACCTTGTTCACTTTAGCAGATCTTGTTTAGCAGGACACTTGGATTAGGGATAATTAGGTGGCTGCCTAGATCTTTAAGTACATCTTGCTTCTCCTAGATATTAAAAGACAGAAGAACTATTTAAGGTGGTACATTAGTAATCACCTAGCTTGTTTGGATGAAAGAGACAAGTTAGCCTTCCAGGAAGGCTTTAGACAGATACTGATGGTTTGGTAGCGAGGAAAATAAAATGCATCCCTTAGACTTCTCCTTAGATGGAGTTAAAAATAACTCCTGAATTTTACATAATAGAATTTGAAACTCATTGTTCTCCTTGCGTGAGTAATTTATTCCTTGAGTGAGATAAAATTTGACCTTGGTAAGGTAATTTATTGCTAATCTTGCATCTTCTTGTGAGGATATCCTTGTGGAAAGTTACCACGGACCACCATGATGATTCATTGGGCAAATTCTATCTCCTGGCAGGAGGTACCCGCATCTTTGCATCAGGTGCTAGATTGTAGAGGTGGTCTGCCTCAATGTGATGTTAGATTGAGGGGCTGTTGGAACTTAAGTCTTGAAGCAGCCAAAAAGCATTCATGCTAGTCCATCCAATGGAACACAGGTTGTGAAAATAGTAGCAACCTTGTGCAAGAGAAAATTTCAGCTTATGATTTGAATACAACTCTTTATTCATTTCCAGAGTAGACACCACCACATTCAAATAATCAAGAAGATCCTAACAAAAGATAAGAGTAACCAAACATAATTGTCGATATATTTATTTAAAAATTATAGGTCTGAAACAAGTTTCACCAATAAGAAAGTACTAAATGTCAGATGTAGGACTCATAACCATGTATTGTCAATCAATAACTTTTAAGCAATGATTACTCTTTTCTTCACAAAATATGAGACAATAGATTATTCCATTTTATGTTTGATTCTCACCGTATATGAATATTTGTTACTATTCGCAAAATTGGTAGCAATCTAATTGCAAGATGACCTAAAAAACGTACAAAGGCTGTGAAAATTGCAAACTCCCGCCATCCTAGGGCCTGTGACAGCTTATAAGCCCAATACGTCTTTTAATGATTAAGACTCAAATATACTGCTGTAAATTGCCTATAGGCATCATCATAAAAATCATACCAATAATTAAATAAGAAGTGATAAGTGAAAATATACACCTATGGCCGACCATCCAACATCAAATAGCAATTTTGAAGGCAGAAGCACACAAATTCTTGCTTTATTTGTACACCCAGTTGTCAACACTATCAAGCTGGTGCCAAATTGCTGATACATATAGTCCACTAAAAAAGAAACCAAATTTTGGAAGAGTAACAAGCCAATTGCAATTTACCTGGTAATTAATTGCTCTTTTCTGAAGATCACGAGGCAACAGTGGATGTTGAGGATACTTTTCTTCTAGATACTGTACAACACAATGCACATACAATAATCCTTTTGGTGAAGTTCAAAACATTTTAGCGTCAAATTCACATCAAAGGACAACGAGAATAAAAGTCTTTTCACCATTAAGATCGCAAAAGAGTCAGCAACTACAAAGTCTTCATCTACCAGCACCGGTACATAACCAATAGGATTGAGCTTTGTAAATTCTGTACTCAAAAAAAATTGAGAACATGTTAAAAAGCCATATGAAGACTAAAAAATAAGTGTATGTCTGGTCCCCCAAAAAAAACATCGAGCTAGCATCCAAAAACTTTTGGGCCAACTTTTAAAAAATTGTGACAATGATTCAAGACTCAATTTTTTAAAGCCAAACTGAACATATAAAAGATTACAAGCAATAGATCAGAATGAAGTTATACATATTTTCTCTTATAATGGTGGGAGCCTCGTGCACTTGGCTGCCCCCATCCCCCCTACATCCTTTTTCATAAAATTTCTCTTGTAGAGGTGTATGAAATAGACCAAAATCAAAAAATGTATTTTATGAAGACAATCACATATCCAATTAGTGTTGCATTTCCAGATTCACCTTTTAAAATTCATGTCTATTTCCAGCTCAAAGTAACTTTCTTTGATAATTATACATCATGAAAAGAAAGTTATTAATCGTAATTTGTGAACAAGGAAAAAAAAAAATTGAAGTTAGAATGTCTATTGTATAACATTAAAGCCGGACACCCAATATGTTTATTATTATTAATGTCATATTTCATCATCATAGTATCATATAATTAAGCCGAAATACTATAATAAATCTCATAAGCCACTATATGCATATACATACATATATACACATTATTCTCACCAGGACTAAAGTGCTCTCCTTTCAACAAATTAATTGGTTTGTACTCATATTTGAGACCTGGTTTGAAAGGGGAAAAACCCAATGGTCAATACTTAACGAAATAAAAAATAAGGGTTTTACAAAGTGAAACCAACAGAAGAAAATGATTGATCAAATTTAGAGAGAGAGAGAGTAGTAGAGTGAAAGACCTTTCAAGTTGAGAGCGATACGAACACGCCAAGAGCAAGAGCTCTGCCAATAAGAATAGAGTTTCAGCTTCGTTGGCTCTTCACCACCACTCGCCTATTCACAAACAAACACCAGCTCCTTAGACAGTAAATTCAATTAATTGCGTTTGTAGCGATTGATGGGAAAGAAAATCAGAACAAAAGGCTAGAAAATTTTACTGGGGAAAACAAATTGAGAAATGGAAACAGAGCAATTGATTGGCGATGAATTTGAGAGACACCTACCATAGTGCACTCAGACCTGATCAGAACTACAGATTGAACAATTCTGTTGGCACCGATTTGTATGTTTATATTATATTGACATAGATATAGAGAGCTACGAGGCCAGTAGTGTCATACCTCTCTCTCTCTCTATATATATCGTAACCGATCATTGACTTTTATGAAGTTACAGAGATCAAGATAACTCTTCTCGACAAATATTGCTTTTACGCATATTCTTAATCAAATTTTTAACTCACTTCTTTTTCACGTGACTTTGCACTAGGTGGACAAATTACTACATGACACGACAAATTACTACATGACACGACAATATGATACGACATGATGTAAATGAGTTTGAGTTTAGCATAATCAGGTTTAGGTTATGAAAGATTTGACACGATTAACTCGTTTATTTAATCGTGTCGAGTTAAAATTGAGAAATTTAACCCGTATAACTCGTTTGTGATTCATTTGACATATTATAATTATGATTATGACCTATATAATATGTTACGTGTTTAAATCTAATTAGTACGAATAAGTAAGTCATTTTAATATAAATCTTATTTATTTTTCTTTTTATTTTGAATATTTGAATTAATTATGAAAATATTTTTTTATTATTTAATATTTGATTAAATATTACATGTCTCGTTTTGATAAACCGATCATTAAAAGGGTTAACACGTTTACTTGTTTAATAAACGGGTTGAGTTAGTTTTGAGATTTTTGACACAATTATTAAATAGGTTGGGTTTGGGTTTACCTATTTAGCATAATACCCTTGCATCGATACAATACAAACACGACCCACGAACACGATTTGCTACCCTTAGTAACATGACACATGATTATTTTAAATTATTAAAATTTTAAAACATTTTTTTATTCTCCTCAAAACTCTTCTTATGCCATTTTATATATAAACCACATTTCTCTCCTTCTCTAGCCTTTTTCTTTCACACACTGCTCCTAAATTCTCTCTTTCTCCACGATTTTTCTCCCCTCAATGGTAAGTTTCTCCCCCTCACTCTACATATACAACACATTTCAAAGAAGAAAAAAAAAAACTCTTAATATTTTCATTTTCGTCAAATAACAGTTATATCCTTTATATGTAGGGTTAGGCAATTTATATTTATTTAGTTTTTTAATATAAAAAACTCAGTACACTTTAGTTTTTTAATCTCTTCACTAACAACCGGCTCTTGTTCATTCCAAAAGTAATAGTTAGATATTTTTAAGAACAAATATATCCTTTATACCAAAAGTAATAGTTAGGAAATTTATTTTTTGTCATGATCTTTTGGGATATGATTGGATGGGATTTACACTTACATATAACTTTTGATAATGTATTAATCTTTTGGGTTATATTTAGATTTAAGTATGGGTGTAGATAAATTTACTTGTTTTGTAACCGAAAGGACTCATGGAACTAATATTATTAAATATTTTTCTTGATTTATTGGATTTTAAAAAATGAGATTACTCAAATTCTTAGTATTTATTGGTTACTGTTCTTTGTCACACAACTGTTTTGGTGTAAAAATGAAAAAGTGTCAACATTCAGACCCTATGGATTTTGTTTAACAACAAAATGTGAATCTGGTGGATCAATAATATGGGTAGTTTTGAGGCCTCTCCAAAAATAGTCTAAAAGATAATGTAAGGTAATGAGAGAAAGATAGTAGAAAAACAGCGATTAATGAAGAGTCAGTAAAAAGGTGAAAAATCAACATGTTGGCAGTAAACACGTGACTTGAAACAACTGTAAAAGAAGAGAAATACAAATCCATTTAAAACTATCCAATAGGATCTGCGACTGCGGATCCATAGTCGCAAGTGTTGATTGTGTTTAGCAGTCCCCCCCCCCCTCCCCTCTCTATATATATATATATAGACAAAAGTGTTATTTAGACAATTTATAAAAAAAATAAATATAGGGGTAAAGTGCAAAAAAAAACCCCTTGAACTATGTTTGAATGTGCAAATAGCCCATTGAATTATATTTTGTGCATAAAACCTCATAAACTATCTCTTTTTGTTGCAACATACCCCATGGACTGTACTATATTTCATTAAATGACCATAATGCCCCTTCTTATTAAATTACATTTAATATATTTTTCTTATCTAATAAATTATGAAAAAATTCATACTAATTTAATGAGATATTTTCCATTAAATTTGCATAAATTTACCTTTAATTTTTTAATTATTTATTTAAATAAAAAATTTTAGTATTAACTTTTTAAAAAAATTAATTAATTTTTAATTTTTAATGAATATATTACATGAAAAGAATATATTTTTTTCAAAAGTATTTTATTAATTTTTCATCAATATATTGTCTGATTTTTTACAATAAAAATATTTAAATTGGTTATAATACGTTTTATAAATAATAAGTTAATCAATTTACAAAATAGTAGTTACAAATCTATTTATCTTTCTTTTTCATTTTTATGATAAATTGATACTAAAAATAAAATAAAAGTAAATGGTATAATTAATATTAGAAAAGATAATAAAAATAATTTAATAAGAAATGAAAATTTTAATGAGAAAGAGTAAAATAGTTTTTTTGTGATGAATTTGTCCTTAATAACAACAAATCAATAGTTCAGGAGACGGTTTTTAGTTCAAGGGAGATAAAGGAGATGCCACAATATAATGCATAAAATTAATATATTGTTTACACGAATAAATTAATATATATATATATATATATATATATATATTTATAGTGTTACTAACATTTCTTTGTAACAAACTCTATTGTTGTATATTTAATTATTCTTGTTGATTCAATGAGCTGATGTCTTCGTCCCAGTTGTCTTCAATCTTATCTTCGTTCCTGTTTAGTAGAGCTCCCATCTCCGCCCAAAATCATTGATTGAACAAAATTGGGCGGGAGCGGGATGGGTTTAGTAGTTGTGCTCCACAAACACGCTGATTCATGTCCACCACACTGTATTATATATCTGTGTTATGTAAAACATTTCAAACTAATTTAACGCAATGCTCATCATGTTCATTTTTCAAGCCTCTGAAGATGCCTCTTATGATTACCAAAAAGACCTATTTGATTCGGTTATTTCAAAATGGTTCAAGAATCTATACACAAAGAAGTTTTGTTAGAACAAGCAATAACAGTTCGCTAGATTTACTTGCATGTGCAATTTACTCACTGCTCGTATGCTCTTCTACCATTGACACTCAGTGGGAGGCTTGCATGACGGGTTATTAGCTCTGTGGTAGAGTACATCCCTGATATGTGTTTTTGTGCTTGGACTGTGAGGGCTCTCAGTCACGCGACCCCCTTGTAAGAAGAAAATGTGGAGCAGGATTGGCTGGTGCCCATTTGGCTGGTGCCCATTTCTTCTATTCTTATACAACATTTCTCACGCCATATTAGCAGGAATAAACTTGTTTTTCTAGTAAAGACCCACACGTGAACAAATTATTGGCATAATAACTGCAGATTCTTGAGTTCCAGTGGTTTGAGAATCAAAGATGTAGATAAGCCACACCTGGACTGCAGACATGTCTCGCGTCAGTGTTTCTATGCCAAATGCAAAGAATGGATGATGCGAGGACTTAAAAACTCTTGTTCATTTGTCATCGTAAACTTACCGGAGAAAATATGCAATGCATCAGAGGAAAGGCGGGAAAAGGAATACCATTTCCATAACGATTTTACTAGAGAGGGATTTTCTTCGCGACCAATCCTGATAGTGGTACAACTGAGGAATAGTGATGGTATAGCAATTTACAAAGATGAGCAAGCTTTACTATGGAAATTTTGGAAAGATATCCGGAGACATATCATCGCACCAGTTCCATCTTTATTTGATCATTTATTCTAATTTAAACATGAAGTTCGATGACATACTATCCATCCTCATTGTCTTTGCACAAGATCTACTATTGCAGGCTTTTACCCCCATGATCAATCAAACAAGATTCCATGATGCAATTTTGAAACGGATATCTACACAGGAACAGAAGCAAGATTAGAATCACTAACATACACAAGTAAATATATATATACCTACACACTATACATCATACTCCTTAATTATTACACTGTCTAGAAAGTTCACATATAAAAGAGATGAATGGTTGTGTGTGGATTACGACATAACTAGACAAGTAGTGCATCTGCTATTCAGGTATCCTCAAACCCAAAGAAAATATATGCAAGACAGTCATGCACCAGGCGACTAAGTTAAATGGTGGTAGATCCTATGAAGTTTTAATATTAGAGAGAGTATTATTCTCTCTAATATAAAAAAAAAGAGGACACCTGTAAGTGCGAAAAGTATTACTCAGATACCTCAACCCAATGCCTCAACCGCTGGGTGCATCTGGCTGCTTTTCTGGCATAGCGTCTCGGAAGGCAGGAAGCTCATTGTACGCCTCAAAAACCCTAGATAGAATAGGGAACTGAGTCTGCAAGAACCATCAAGGAACAAAAGATTGTAAGTTGCAGATGTATAAATATAGTAGCAGATGCAAATATAGAAAGGCGAGAAGTAAAATGAGCCAATTCTAGGGCACAACAAGGAAGAAAACAGATAGTAATTTATGTGTCTGAGAACAGAAAAGAGCTTTGTACATTGTACTTAAAATCACTTTAAAAAGTAAACACAAGTGACAGAATAATTATTCCTAGTGCTAGCCGATAGATGAAGAAACTGGATCCCAAATGCAAAAAGTTAAGACATGGATCTTTTTCCCATTTTTCCCTTTCCTCATTTCTTCAGGATGCAAATCCTAAAAGTTAGACATGCAACTTATATGCATCACTTGAAACATATATATATAATGCATCGATGCAGCTGATTATGAACCTATAGAATAGACATTACCATGTCAATGTTGAACCTGTTGATTGCTCCATGAATCTGAGGCGCTAGAAACAAATCTGCCTGAAAATTATAGTCAATAAAATATGTTAGGAAATGATGTAAGCATCAGAAAATAATCTACAAGCACTCGTTTGCATTTAATTACAGTTGAAATTCCAGTGTGTTATGCCATTGTTATCAAGGTTATATAGCTGAGACAACCACAAGTACTAATGCATACATAATCTGACAACTAGCTTTACATGTTTTCTAAGAGGTTCATCCCCATCTCCTCTCAAAATTTTTATAAGTAATAGACTTTGCACCATAAGAGTACTTGAGACTTTCTCCAAAAATAATAACATCATAAAATGTCAAAGCGGTATGTCGTGTATGTTGTCCTTTTCTAATTTTATATCTTCTTTTTGTTGAGCTCATTTTGCTGTAGGAAGTTCTTCTACACACAGAAAATCACTTGTCTGTTTAAGCTACACTATACACTTGTACAAGCAAACAAAGTGGATCCAGAAAGTGGATTAACCATGGTGATTCTTATGGAAGTTTTTTCAGACAATTAAAGCTAATACCAGTTGAAATATGTCGTAGTACCCTGAGAGATATCAGGAAGCACATTTTTTTTCTTTTCCTAAAACCATTTTCTATCAAGTTGAAGTTCTGAACTCGAAAGTGTGAAGGCAATGCTTCACATTTCACTAGGTTTTTGAAACTTCATCGAGATTTTAAACTCTGTACTTTTATCACCCTTCATCAAGGTTCACCACCTGAGAATTGTGTCACTAATAAATTTTTTAATTCTACTGAACTGGTAAACTGCCTTCTAATTTTAATTTTCTTCTTCCCCAGTGGACAAACCCTTACATTCTTCTTGAAATAAGATCTTCTCCCTCCTCAAATCAAATGTCAGATTGGAGAACCTTGCATTCCAATTCTTTTATTTCTCCTATTAGAAAATCGGCTTTTTAATCAAAACACCACCTTGAAGGTTTTCAACCTAATTCACCATTCTCTGGTCCTTCAAATAAGGCCATGGTAGCAAAATATTTCAAATTGAAATAAATTTTTTTTCATTGTTCAAAACACCATCACTTAACACAAATAAAAAATGTCATTACCCAGTTCTAGTCCTGCCATGTCAAGTCCTGTGAAGGGAGGATTTGATACCGAATCTCTGGTTTTTTTCAAAGAAGCTACTCTGAGGCTAAAACTCGAGCCAGTGGTACAGATGCTCAAGCTTTTACCCGCTGAACCAGGCACTGACCCTCAATTAACACAAATATGGACCAAAATTTACATCTACAGAGCCACTTCTCATACGTTAGCAATATCAAAAGAGATGGACAGTTTTGAAATTATATGTTTCTATACAAGAGGCTCCTCCTACAGGAATGTCACTAACACATTAGAACTAACAAAGAAGAGGAGGACCTCTGATTCCAATTCCTTAAGAAAAATAAGAAAAGACACTACTTTGCAGTCACAATCCTCCCACCAACAAGCACAAAAATGACCCATGGGACTTCTTTTAGAGTGAAAACTCTCAATCCATCGCATTTGGCTACCTTTTGTTTAATTAATTGAATCTCTATAATTATGCAAGCTGAGGTCCTTAATCTGTACAGCTTACACAGCCAGCTCAGCACCAAATTTCAGCACTTGATTGAGGGATTAAATATTCATGCCACAACCCACCTCGTTCCTTCCACCAACCTGTGGAAGATCCAACAAATTCCACCTCCAGTTGAAGCCTTAAAGAAGGATATATACATGCACCTTGAAGTGTTTATGCAGCATAAGTATATACATATATATATAGGCTTCAGTAAACATGCCAGGGAAGAAACAAACCAAGAAAACTTCATCGCCAGTGGCATATTTCCCAGCATAGTCTTTTAACAGTTTCTCAAGAGCTGCAATACAACAGCATAGGAAAGTACAAAAGTTAGTACCAGCCAAGATTTGCCTCACAGGATCATAATTGTTCTTTGAATGATAAAGAATTGTAATCAGAACAAAAAAAACTTAATGATGGAAGTGCAGTGAAAAATTACCTGCAAACCCTTTCTCAATATGATACTTAGCCCAAGCAACCCTCGCATCAGCATTAACGTTTTCCTCTATATACTTCTGTAAATGGCAAAGCATGAAAAATATTCAGAAACAACATGCTCGGACTATCTCATGACATCGTTATCTGAATTCCAGCAAAGAAAAGGTAATCCTAAAGCAGCAACTTCCATTGTTTACTCACCAGTACAGCTAGATTCAGAAGAGGCTGTATGCTTGAGGAAACAATATTAGCAGCCTACAAATCAACATTGATGGATATATTCAAAACACAAAACAGAATTAAAAGTTCATCAGGATAAAGCAAATAAACGTACACAATTCTAGAGATTCAAAATCATCACTTGTTTATCCAACATATTATATCCTTAAACTAGGATGACAGAACTTCAACTAGAGCAGGGGTGTAGGACATGTTGTCTACTATGTAAAAGGTCAATCCACAAAACATTTTTCAATATGTTAACTCACTAAAACACTTTTTTTTAGTGGCATCATTGCAATATCTTTTCAAGAAGTCCATGTTCTTCCCCTTCATTCAATAACTCATTATCTGTATCCTAAACTCCCATCTAAGGTTCATATTTCTAACCCTAAAAGATTTTCAATATTACAATTTTAATCACAAGTATCACGGAATTATAGTAATATAAAGCTCTGACATGAGATGGAAAGACCTCAAACCACATATATTGATTTAATACCTAAGTTAGGATCAACTTTGTTTAGTCCTTCTACCTTGTTCACTTCAGCAGATGTTGTTTAGCAGGGTACTTGGATTAGGGATAATTAGGTGGCTGCCTAGATCTTTAAGTACATCTAGCTTCTCCTAGATATTAAAAGACAGAAGAACTATATAAGGTGGTACATTAGTAATCACCTAGCTTGTTTGGATGAAAGAGACAAGTTAGCCTTCCAGGATGGCTTTAGACAGATACTGATCGTATGGTAGCGAAGAAAATAAAATGCATCCCTTAGACTTCTACTTAGACGGAGTTAAAAATTACTCCTGAATTTTACATAATAGAATTTGAAACCATTGTTCTCCTTGCATGAGTAATTTATTCCTCGAGTGAGATAAAATTTGACCTTGGTAAGGTAATTTATTGCTAATCTTGCATCTTCTTGTGAGGATATCCTTGTGGAAAGTGACCACTGACCACCATGATGATTCATTGGGTAAATTCTATCTCCTGGCAGGAGGTACCCACAACTTTGCATCAGGTGCTAGATTGTAGAGGTGGTCTGCCTCAATGTGATGTTAGATTGAGGGGCTGTCGGAACTTGAATCTTGAAGCAACCAAAAAGCATTCATGCTAGTTCATCCAATGGAACACAGGTTGTGAAAATAGTAGCAACCTTGTGCAAGAGAAAATTGCAGCTTATGATTTGAATACAACTCTTTATTCATTTCCAGAGTGGACACCACCACTCTTAACAAAAGATAAGAGTAACCAAACATAATTGTCGATATATTTATTTAAAAATTATAGGTCTGAAACGAGTTTCACCAATAAGAAAGTACCATATGTCAGATGTAGGACTCATAACCATGTATTGTCAATCAATAACTTTTAAGCAATGATTAATCTTTTCTTCACAAAATATGAGTCAATAGATTATTCCATTTTATGCTTGATTCTCACCGTATCTGAATATTTGTTACTATTCGCAAAATTGGTAGCAATCTAATTGCAAGATAACCTAAAAAACCTACAAAGGCTGTGAAAATTGCCAACTCCCGCCATCCTAGGGCCTGTGAGAGCTTATATGCCCAATACGTCTTTTAATGATTAAGACTCAAATATACTGCTGTAAATTGCCTATAGGCATCATCATAAAAATCATTCCAATAATTAAATAAGAATTGATAAGTGAAAATATACACCTATGGCCGACCATCCAACATCAAATAGCAATTTTGAAGGCAGAAGCACACAAATTCTTGCTTTATTTGTACACCCAGTTGTCAACACTATCAAGCTGGTGCCAAATTGCTGATAAATATAGTCCACTAAAAAAGAAACCAAATTTTGGAAGAGTAACAAACCAATTGCAATTTACCTGGTAATTAATTGCTCTTTTCTGAAGATCACGAGGCAACAGTGGATGTTGAGGATACTTTTCTTCTAGATACTGTACAACACAATGCACATACGATAATCCTTTTGGTGAAGTTCAAAACATTTTAGAGTCAAATTCACATCAAGGGACAACGAGAATAAAAGTCTTTTCACCATTAAGATCGCAAAAGAGTCAGCAACTACAAAGTCTTCATCTACCAGCACCGGTACATAACCAATAGGATTGAGCTTTGTAAATTCTGTACTCAAAAAAAATTGAGAACATGTTAAAAAGCCATATGAAGACTAAAAAATAAGTGTATGTCTGGTCCCCCAAAAAAACATCGAGCTAGCATCCAAAAACTTTTGGGCCAACTTTTAAAAAATTGTGACAATGATTCAAGACTCAATTTTGTAAAGCCAAACTGAACATATAAAAGATTACAAGCAATAGATCAGAATGAAGTTATACATATTTTCTCTTATAATGGTGGGAGCCTCGTGCACTTGGCTGCCCCCATCCCCCCTACATCCTTTTTCATAAAATTTCTCTTATAGAGGTGTATGAAATAGACCAAAATCAAAAAATGTATTTTATGAAGACAATCACATATCCAATTAGTGTTGCATTTCCAGATTCACCTTTTAAAATTCATGTCTATTTCCAGCTCAAAGTAACTTTCTTTGATAATTATACATCATGAAAAAGAAAGTTATTAATCGTAATTTGTGAACAAGGAAAAAAAAAAAAAAAAATTTGAAGTTAGAATGTCTATTATATAACATTAAAGCCGGACACCCAATATGTTTATTATTATTAATGTCATATTTCATCATCATAGTATCATATAATTAAGCCGAAATACTATAATAAATCTCATAAGCCACTATATGCATATATATACATATATATACATTATTCTCACCAGGACTAAAGTGCTCTCCTTTCAACAAATTAACTGGTTTGTACTCATATTTGAGACCTGGTTTGAAAGGGGAAAAACCCAACGGTCAATACTTAACGAAATAAAAAATAAGGGTTTTACAAAGTGAAACCAACAGAAGAAAATGATTGATCAAATTTAGAGAGAGGGAGAGAGTAGTAGAGTGAAAGACCTTTCAAGTTGAGAGCGATACGAACACGCCAAGAGCAAGAGCTCCGCCAATAAGAATAGAGTTTCAGCTTCGTTGGCTCTTCACCACCACTCGCCTATTCACAAACAAACAACAGCTCCTTAGACAGTAAATTCAATTAATTGGGTTTGTAGCGATTGATGGGAAAGAAAATCAGAACAGAAAGCTAGAAAATTTTACTGGGAAAAACAAATTGAGAAATGGAAACAGAGCAATTGATTGGCGATGAATTTGAGAGACACCCACCATAGTGCAATCAGACCTGATCAGAACTACAGATTGAACAATTCTGTTGGCACCGATTTGTATGTTAATATTATATTGACATAGATAGAGAGAGCTACGATGCCAGTTGTGTCATACCTCTATACATATGTATATATGTATATGCTGGGTGGCGGCCCTTTCATGCATCAATCCACTCAAGTAATTACACCGGGCAAAGAGAGAAAAACCTGTTAATATTTATTTTCATATATTTGGAAAGGGCTTAATGTCCATCCATACCCAATCATTGACATTTAAGAAGCTATGCGCATGACACATTATTATTTTAAATTATAAAGTTTTTAAAACATCTTTTTACTCTCCTTAAAAACCTTTCCTATACCAATTTATATAAAAACCAAATTTTCCCCTTTCTCTAGCCTTTTTTCTTCTCTCTATATATACCACACATTTCAAAGAAATTTTTAAAAAACTCTTAATGTTTACATTTTCGTCAAATAACAGTTATATCCTTTGTATGTAGTGTCAGGCATTTTATATTTACTTAGTTTTTTATAAAACAAAAAATGAGTTACAGTTCACTTTAGTCTTTTAATCTCTTCACTAACAATAGGCTCTTGTTTCATACCAAAAGTAATGGTTAGGGACTTTTAAGAACAGTTATATCCTTATACCAAAAGTAATGGTTAGGGACTTTATTTTTGGTCACTATCTTTTAAAATATGATTGGATGGAATTTACACTCATATATAACTTTTGATTGTGTATAAATCTTTTTGGGTATGTTTAGATTTAATTATGAGTGTAGATAAATTTTAATAGTACTTTTTTGTAACTGAAAGGACTAATGGCATTAATATTACTAAATATTTTTTCATGATTTATTGGGTTTTAAAAAATGAGATTACTCAAATTTTTAATATTTATTGGTTACGGTTCCTTGTCACACAACTTTTTTGGGTGTAAAAATGAGTTAAAAGTGTCAACATTGAGACTATGGATTTTGTTTAACAAAATATGACCGTGAATCAATAAGTGTCAAAGATGTCTCTTATTTAGACAATTTATAAAAAAAATAAATATAAGGATAGAATGCAAAAAACCCCATTGAACTATGTTTGAATGTGCTAATAACCTCCTTGAACTATATTTTGTATATAAAATCTCCTAAACTATTTCTTTTTGTTGCAACATATCCCAAGGACTATGCTATGTTTCATTAAATGACCATAATGCCCCTTCTTATTGAATTACAATTAATATATTTTTCTTATCTAAATAAATTATGAAAAAATTCAGACTAATTTAATGAGATATTTTTCATTAAATTTGCATAAATTTACCTTTAATTTTTTAATTATTTATTTAAATAAAAAATTTAGTATAAAATTTTTTTAAAAAAAATAATTAATTTTTTAATTTTTAATGAATATATTACATGAAAAGAAGGTATTTTTTTCTAAAGTATTTTATTAATTTTTCATCAACATATTGTATGAAAAAATTATATTTTTTTACAATAAAAATATTTAAATTGGTTATAATACGTTTTATTATAAATAATAAAGTGTTAATAATAAGTTAATCAATTTAGAAAATGGTAGTTACAAATCTACTTATCTATTTTTTTCATTTTTATGATAAATTGATACTAAAAATAAAATTAAGGTAAATAGTATAATTAATATTTACATAAGAGAAAAGATAATTAAAATAATTTAATAAAAAATGAAAATTTTAATGAGAAAGGGTAAAATAGTCTGTTGTAATGAATTTGTCCTTAATTACAACAAATCAATAGTTCAGGGGTATTATTTACAAAAAGGTAATAGTTTAGGATATTTTTTTGCACGTAACCCTAAATATAATTATCTCATTATATATATATATATATATATATAGACACAAGTGCACTCCATGATTTTTACTTTTTATTTATTTTATTTATTTATTTATTATTATTATTATTATTTTTTGTCGTTGGTAAAAAACTCACACACACCACTCACATACTCGCTTTGCTCATTTGAAGACCGAAACACTCACCATTCACTTTGGGAAATAAAAGAGATACCACAATACATGTATAAAATTAATATATTGTTTCCACAAATAAATTAATAAACTATATGTGTGTGTGTAGATATATATATATAGTGTTACTAAAATTTCTTTGTAACAAACTCTCGCTGCCATTGTTGTATATTTATGATTCTTGTTGAATCAATTAGCTGATTTCTTCGTCCCTGTTGTCTTCAATCTTATCTTCGTTCCTGTTTAGTAGAGCTCCCCCAAAATCATTGATTAAACAAAATAGAGCGGGAGTGGGATTGGTTTAGTAGTTGTGCTCTACTAACATGCTGATTCATGTATCACCACATGGTATTATATAATGGTGTTTTGCAAAACATTTCAATCTAACTTAATGCTGTGACAACTCGAATTTTTTTAGATTTTCATTTATAATTTTATTTTTAAGTTTGTTTTTGTGGAGGTGCAGTTGTTATTTTATATATAGTTTATATATATATATATATATTAGTGTGTAGAAGGGTGGAGAAGGAAGTAGAAGGACGTAAAAGGTGACTCTGCCGAATTGATGGGTTGGTTTGATTTGGTGATATAATGATTAATTTTTTTTTTCTGCTTTTTGACCAAGTTTTTGTAGATAGAAATTGTGGTTGGTGATGATGGTTTGGCGCGGGTCTCACAAGGATGATGAATGGGTTTTAATTTAGGAAAAATTACATATAAATGGAGTTAAAGTTTCATATTTATTTAGAGGCTAAGTCAAAATTTCATATTTTTTTAAAATAGATTGCTGAGGTGGCATATGGTTTTTTACTATTTAGAAATTGTGGTGCCTAAAATACCCTTCAGCGGAGGTATTACTTTTTCTTCGAAGGTATTACTTTTTTGAACTAAAGGTATTACTTTTTGGCGTCCAGGTATCATGTTTTTTAAACACCCGCGAAGGTACTACTTTTTCTCCGAAGGTATTACTTTTTTGAACTGAAGGTACTACTTTTTTGTTAGGGAAGGGCATTTTAGGCACCAAAATTTTCTAAACAGTAAAAAACCATGTACCACCTCAGCAATCCATTTTAGAGAAATATGAAACTTTGACTCAGTCTTTAAGTAAATATGGAATTTTGATTCCATTTATATGTAATTTTTCCTTTAATTTATATATATATATATATATATATATATAGTGCATCAGATGAATGATGCACATGAAGGCAGCAACAGGTGGAGTGAAATGTGGAATGCAAAGTTGATTTGGTGGGTTGCGGGTCTCACTTGAGAAAGAGATTTGTTTTTTTTCGGTTACAATTATATATATATATATATATATATATATATATATATAGTAGCATAAGATGAAGGAAATGGGCAGGTGGCCGCGGAAGTGATGAGGGAGAAAGGAAAATTGAAATATTTGAGGTCGGTGGATTTGCCTATATATTTGAGTATAAGTTAGTATGCAGAGAAGAGAAAAAAAATAGAGGAAGGCACCGAGAGTTTCAGGAAAGACAGGCAAGAGTGAGAGAGAGAGAGAGAGAGAGAGAGTGAATCGAGAGTTTGCAGAGGAGGCTAGAGCTTGAGGTCTTGATGATCCAGTGAGGAATTCTTTTTTTTTTCAGTCTAAACTTTGAATGACTTGGAGTAATTTTGTTTCAATAGTTTTTATTAAATGTTTTGATTAAATGCGTATTTATTTTATTTATATATTTACATGAAATATGTATATTTTGTGAAGTTGTTTTGTTAAATCTCAATTCTTATTATGATTTTTTCTACGGGGATGTTTATCTCACCACACTCTAGTTTTAGGTACCGAAAATGAACGGAGATGGCTAAATTCAGGCTTAGGTAGAAGGATTTATTTTATTTATTTGGCGGATTTTTTTGTATTTGAAAAAATTAATTTTGTATAAAAGAGAACATTTTTTATTATTATTATGATCCTAAATATATTTTAATGTATTTGGATTTGTATAAATTGAGAATTTTATTAAAATTTTCGGGTCGTGACAAATGCAATGCTCGTCGTGTTCATTTTTCAAGCCTCTGAATATGCCTCTTCTGATTACCAAAAAGATCTATTTGATTCGGTTATTTCAAAATGGTTCAAGAATCTATACACAAAAAGAAGTTTTGTTAGAACTAGCAACAACAGTTCTCTAGATTTACTTGTGTGCACAATTTACTCACTGCTCGTACGCTCCTCTACCATTGACACTCGGTGGGAGGCTTGCATAACGGGTTATTAGCTCAGTGGTAGAGTACATTCCTGATAATTATGTCGTCGTGCTTGTACTGTGAGGACTCTCAGTCACACGACCCCCTTGTAAGAAGAAAACGTGGAGCAGGATTGGCTTGTGCCCATTTGTTTGTCAATGACTCCATGCCCAATTGTTAGATATTGTGACAATCTAATGCTTTCTTCTATTCTTATACAACATTTCTCACGCCTGATTAAGCAGGAATAAACTTGTTTTTCTAGTAAAGACCCATACGTGAACAAATAATTGGCATAATAACTGCAGATTCTTGAGTTCCAGTGGTTGGAGAATCAAAGATGTCGCTAAGCCACACCTGGACCGTAAACATGTTCAGGAAAGCTAATGACCACCAAGAATAGATCGCTCGCGTCAGTGTTTCTATGCCATATGCAAAGAATGGATGATGCAAGGACTTAAAAACTCTTGTTCATTTGTCCCCGTAAACTTACCGGAGAAAATATGCAATGCATCAGAGGAAAGGAGGGAAAAGGAATAGCATTTCCATAGCGATTTTACTAGAGAGGGATTTTCTTCGCGAGCAATCCTGATAGTGGTAAAACTGAGGAATACTGATGGTATAGCAATTTACAAAGATGAGAAAGCTTTATTATGGAAATTTTGGAAAGATGTCCGGAGAATATCATCGCACCAGTTCCATCTTTATTTGATCATTTATTCTAATTTAAACATGAAGTTCGATGACATACTATCCATCCTCATTGTCTTTGCACAAGATCTACTATTGCAGGCTTTTACCCCCATGATCAATCAAACAAGATTCCATGATGCAATTTTGAAACGGATATCTACACAGGAACAGAAGAAAGATTAGAATCAGTAAAATACACAAGTAAATATATATATACATACACACTATCCATCATACTCCGTAATTATTACACAGTCTAGAAAGTTGACATATAAAAGAGATGAATGGTTGTGTGTGGATAACGACATAACTAGACAAGTAGTGCATCTGCTATTCAGGTATCCTCAAACCCAAAGAAAATATATGCAAGACAGTCATGCACCAGGCGACTAAGTTAAATGGTGGTAGATCCTATGAAGTCTTAATATTAGAGAGAGTATTATTCTCTCTAATATATAAAAAAGAAGACACCTGTAAGTGCGAAAGTATTACTCAGATACCTCAACCCAATGCCTCAACCGCTGGGTGCATCTGGCTGCTTTTCTGGCATAGCGTCTTGGAAGGCAGGAAGCTCATTGTACGCCTCAAAAACCCTAGATAGAATAGGGAACTGAGTCTGCAAGAACCATCAAGGAACAAAAGATTTAAGTTGCAGAAGTATAAAAATAGTAGCAGATGCAAATATAGAAATGCAAGAAGTAAAATGAGCCAATTTGGGGGCTCAAGAAAGAAAACAGATAGTAATTATGTATTTGAGAACAGAAAAGAGCATTGTATATTGTACTTAAAATTACTTTAAAAAGTAAACACAAGTGACAGGATAATTATTCCTAGTGCTAGCCAATAGATGAAGAAACTGGATCCCAAATGCAAAAAGTTAAGACATGGATCTTTTTCCCATTTTTCCCTTTCCTCGTTTCTTCAGGATGCAAATCCTAAAAGATAAGACATGCAACTTTTATGCATCACTTGAAACATATATATAAAATGCATCGATGCAGCTGATTATGAACCTATAGAATAGACATTACCATGTCAATGTTGAACCTTTTGATTGCTCCATGAATCTGAGGCGCTAGAAACAAATCTGCCTGAAAATTATAGTCAATAAAATATGTTAGGAAATGATGTAAGCATCAGAAAATAATCTACAAGCACTCGCTTGCATTTAATTACGGTTGAAATTCCAGTGTGCTATGCCATTGTTACCAAGGTTGTATAGCTGAGACAACCACAAGTACTAATGCATACATAATCTGACAACTAACTTCGCATGCTTTCTAAGAGGACCATCCCCATCTCCTCCCAAAATTTTTATAAGCAATAGACTTTGCACCATAAGAGTACTTGAGACTTTCTCCAAAAATAATAACATTATAAAATGTCAAAGCGGTCTGTCGTGTATGTTGTCCTTTTCTAATTTTATATCTTCTTTTTGTTGAGCTCATTTTGCTATAGGAAGTTCTGCTAGACACACAAAACCACTTATCTGTTTAAGCTACACTATACACTTGTACAAGCAAACAAAGTAGATTCAGAAAGTGGATTAACCATGGTGATTCTTATGGAAGTTTTTTCAGACAATTAAAGCTATTACCAGTTGAAATATGTCGTACCCTGAGAGATATCAGGAAGCACTTTTTTTTTTTTAAACCGTTTTCTATCAAGTTGAAGTTCTGAACTCGAAAGCGTGAAGGCAATGCTTCACATTTCACTAGGTTTTTGAAACTTCATCGAGAGTTTAAACTCTGTACTTCTATGTTTCATCAAGTTCACCCTTACATTCTTCTTCAAATAAGATCTTCTCCCTCCTCAAATCAAATGTTAGATTGGAGAACCTTGCATTCCAATTCTTTTATTTCTCCTATTAGAAAGTCGGCTTTTTAATCAAAACACCACCTTGAAGGTTTTCAACCTAATTCACCATTCTCCCATCTTCAAAATAAGGCCATGGTAGTTAAATATTTCAAATTGAAATACTTTATTTTTTCATTGTTCAAAACACCACCACTTAACACAAATAAAAAATGTCATTACCCAGTTCTAGTCCTGCCATGTCAAGTCCTGGAAGGGAGGACTCGATACCTAATCTTTGGTTTTTTTCAAAGAAGCTACTCTGAGGCTCAAACTCGAGCCAGTGGTACAGATGCTCAAGCATTTACCCGCTGAACCAGGCATTGACCCTCAATTAACACAAATATGGACCAAAATTTACATCTACAGAGCCACTTCTCACACATTTGCAATATCAAAAGAGATGGACAGTTTTGATATTACATGTTTATATACAAGAGGCTTCTCCTACAGGAATGTCACTAACACATTAGAACTAACAAAGAAGAGGGGACCTCTGATTCCAATTCCTTAAGAAAAAGAAGAAAAGACACTACTTTGCAGTCACAATCCTCCCTCCAACAGGCACAAAAATAACCTATGGGACTTCTTTTAGAGTGAAAACTCTCAATCCATTGCATTTGGCTATCTTTTGTTTAATTAATTGAATCTCAATAATTATGCAAGCTGGGGTCCTTAGTCTCTACAGCTTACACAGCCAAAGTATCAAATTTCAACACTTGATTGAGGGATTAAATATTCATGCCACAACCCACTCGTTCCTTCCACCATCCCGTGGAAGATCCAACAAATTCCACCTCCAGTTGAAGCCTTAAAGAAGGATATATACATGCACCTTGAAGTGTATATGCAGCACAAGTATATACATATATAAATAGGCTTCAGTAAAGATGCCAGGGAAGAAACAAACCAAGAATACTTCATCGCCAGTGGCATATTTCCCAGCATAGTCTTTTAACAGTTTCTCAAGAGCTGCAATACAAGAGCATAGGAAAGTACAAAGGTTAGTACCAGCCAAGATTTGCTTCACAGGATCATAATTGTTCTTTGAATGATAAAAGAATTTTAATTAGAACAAAAGAACTTAATGATGGAAGTGCAGTGAAAAATTACCTGCAAACCCTTTCTCAATATGATACTTAACCCAAGCAACCCTCGCATCAGCATTAACGTTTTCCTCTATATACTTCTTTAAATGGCAAAGCATGAAAAATATTCAGAAACAACATGCTCGGACTATCTCATGACATCATTATCTGAATTCCAGTAATGAAAAGGTAATCCTAAAGCAGCAACTTCCATTGTTTACTCACCAGTACATCTAGATTCTGAAGAGGCTGTATGCTTGAGGAAACAATATTAGCAGCCTACAAATCAACATTGATGGATATATTCAAGGAATCAGCACAAAACAAAATTAAAAGTTCAACAGGATAAATAAAATGAACGTAAACAATTCTAGAGAATCAAAATCATCACTTGTTTATCAAACATATTATATCCTTAAACTAGGATGACAGAACTTCAATTAGAGCAGGGGTGTAGGACATGTTGTCTACTATGTAAAAGAACAATCCTCGTAACATTTTTCACCATGTTAGACTCACTAACGCACTTTTTTTAGTGGCATCATTGCAATATCCTTTCGAGAAGTCCATATTCTTCCCCTTCATTAAATAACTCATTATCTGTATCCTAAACTCCCATCTAAGGTTCATATTTCTAACCCTAAAAGATTTTCAATATTACAATTTTAATTACAAGTAGCACGGAACTATAGTTATTGTTGGAATTTGTGTCACAAATTCCAATTCTAATTATGTTTTTATTTTAGAGTTGTATACTATTAGGTAATTTCTTGTTTGGCAAGTCTTGGCCTCTAAGGAATTGTAATCCTTGTCCAACAAGGAATTATGTTTCTAACTCTCTAAATAAGTACATATGTTGTGGGTTGAGACTTATGAGATTGAGAGAGATATAGTCTCATGAGGGAGTTGATGGGTAGAGGTAGTATCCGGGTTGGTAGACTAGGAAAAACACCAATGACACTGGTAGCGAAGAGATAGGCTCATGGAGTGGTACATGGTGAAAAGACATGTATGTGGTGTTGGTACTCTATTGTTGTAATATCTGTACGAATGATAGTGGAATCTCTTCTCATCCATGGACTGTGATATTTCCGATTTTCAGCATTTTTCATTTTTCTGGAATTTTGTTGGTGCAAGGGCATTTTCGTCATTTCACGTTTTACGCACCGGACACCGTGGGGTGTGTCGGGTGTATCGGTGAGTTGGTTGGGGCGTTTCATTGGGTCCAGGACTCTTTGAAATGCAAGGTTGGTCATTTTTTCGTTTTTCGGACCAGACGGTCCCGTGTGGGACCAGCTGCCGGTATTGTTATGCACGGGGATTTTGGTTGGGTCCACTTGCATTTCACACATTTTATTTTATGTGTTTTAAGTGGCATTTTTATGGTGGTGTATTACATGTGTGTGTGGTGTGGAAATTAAAGCAAAAAGAAAAAGAGAAAAGAAAAGGATGGTGGTGGGACCCACCACCCACTCATTTTGTGACTTAGAGACCACGATTGGGTCTCAAATCTCACCTCTCCCGTAAGTCTCTCTCTCCTCTCTTTTCTTTGCAAATTTTTCTTCCATTTTCATAATCAAACTTCAAGCTTTGATTCCATCTTTAATACTTGATGATTTTAAGTGTCGTTTGAGGCAAAACGGAGAGCACGACGAGCTCTACGCATGAGTACCCTCGATTTCAGATTTGGTGCTCCCTTTGGATCTCGAAAATTGTGACCCATTTCAAGTGTTTTGCTCAATTTAGAGGTAGGGGTTCTTAATCCATGCAATCTTGTGCTTTTGTAAGTTATTTTCTCATAAATGGTTGTATAGCATGTTTAACTTGTATAGTATCTAGTCAATTGCTTAGTTGTTGGGTATATTGGTCAATTGTGTAATTATATGTGTTGAATGATCTGTGTGAAAGGCATGTTTAAGTGCCGATTTTTATATGCCTATCATGCTAGATTCTTATTGTATGACCACATGTTGTAAATTGGGAATCCTTATGAATCATGCTTTGTTAATCAAATTTGAGTTCGTTGTGGAATGATGCGCATAAATATGGCATTGAGGCATTCATACATCAACATTGGGTATGAAAAAGGGAAACATTGTTTTGATATGAAAAAAGGGGATTTTGGGGAAAAAGTTTGATTAAAGGGCTTTATAAAAACCCGGTCGCTGAGGGGTTACCAAAGGGCCGGAGGGTTAATATAGCCTATAGGGAACTAGGGAGATTGCCCTAGCGTAATTGAGCTAGCTGGGCCCAAAATGATGCCGCGGGGGTACCAAGGGTCAGGGACACTAGCCAATCCTTCTCTCGTGTCGCTGCGGGGTCACCAAAGGGCGGGTTATATTAATCGTTTGAAAGTAATGGTTTTGGAATGAAAATGGGGGGCGACATTGGCATGCATTGCATTTCATTGCATTGCATTGGTTACAGTGAATTTGTTATTATGTTGTGTATTCCCGACATGATATGACCCCATTTCCTATTGATCTATTCTTTGTATGGATTCACGGGGACATAAGAGGCGTGTCTTAAGTGCTACCTGCTGAGCTTTTGCTCACCCCACTATACTTATCATCTTTCAGGTCATGGAAAGGAATTGGCGGATAATAATCCATCGCAAGCTTGAAAGTTGTTAGAGGACCCTTTTGCTATTTTATACTTAGGCCATTCTTTTGTATGTCTATTGTTTTGGAAATGTAACACATGTTATTATTCATGGCCTTGTAACTCAAGTATGAGACTTAGCTTTTATTTAATGTAAATGGAACTAAAGTAAGCATTATGTTTAACGTCATGTAATTGTAATAAATGATCTTGTAGAATGATTAATTGACAGCCTATTAGTTTGCGATTGTTGAATGTCTCATATTTGATGGTTTTGTCCGGGTTGGGTTGTTTTAAAAGTCCCCTCAGCCGTATTAGTTCGTTTCCAAGCATAATAGATCAGTTACAGGATGCAAGGCTCGAAGAAGCCACTTCAGTCGACCGAAATGGCGCATCAGTCGACCGAACCCCTCTTGTTGACTCTCGGGATCTCCATTTTGGTTGACCGAAATAGGGTTCGGTCGACCGAACCGTTCACATGCTCTCAGTATCCCACCTTCGGTCGACCGAAGTGTGTCTGTCTTGGGTTTCTTGTTCCTCTTTCTTTTGAAATATTCTTTTGACTCTTGTATTTTGTTTTGATCATTTGGGAGAGCCTAGTTTGATCCTAAGGATGAGGTTTTGACGCTTAAGATGGATGAGTTTGATGTAGATGACCTCGGGTTCGAGTAAGGACCCGACTAATGATTCGAACCTCTAGGTCTCGGGTCGTTACATGGACGTAAGCCGATTTTTGGCTGAACCATGTATATCTGGTGTTTGTGTGTAATTGCTTTGTTAGTTTTTGTTGGATCTTTGTGTTACGCGCGCTTCCGTTGCTCCAACAAATTGGTATCAGAGCCAAAGGTGAAAGAGATCTAGAAAACACAAGAAGTCTCAACATGTGCTGCAACGGGCTTCAGTTGTAGGTGGAGTCAATCGGCTTGGTTACATGGCATAGAGCTCAAGTTGTCAAGGTGGAGCCTTAGAGGTTTGACTGATCGAGCGTATGGCGTGGATAATCGGAGTTTTGCAGAAGGATCGTCAAGATTGAAGTTGCAACAAGAATTGTCCTCATCAATGCCATGTTAGAGATGATTGGCTGGATGGAATTTAAGTCAAGGTGGAGATTGTTGGAATTTGAGCTCAAATTGTTATTCTAATTATGTTTCTATTTTATAGTTATATTCTATTAGGTAATTTTTTATTTGGCAAGTCTAGGCCTCCAAGGAATTGTAATCCTTGTCCAACAAGGAATTATGTTTGTAACTCTATAAGGTACATATGTTGTGGGTTGAAACTTATGAGATTGAGAGAGATGTAGTCTCATGAGGAAGTTGATGGGTAGAGATAGTATGCGGGTTGGTAGAGTAGAAAAAATACCAATGACACTGGTAGCGAGGAGATAGGCGAGTGGTACATGGTGAAAAGACATGTACGTGGTGTTGGTACTCTATTATTGTAACATCTCTACGAATGATAGTGGAATCTCTTTTCATCCATGGACGTAGGCCAATTTTGGCTGAACCATATATATCTTGCGTTTGTGTGTGATTGCTTTGTTGGCTTTTGTTGGATCTTTGTGTTTCGCGCACTTCCGCTGCCCCAACAGTAATATAAAGCTCTGACATGAGATGGAAAGACCTCAAACCACATATATTGATTTAATACCTAAGTTAGGATTAACTTTGTTTAGTCCTTCTACCTTGTTCACTTCAGCAGATCTTGTTTAGCAAGGTACCTTTTTTTTTATTATTATTATTTTTTTTAATAGCGAGGAGATAAGCTCGTGGAGTGGTATATGGTTACAAGACATGTACGTGGTGTTGATACTCTATTGTTGTAACATCTCTACGAATGATAGTGGAATCTCTTTTCATCCATGGACGTAGGCCGATTTTGGCTGAACCATATATATCTTGTGTTTGTGTGTGATTGCTTTGTTGGCTTTTGTTGGATCTTTGTGTTTCGCACACTTCCGCTGCCCCAACAGTAATATAAAGCTCTGACATGAGATGGAAAGACCTCAAACCACATATATTGATTTAATACCTAAGTTAGGATTAACTTTGTTTAGTCCTTCTACCTTTTTCACTGCAGCAGATCTTGTTTAGCAAGGTACTTGGATTAGGAATAATTAAGTGGCTGCCTAGATCTTTAGTACATCTTGCTGCTCCTAGATATTAAAAGAAAGAAGAACTATTTAAGGTGGTACATTAGTAATCACCTAGCTTGTTTGGATGACAGAGACAAGTTAGCCTTCCAGGATGGCTTTAGACAGATACTGATCGTATGGTAGTGAAGAAAATAAAATGCATCCCTTAGACTTCTCCTTAGACGGAGTTAAAAAGAACTCCTGAATTTTACATAATAGAATTTGAAACTCATTGTTCTCCTTGCATGAGTAATTTATTCCTTGAGTGAGGTAAAATTTGACCATGGTAAGGTAATTTATTGCTAATCTTGCATCTTCTTGCGAGGATATCCTTGTGGAAAGTGACCACTGACCACCATGATGATTCATTGGGTAACTTCTATCTCATGGCAGGAGATACCCACAACTTTGCATCAGGTGCTAGATTGTAGAGGCAGACTGCCTCAATGTGATGTTAGATTGAGAGGCTGTTGGAACTTGAGTCTTGAAGCAACCAAAAAGCATTCATGCTAGTCCATCCAATGGAACACAGGTGGTGAAAATAGTAGCAACCTTGTGCAAGAAGAAATTTCAGCTTATGATTTGAATACAACTCTTTATTCGTTTCCAGAGTGGACACGACATTCAAATAATCAAGAAGATCTTAACAAAAGATGAGAGTAACCAAACATAATTGTCGATATATTTATTTAAAAATTATAGGTCTGAAACAAGTTTCACCAATAAGAAAGTACTATATGTCAGGTGTAGGACTCAATAACCATGTATTGTCAATCAGTAACTTTTACGCAATGATTAATCTTTTCTTCACAAAATATGAGTCAATAGATTATTCCATTTTATGTTTGACTCTCACTGTATATGAATATTTGCTACTATTCGCAAAATTGGTAGCAATCTAATTGCAAGATGACCTAAAAAACCTACAAAGGCTATGAAAATTGCAAACTCCAGCCATCCTAGGGCCTGTGACAGCTTATATGCCCAATACGTCTAAGCAAAAGACTAGTATAAAGGGAAATTTAATGATTAAGACTCAAATATACTGCTGTAAATTGCCTATAGGCATCATCATAAAAATCATACCAACAATTAAATAAGAAGTGATGAATAAGTGAAAATATACACCTATGGCTGACCAGCCAACATCAAATAGCAATTTTGAAGGCAGAAGCACACAAATTCTTGCTTTATTTGTACACCCAATTGTCAACACTATCAAGCTGGTGTCAAATTGCTGATACATATAGTCCGCTAAAAAAGAAACCAAATTTTGGAAGAGTAACAAACCAATTGCAATTTACCTGGTAATTAATTGCTCTTTTCTGAAGATCACGGGGCAACAGTGGATGTTGAGGATACTTTTCTTCTAGATACTGTACAACACAATGCACATACAATAATCCGTTTGGTGAAGTCCAAAACATTTTAGAGTCAAATTCACATCAAGGGACAACGAGAATAAAAGTCTTTTCACCATTAAGATCGCAAAAGAGTCAGCAACTACCAAGTCTTCATCTACCAGCACCGGTACATAACCAATAGGATTGAGCTTTGTAAATTCTGTACTCAAAAAAAATTGAGAACATGTTAAAAAGCCATATGAAGACTAAAAAATAAGTGTATATCTGGTCCCCCAAAAAAAACATCGAGCTAGCATCCAAAAACTTTTGGGCCAACTTTAAAAAAATTGTGACGATGATTCAAGACTCAATTTTGTAACTTGGCTGCCCCCCCTACCTCCTTTTTCATAAAATTTCTCTCATAAAGGGTGCATAAAATAGACCAAAATCAAAAAATGTATTTTATGAAGACAAGCACGTAACATATCCAATTAGTGTTGCATTTCTGCATATCCAGATTGACCTTTTAAAATTCATGGTCTATTTCCAGCTCAAAGTAACTTTCTTTGATAATTATACATCATGAAAAGAAAGTTATTGATCCTAATTTGTGAACAAGAAAAAAAAATAAAATTTGAAGTTAGAATGTCTATGGTGTAACATTAAAGCCGGACATCCAATATGTTTATTATTATTAATGTAATATTTCATCATCATAGTATCGTATAAATAAGCCGAAATACTATAATAAATCTCATAAGCCACTATATGCATATAAATATATGTATATATTATTCTCACCAGGACTAAACTGCTCTCCTTTCAGCAAATTAACTGGTTTGTACTCGTATTTGAGACCTGGTTTGAAAAAGAAAAACCCAAATGGTCAATACTTAACGAAATAAAAAATCAGGGTTTTACAAAGTGAAAACCAACAGAAGAAAATGATTGATCAAATTTAGAGAGAGAGAGTAGTAGAGTAAAAGACCTTTCAAGTTGAGAGCGATACGAACACGGCAAGAGCAAGAGCTCCGCCAATAAGAATAGAGTTTCAGCTTCGTTGGCTCCTCACCACCACTCGCCTATTCACAAACAAACAGCAGCTCATTAGACAATAAATTCAATTAATTGGGTTTGTAGCGATTGATGGGAAAGAAAATCAGAACAGAAAGCTAGAAAATTTTACTGGGACAAACAAATTGAGAAATGGAAACGGAGTAATTTTTTTTTTCTTTTCGAAACAGAGTAATTGATTGGCGATGAATTTGAGAAACACCCACCATAGTGCGCTCAGACATGATCAGAACTACAGATTGAACAATTCTGTTGGCACCGATTTGTATGTTTATACTATTATATTGACATAGATATAGAGAGCTACGAGGCCAGTAGTGTCATCATACCTATATATATATATATATAGATATATATATGGTGGGACCATACTGGCCCTTTCATGCATCAATCCACACAAGTAATTACACTGGGCAAAGAGATAAAAACACGGTTAATATTTAGAGAAATGCCGGCTCACCAAGGAGCTCTCGCTGTGGGCCACAGGATCTGTTTCATTTGGGATTCGAAAAAAAAGTGAGGACAGTAGCACTCACACCTGATCATCTCCCTCTCTCATCCTCTCTGCAGTCTCTTTTCTCCCTCTCTCTCTCTTTCTCTCTATCTCACCCTCACCTTTGCAAAACCCAAATCAAACAAACCCAAAAAAATCCCTTCTTTCCAAAACCCAAATCCATCACCTCAACCTTCGCCGGAAAATTAAACCTTCGTGAACAAAGAATACCCTTCTTTTTTTTTTTTTCTTGCCCCTTTTTCTCCCCTATTTCCTCTCTGTCTCTCTCACTAATTAGGATGTCTTTAGTAATGTTTTTCTTTTTTGTTTTTGCATAAACAAAATTTTGCTTTCTTAAGCGAAAATAGCAAACATAACATTTGTTATTGTTACAAATTTGAAAACATAAAACAATAATAGCGTTTAGTAATACAACATATATATTTATTACAAAATATATATAATATTCTTTAATTTTTTTATTTTTTTCATTTCTATTTTAATTTTTTCATGAAAAGAATTTTAGGAGTTACTGATTAGAGGTGAGGGGGAGAGTACCAAAAAGCCATAAATCTAGAAAATTTAATTTAAAATTATAAATCTTAAGCCAATACATCACAAGTACAAAATTAGATTTACCAAGACAAAAACATTCCCACCAATTATATATATAAATACATGTGTATGCATAATGTATACATTTATTATGTGATATATAATATATTTAGCATATGATAATTTATTATAAATAAAAAATATTAAATAGTATATCTTCTATGTAATAAAATATATATTGTGTTATAATATTATAAATTAATTATAATTTAATATTTACATATAATATAATATAGATATAAAATAATATAAAATATCTACTGTTTAGTAATTTAATAACATTATATTCTATATCAAAAATTATTTTGTCACAAAAAATAATTTACATTATTATTTTATATATTATATATTAATATATATTTTTATCAAATAAAAAATAATATACAATATTTAATATATTCTATATTAAAAATATATATTTTTATTAACATTTAATATGCAACTTAGTATATAACACAAATAATATGAATTTTATTTGAAATGAATAGTGCATGTGTAGTAACATTAGTGAAAACGTTTCTGCGCTACAGTGCCGAAAATATAGGAAACATCATTTTTATGTTTATCTTTTCTTCACAAAAATTGAAAACGTTTTCTGTTATAAAAAAACAAAAACATTTTAAAGAACGCAATTTTTGTTTTCGTTTTGCCATTTTAGAAATTGACAACAGAAAATAAGAAACGTTTCTCGTTACTAAACGCAATAGTCTTTTATTTTTGCTTTTGTTTTTTTGTTTTTTTCATTTTTGGCCTTTCTCTCTCCTCTATTATGAACAGCCACCACCGGCCACCATCCTTTCTTCTTCTTTTTTCTCTCCCCATTCTCCTCTGTTTCCTCTCCATATCTCCCCCAAATTATTATTTTTTTTTTTTTTGGCCTTTCTCTCTCCTCTATATGAACAACCACCACCATCCTCCCAAACACTGCCACAATCTCTTCCTCTGCTTCCCAGTTTTCATCTCTCCCCTATATTGTAAAATAGCTGATCAAAGTCATCATTCAAAGTGGCCGACTTGCTGCCATTTTCGTCCTTTGTCATCGCCAATCTGGTTTGCCGATGAAAGGATCATCGGCGGGTTGCTGGCAGCTTTCTCACTCTACTCTCTCTTCTTCGCTGGAAGTAATGAAGATGAAAAAAAAAAAAAAAAAAAAAAACGCTAGAGAGAAAAAGAAAACAGAGAAGAGTCTAATACTACGTTTGGTGTGTAGAAATGGAATGAAATGGAATACCCATTTCAACCATTTCTTTGTTTGGTATGCAACTTAATGTGGGAATGACAATTCCATTGGAACGAAAATCCATTCCTGAGAATGAAAATCTATTCCACCGCCATCGTCTTCCACCTCCCCCATCGCCTTCTATCACCGCCACCACCATTACCACCACCTTCCACCACCGCCTTGCACCACCACTACTGCTACCACTACCACCACCGCCCCCACCTTCCACTGCCTTCCACCACCGCCACCGCCACCACCGTCACGCCTTCCATCACCATCACCTTCCACCATCACCACCACCACATCCATTTCCACTGCCTTCCACCACCACCATAGTCACACCACTATTTCCTTCCACCACAACCACCACACTATTGCCACCGCCTTCTACCAAAACCACTACCACCTTCTACTACCACTGCTGCCACAATTTCCACCATTGCCACCACTGTCGCCTTCCAACCCCACCACCTACACTACTATTGCTTTCCACCATCCACCGCCCGCCACTGCCACCATTTATTTTAAAAATATTATTAGAGAATATCATTTTGTTAATTTAATTTAATTTATTTGTTACTAAGAGGGATATTTTGGAGAATTCAATTCGAAATTTATTTCATTCTAAATTTTAAATTGGTCCAACCAAACACTAGAATGAGTATTATCATTCCATTCCTACACATTTCATATTTACAGCCAAACAATAGAATGAGAATGACCATTCTATTCCATTCCCACTAGCATTCTATTTCTTTCCTGCACACCAAACGCAACATAAATGTTTGAGGAGAGATAAAGGGAAAGCTTGTGAGCCACAATATGCGAGGTGGACAATTAAAATGGGACGGAGGTAGTAATAATAATAATTTTTTTCGAATCCCAAGAATGATCAATCTAACGGTTCAATAGCGAGAGCTCGTTGGTGCTATTGCGAGCGCGCGCTCGCAATAACATTACTCTAATATTTATATTTTGGGAAGGGCTTAATGTCCATACCCGATCATGACTTTTAAAAAGTTATGGCATGACACGTGATTATTTTAAATTATAAAATTTTTAAAACATCTTTTTACTCTCCCTAAAACCCTTCTTATACAATTTTATATGTAAACCACATTACCCTCTTTCTCTAGCCTTTTTCTTTCCCTCTCTACTCCTAAATTCTGTCTCTATCCCACGATTTTTCTCCACCCAACGGTAAGTTTCTCCCTCTCTATCTATATATACAACACTTTTTAAAGAAATAAAAAAAAAAAATGTAAACATTCTTAATGTTTACATTTTCGTCAAATAATAATTATATCATTTATATGTAGGGTTAGGCACTTTATATTTACTTAGTTTTTTTATTTAAAAAAAAAAAAAAAATTCAGTTACATAAGGGCACTTTAATTTTTTAATCGCTTCACTGATGGTAGTTCCTTGTTTGTACCAAAAGTTATAGCTAGTTAGGAACATTTAAAAATTTATAAAGAGTTATTTATTGCCCACGACCTGTACGCCCCCTTTTTTTTTTTTTTTTTTTTTTTTTTTTTTGTTAAAACGACCTATACGCTTATTACTTGCCTAAAATGAAAATTATTGGATATTTGGATGGAGGATTGATGAGTGATGAGACCCGTGAGAGTTTATCTCAAGGATAAATTACAATTCCCTTCCACCTAGTTATGATATACACTTAGTTCTTCTGTATTTTAGATTTTTACAGTTAATGAGTCAATTCATTTGGCAAGTTTTTTTAGCTAGATTTATCAATATCTTAGATTACATAGACTTCTATACTTTTTATAATTTCACTTATCTCTTAACTTGACAGCTGTCTAACTTGATAACGGTAACATATTATTTTACCGTTTTGTTCATAAAATATCTACTGTCACTTCAGATATTAGAAGAACAAAACTAACCTTTTATTTATTGTTTACTACTAGCATTAGCAAATTCCATTACGTGCTTATGGGGCGCACGCACGCACACACACATATATATATATGTGGGTCAAGTCCAAAAACACTGATGTACTATGTTTATTACACTCCTAGCATGTGAAAAACGCCTTTAATGTATCAAATTTGTGTAAATAGGTCATATAGATATATTTAAAGTAGAGTTAGACTAAAATGTCCTTCCTTTGACATTTTATTAAAAAAAAAAAACTATCATTTTGTAAAATAAAGAGAGGCTATATGACAATTTCTAGATAAGTTAAAAATAACAAATAGATAAACGTGAAAGACTGAAATGCAAACTCTTCCAAGTAAATTTGTGTTCATAATAAACTCTCTTTCATTCATCTCTCACATATAATATATAATACAATAAATCAGTCATTAAAAAAAATGGATATGTGAGGTTGTCTTCGATATCGAAAGAAAAAAAATTGCGATTTTGCCATCAGAGCTTCCAAAACAATTTTTTTATTTTTTTTCCTTTTTGTAATTTCAACTATGACCAACTTTCTCCTTCTCTTTTTTGTGTTCACTCTTTTTGCTCTATCAGTTCAAAGTGATCGTGGTACCAATGATGATAACAAAGATATGTTTAATGTAGTTGATTTCGGAGCCACCGGAAATGGAAAAACTGATGATACCCAGGTCAAATATATATTTATTTCGTAATTGATTCTTTCCCGTCGTTGCTTTATTGTGAGTAGAATCGGATTAGTCCCACTATCGAACTACATATTATTTATTTATTTGGTGACAAAAAACTCTTTTCAAGTAGATGTTGAGTATTAATAGTCACAGACAGATTGGCTTGTTTTTATATATATATGTGTGTGTGTGTATGGTTCTTGAGATCTCATTGATTATATAATTTACATACACATATATATATACATAAATAATTGCAGGCATTCGAGGATGCATGGAAGGCTGCGTGCAATTCTAAGGCTTCTTCACCAACCATGCAAGTTCCCTCGGGGAAAACATTTCTACTACAACCCTTGGTGTTCACTGGCCCTTGCAATGCCAAAAATGTTTATGTTGTGGTAATTATATCGATCCCTTTAGTATTCATTTTTTATTATTATTATTAATTTATAATTTCCCACTTTGGGGTAGGGTTTTCAGAAATGGAGAAACTTATATATAGTGTGATCTATTCTGAAATTATTTTAAAGGATTTAAAAATGATAATACTAGAGGGGGGAAAAATAAAAAAATAAAATAAGAGGGATGATAATGTTGAATATATATTGCTAAAGTAAAATATATATATATATATTGCAATTATTTTATTTATTTATTAAATTTTACTTTATATTACTATTTGGCCCCCTCCCATAACCCACCTACCTAGCACATGTAGTCACATCACATGCAAACATCACATGCAAATGGTGATCCCAAGAGAATTCGAAGGACGTTCAAGACATGAGGTGGTAGTCTTTACCATTTGACTATTTTCTTGAAGATAGATTTATGTATCATAAAAAAAATTCCTGTATATCCTTTATATATGTTAATTGAAAATTGAAATAGCATATATAAAAATTGAAATTTCTATAGGAATGAAAATTGAAGACCTGTGATGCAATAAGTACTCTTTGATTTCTCAATTCTCATGGTAAAATAAGCATTTCTTGTATGAATGTTATATTTTGATTTCCTTAATTTACAGATAGATGGGACCATAATTGCGCCAAGTAATCCATCAGAATGGAAATGCGAGGACGACAAGTACTGTCGTCAATGGATTCATTTTCTTGACCTCGAAGGCCTCTATATTTCAGGCTCTGGTACCATCAATGGCAATGGAGATAAATGGTGGGGTTCCTACTGTGAGGACAGCCATGAGCGTTGTAAGAAGAAACCAACGGTTAGTAATGACCTTGGGCAGTTTAGTCTTTTTACACGTGTGATCATTTTATATTTACTTTGGATGTTATATTGTTTCACTAAGCTCAAAAATTCAATTTGTTAGTATACTCACAGTTTTTTAGGAAATGTAACAAGTGTCCTTTAGAGGGGTGGAGCCATGATAGGATCGACAACTCTAATTAATTTGATATGAGTCACGTATGTGAGTTGACACAAAGGGACTAGGTTGAAATGTGACAGTCCTAAAGATTAACCCTCGCGGGATTAAGCAATGGTGGGAGTTTATAATATGTGATTGTCGTCATGTTGTGGGCAATAGGCCTTGACACAACAGGAGTAGGTTGAAATGGGAACAGTCCTAGAGGATTAATGGGAAGAGTCCTAAAGGTTAACTATCCCGAGATCAAGCAATGATAGGAGTTTAATGCAATGGACTAACGTCCCAAAAAAGGTTAACTCTCCCTAGATCAAGCAATGACACTATGGTAGGAGTTTAATGCAGAAAGGTTAATCCTTCCAAGATTAAGCAATGACAGGAATTTAATGTAGTGTACTAACCCAGAAAAGGTCAATTCTTCTGAGATCAAACAATGACAGGTTTAATGTAGTGGACTAACCCAAAAAATGTTAACTCTTCTGAGATCAAGCAATGACAGGAGTTTAATGTAATAGACTAACCCAAAAAAGGTTAACCCTTCTGAGATCAAGCAATGACAAGAGTATAATGTAGTGGACTAACCCTTATAATATGTAATTATAGGCATGAATGTATTAAATAATGTATCTATATATTTATATATATTGATTTGCAGGGGTTTGTAGTAGAACATGGCAACAATGTGCACATAAGTGGCCTAAACTTTAAGGACAACCCAAAAATGCACATTGCCTTTGAAAGGTCGACTTGGGTATATGTCACTGATCTCACCATCACTGCCCCTTCGGACAGTCCCAACACTGATGGTATTCACCTCCAGCACTCCCAAAACGTCTTCATTAAACAATCTCAAATCGGAACTGGTATGCTAAATAGAATGTACTTTTACCATATATGCTTCTGTTTTTTTTTTTTGTTGCTGTTATTAATTCAATTGAAATGCAGGTGATGACTGTATTTCAATTGGAGATGGTTCTTCAAACGTTGACATTAGGAACATCATGTGTGGACCAGGTCATGGTATAAGGTGAAAATTTAATTTTTTTATTGAGTTGTGTTATGGATCGTCGCAGCTGCATAACATCAGTCTTTAAATATTCTGAATTGCACAATGGAGCCCACAGATACAAAGATTGATTGTGCAGTCGCGATTACACTATATCAGATATTTGAATTCCACAGTGTTCAAAATTGCAACTACATTTAGCATTTTTGTTTATATATATATATTTATTTCTTCCCATTATTATTATTGACTTTTAGGTGTTTTTTTTTTTTTTCTCCTCCTAATTAAAGTATTGGAAGTCTGGGTGAAAAAGGGAAGGAAGAGACTGTGGAGAATGTCCATGTTAGTGAGGTTGAATTTCGGGGAACTGAAAATGGAGCTAGAATTAAAACATGGCAGGTAATGAATTTTATAAACTAGACTGTGATGATATTGAGTATTTAAAATATATTAAACTTTGTATCTTAATGATGTATATTAATACTTTGTATTAATGATTATAATATTTTGATTTGCTTATAATGTATATTTTGTTGTGAATCAGGGAGGGAAAGGGTATGCTAGAAAAATAGTTTTTGAGAAGATAACATCCCATGATTCAAAGCGACCCATCATCATTGATCAGTACTACTGTGACCATGAAGACTGCCATAATCAAGTATGACTTCTTTAATCTTGTGAATTTGATTCAATGGATGAACTGTTATAACATATACTTTCACATATGTGTAGTGTAGTGTAGTGTAGTGTGTGTGTGAAAATGATGTTCTCGTTGAAAATGTGAATGAATGTAAAAGACGTAGGAACTAGGGTACATCACAGACACAAGATTTTTTTAGTTGGAAGGCCAAATTGGTAATATGCAAAAATAAAATGAAAGATAGCATTGAGACTATAGTTAATACATTTTCATACCAAAACATTTGTAAACAAATTATTTTTTAGATGTCAATAAAAATAAATGAAAAGGAGTGAACAAAAGGTAAAATTATAAGACAAAAAGGAATATGAGTTATATTCTGATTTTTCCATTTTTCACTTCAAATGTCTGTCTGAATAAAAGTGAGATGTCAAAAAACCAATTTTAAATTCACTATGAATCTTATAGGAGAAAGTGTCAATTCTTTTCAATATTTTTACTAAGAGTGTACAGATTTTTTTCCTTGCTATTTCAATCATTCTTAAGTAGTGATGAATAAGATAGGCGTCTCTCTTTTCACCAATAATAATAACAGTTTGATAAGAGAGAGACGTATCATCAACTACCACTAATAAAAAATTGATTAATAATTTGAACAACGAAATTATATTCAAGAAATATGGTATGAAAATGATAACAGTTGGATAGCAGAGAGACGTGTCCTTAACCAGTACTAATAAAAAATTGACTAATAATAGCTTGACTAACGATATTATAGTCAAGAAATATGGTATGAAAGACTATTTTGGAGCCGCAATGTCACATTTCTTTCTCAAATTTGTTTTGTTACTCATATATATACATATGATATTGACGATTATGTATATATATATATATTGATTTGGGTTAAATTTGTACAGACATCAGCAGTGAAAGTGAGCGATGTTAGATACAGTAATATATTTGGGACATCAAATGATGAGACTGCGGTGGAATTTGCATGCAGCGAGTCAGTTCCATGCACAGATATCTCTATGAATGATATCCATCTTAGTAGCTCAACCGAAGACACAGATGACACACAATCCATCTGTTTGAACGTCAAAGGAACACAAAATGGTGAAGTCTATCCTCGCGTCCCTTGCTTGACCTAAACCTAGATATACTCATTAATTTCTCCAACAACAAATTATTTAGGATATATATATATATATAGATATGTGAAGTACAGTGCAGCAATATTGTAGAAATTTTTTAAAAATTTTTTACGTTTTATCATCCTATTTATCCCTTTCGACAATTAATCGTACTTACAACATTTTTATTCCAAGAGATTTATGAGTTATTTATGTATTCTCGATACTTTATTTGAAGCAGTTGTTCGAATTCCTTTTGAGATGCATAGCCTTTTTTTTTTTTTTTTTGACCAATAGCTCGATTAAGTCTTGAATAAGCCCTTCAAAGCTTGATACAAATAACATACTAGTACTCAATTTAAAGAAAGTTAATAATGAATTAACATTAATGATGTGAAATAGAATCTTCTTGGAAGGAGGGGTTCAAAATAATGAATGAATTTGAGCAGAGCCCATGGACAAAATGGTTTCACCAATCTAATTTCTTAATTTTTACTTTTCACCTCAAAGCAAAACTTCCAAATTCAGTCGCTTTTAAGCACATCTATGCTCACAAAATGTTTTAAAAATTATATACTCCGTATATAATTGCATGCAAATCCAGTCAACTTAAGCATGTGAGTGTGAGAGAGAAGTCACTTAAGCATGAGTGTGTGAGAGAGAGAGCAAACCACTCCACTCAGAATAATGATGATACTGGTAAAAAAAAAATGTTAAATTTGCATCTTTCACAGTTTCTATTGGATTTCTTGGCCAAAATTTGATAGAAAGGGCCTTCAGCAGAAATTTTAACTGAATATAACATAGCACAAAATTTTGGTTTTCAATACCAAAAAAATATCAATAAATAAAACTTCGTAACTTTCACTGCAGCGTACATGTTCCCTTTGAATTAACTTATCCAGGATGAAAACCATAAATCCATATATATGGCTTTTGATTCAACTAAAATGATCCAAACAACACAACCAATAAAACTGAGGATCCTGAATTTATGATCTGTTTGAAGCTCAACAGAAATCGCAGCAAACTAGAGGATGCGCATTTGCTCAAGATTAGATCAGTTTTCAGTTTCTCCTGAACATGGCTTAACGAATACGTAAACCAGAAGAGCCATAACCTCTTCTACCTGCAGCAGGCCCTCTATGCTGTCGAGGTAAACACCTCGTATCCTTGCACAAATCTTCTCAATTTTTCTGTTTCACCAACTGCAGGAAGCCATTCGGTAAGAATCTCCATGGTAATGTAATCAGGATTACAAGCCTGTTCAGTCATTCGATCCATCAATTCCAGTGCTTCCTTCAACTGATTCTTCTCCTTAAGGCCCTTAAAAATGGCATTGTACGTGTTGGTACTTGGCTTCACCCTCTTAACTTTCATTTCATTAAATAGAGAGAGAGCAACATCTAATTTCTCATTCTTGCACAAAGCGTCGATCAGAATATTATATATCACTGTGTTGGGTGGAACCCTTGTAGCCGAACTCATGTGCCTAAAAATTTCCATTGCCTCGGCAACATTGCCCACCAAGCAATATCCATGAATCACTGCTCCATAAGTAACAACATTTGGCACAAGACCATCATTGATCATCTTTTTCATCATTTTGTGGGCGGTCTCAAAATACCCAGCTTTGCTGAAATATGAAACCAAAGTGTTGTATGTGATAGTATCAGGTTTCACTCTAGCTTGCTCCATTTCCTTGAGCATCTCATGAGCCTTGTCCAGTTTTTTCTTCCTACAATACCCACCAATAAGAGTATTGTAGCACACGAGATCCAAGCAAAACCCAGCCTCTTTCATCGCTGCTGCAACAGAGCCAGCATCATCCATCCTTCCGGCCTGGGTCAGACCAGAAATCAAGGTGTAGTACACAATTGCATCTGGAGAACACCCACTTTTCAACATTTCATCAAACAAATCCATTGCCTTATTGATATTGTTGGCATTGCAAAAGGCATTAATTAAGGCAGTATATGTAATTGAATTCCCCTTCAAACCCTGCCCTTGCATTTCATTAAAGAACTCCATCGCATTATTAATTCTCCCATGCTTGCACATACCACCAACCAAAGTATTAAGGGTGATCACATTCGGTGGTACTCCCTCTTTCTTCATCTGATGGAATAGCTCTTGGGCCCTCTCGATTTCACTGGCTTTGCAAAACCCATCAATCAAGCAATTATAAGTAACTGTATTTGGTTCACAACCTTTGTGTGATCTCATTCTCTCCATCAAACCCATACCCTCCTCTTGTCTTCCGACTTTACATAGTCCATCAATCAGAGTATTGTAAAGGATTACATCTGGTTCAACACAAAACCCATTGCTTTCTCCTCCATCATTCATCTTCTTAAACACCTCTAACGCCTCATCGACTCTACGAAACTTACACAAATGATTAATAAGAATTCCAAATGTTATGGCATTGGGTTGAATACCAATTTCCTTCATCTCCCTTAAAAGATCATTCATCCTCGGAAAATCACGCTCTCTACCTAACCACGTCAAAAGGGCATTGAAAGAATCAGCTTCCACATCACCACCCAACTTCATCACATCATGCAATAGCTCCCAAGCTTGACTACTCTTGCCACTCCTGCACAGCTTAGTGATCAATTGCTTAAGCCACCCTGCATAAGGAAACAAACCATGTTTGCCAAATTTTAAAACCAACCCAACAATCTCCTCTTCACTCACACTCCTCCCCTTCCAATTTCTCCTCAATAATGCACCAAAAGTAATATCCACAGTAGTGCCATCAGGCGGAAACTCCGCATCCGGTTTAAGCATTTCATCGAGCAGTTGGAGCGCATCGTCAACGCGACCCGAACGCAGCAAAACATCCAATAGTGCATTACGTATATGCGTGTTTTGCAAATCCGGGTCGAGCTCTTTGAACACAAGAAGTGATTTTTCGACCATTTCAGCTCGGCCGAAGCATCGGACGAGAAGATTAGCAGAGTAGACTGTCAAAGGAACGTTATGGTCTTTCGACATAGAGAGGAGCTCAGAGAGCCTGGCGGGTGAATTGGGTTGTTCGCCACTGGCGAGCTCGAAAATGGCTTGAAATGTTGAAGAGAGAGACGGATGATCAGGCGGCAATGGTGAATTGGTTCGAATGAATTCGAAAAACTTGAGGGCTTTGGTGGCGGAGCCCAAGTGGCGGGTGATGGTGAGGAGAGATGAAGGGGACAGGGAGTGGGGAGAGTCTGGGGGAGGGAAAAGGAGTTCATGGAGCTTGTCGTTGTTGTTCCAGTCATCTTCGTCGGTTTGGAGTAGATTAACAACTTGGGTTATGACTGATGAGTCGTGTTTTGGCGGTGAAGTTTGTGGTGGTGGTGGTGGTGGTGGTGGTAGTGGTGGTGATGGGTGATTGGTTTCGACGGAGAGGTGGCGGAGGAGAGAGGGATGAGTTCTAGGGTTTTGGATTTGGAGCAGACGGAGGAGGTTTGACAGTTTTGATGCTGCGAGTGATGCGAGCATTTTTTTTTGGCTGTACGAGGATGGGTCAGAAAGAAGGCAATGTCTTGCATACAACTACTAGCTTGAAAAGGTCCTATCAAACTCAAGTCGAGCTCAAATTGGGTTAGAAATTAGGATCCAAACAAAGTCAAGTGAGTGCGCTCGAGTTTTGACTGAGTTGAGCTTAAAATTGCTTGGATGATTGTTGTTGACCTTACTCATTTGTGGTTAATTTATTTTTCGGGTGATTTTAAAATCAACTAATGAACTCGACATTTAACATTGAAGTATAAATTATGTGATGTTCCACGGATTATGGATCTCGATTTATAATCCAACACAATAAATTTGTTTTTTGTTTTTTAATTTTTTTTTTTTTTCCCTTATAAAAACAAGATCACTAGTTTTCACTTTTAGATTAAATTTATGAAAAATTAAGGATATTCAGTAGAAATGGGATATATTCTATATAACACTGCCAAATATTTGGAACTAGTAAAATAAAAAAAAATTAATTGATTGAAATATTGTAAATACAACTAAAACTAATTAATTATTAATAATATGGTAAATAATAACTATTTATAACTTTTTTAAAAAATTTGTTGTGTGAAATTCAACTCAGCCTTCTTTTACCATAAAACAATTTGCAAATTCCATAAAAATGAAGTTTTTAACACAATATAGAACCCAATACATTTTCATCTTCTACAACCCCAACAAATATTTTTATTAGCTTGTTCCATCCCTCACTATTTTAACTTGATCGCTACCGATTAAACTCTTACTTTTTATATAGACATCCTCCTATTTAATGGAGGGTTAGGATCCATTAAAACAATGATTAAAATCTATGGTTTATAACTCTCTAACAAAATATCTATATCTATATATATATATTTATAAACTCTATAATGTTCTTTATTCTCCTAGAATCTTCTTCTATCTACCACCTCCTACAAACTCTCTGATGTTCTAAAGTCTTCTTCCATTTTTCCCTACAATAATCCACAATAAGGGCGCATATGTTGGAAGACTTTAAAACTAACCCTAGTCATGCATAGACAAAAAGGTCCTTGCACTCGATCTGGATTCATAAAAGCCTAGATTATATTAGGGATTCATATGTAACTTAGGAAAGAGTTGAGAGATGTCCACATTGTCACCGTTACCAACCTGGTAAAACATATCCTTTGGCTTGTCCTGCATGGTACGCGAAAATTAAAATGTCAAATTTCTCGACCCTCAATTAGATAAAAAATAAATATATACAAGTTGAGCTCGAATACGCGACTCAAGAAATAGTAGAGGCCACTATCTTTTGAGAGAGTCCACTTATGCTGACTTGACTTGAGGATTATTTTTCTTACAAAAATTAAAAACTTAATATGTAATCCAGTTACATTTAGTCTAGCATAATATTACTCTGGACTTATTAATAGTATAATATCCCTGGATGATGTATCAATTCTAATTAAGTAAAAAATGTGGTTGGTATGTGATGAATAATGAGTAATAAGTGTATATTGTTGTAAGTTGCACGATGCGAAATAGTTGTATGGAATATAATATGAATAAGCAACTTAAAAGGGGTAATATGTTCAATTTACTGATTTTTGCTTAAATTGTAAAGTATTTCCAAAAACTTAATTTTGAACCTTCAAAGTGTCCTCAAATATCCTCACACACTCTCTTATCTTCTTAAAACGTTGTTCTCATCATCCCGAAGAGTTTCGAAGTATGAACACTTAAATTTCTTTAATTCCACTTTCGATCTTGATTCTTAACAAATTGAACTTAAGAACTGAAGATTTACAACCTGATCAGACTCGTTTTGACAACAAAATTTGCCGATTACAAATTTATATCTCACATATATGATTATATGTATGTTCTCCATGATGTCTTCTCTATCAGGCTGCCACTCACAAAATTGCATAAAACTGTATTTGAAACAATTAGGAACATATGATATAACTCAAAAATATATATTATATATAATAATAATAATTTAAAAAAAACAGGAAGATATGAAGCATTGAGACATGGTTGGTAGAAAGATGATTGGGTTTATGGGTGAAGCGAACCTGGTTCCTCATTATCTCTTCCTCTCTGTCTATAGTTTTTTTTTTTTTTTTTCCTTTTTTTCAGATTCCTAAAAAATCACATTTTAGATTGAAAGCTAATTCTGGAAATCGATTTTGACTCAATCAAGCCACTCATCATTCACATAAATGCAAATGGTTTGCCTGAACTATCCATTATATTTACTTCCAGTCCTGAAATGTTGATTTCAATTCAAAAAAGGACTCCCAATTTAATATGCATGATTGAATGTCAAATGAAAAGGGTATTTTCTAATTTCCACCTTTTTTAAAATAAATAAAAAATTATTTGTGGACAACCTCATATAATAACTAGACCATTCCCCAGCTAACAATGGCCGTTTCTTAACATTAAATAAGAATTCATACTCTCACTGTTTGATATGATTTTTTTAGCACAAATAATGGAGAATTATTTTTTTATTTTTTATTTTTCAAAAGGTAAAATTAATAATCCTGAGACTACGGATGGCATGTGTGATTTTATTGGGTCAAGCCCAACCAAGACTAAATTCATACCCGCTACACCATAGTGTGTAATAAATATAGTCGTGAGGCAACGTTTGATGCCATGGCCAAAAATAAATATATACTACGTAAATAAAACAAACATGGATAGTAAATTTAGATTAAAAAGAGAAATGAAAAAAAAAAAAAAAAAAGAGTTGGTAATAGCATCCAAGCAATTTAGGGTCAATTCTGTCTTTTAATGTACGTGCACAGAAAGCAGCCAAACGTTTAGGTCGGCCGTACCATCCTTTGCAATACTAAAAGCAATGGCATGCCCACACCAGCTCACCTACTTCAATCAATATCTCTATATGTGTGTGTGTGTGTGTATGTGTGTATATAGTTGTTAGACACCTAAATAAATCCATTGCCGACACTTGAAGATTACATTTTTTTTTTTTTTTTCATTGTCAACAAACTTTTGTGTTTATTCTATGGTTCTGTTCTCTCTAGATAGAAATTCTCAGATACCTTCCCAAAGGTTTTTTTACATTACAAAATGCCTAAAATTAAATATTAAGAAATTAAATTGTAATCTCAAAAACCAATGAAGATGGGATTTGATCCCAAATATGTGATATTATGACTGCATCATCGTCATGTCGGAACTAAAATATTCTTATACATTATATAACACGAGAAGATAATACTGAAACTCATATTTTAAGAAGAATTGTTAGACCAATTATATTTGATTGGTCGTTAATAAACGAGATAAGGGAGTGGAGGATCTCACTTTCTTATATTTCACATAAATATAATAAGTCTAACAATTGGGTGGAATGATTTTGCATAATTGCATTTATATCATTATTGCATCATGGCATTGTACATGTAAAAAATTAAAAATTTTGCCAATTAACAATTTTTTTTATTCATTGGTAGGAGTTAATGATCTATTTTTTTTTTGAAAAAATAATAATAACAATAATTTCTTCTTGACTTGTATTAATTAAGGTACTCAAGATTCATGAACAACCAACCCCTTGGTACATTTTGCATTTGATTCTTCTCTTATCAGTCTATTCTTGGGTCTTGGCCCTCTCTCCCATCATTATTGATCTTCCCCCATATTTAAAATGTATGGGATAGCTCATTTGGTGAGTGGTAGAGCTTTAAAGGAGCAAATCAAAAACTTTGATTGGGATGTTCGACCTAAATATGACTTCTTGATGCTATTGTTATTAATTGTACTGTCTCAAATGATTAATACAATTTGCCTTTTTAATATATATATATGTATGTATGTATGTATGTATGTATGTATATGGTAAATATATATTTTGAGCAATATTACACATCTCCAATTAAATGATCTTGAATTTGATGTGGTGATAGTTAAAAATATACTAATGTCCTCTAATTTAATACATATTACACTATATTTTTTAATACATTAGTTAAAAAGACATTAATGTCTTCTAATTTAATACATATTACACTATAATTTTTTATGCATTTGTATTTTCTATTTAGGAAATTGAACTAAATCATTCGTCAATTGAAAGAAAGGAAAGAAAAAAATAATTAAACTAGGTTTTCTCACTCTATCGTTAAATTTGCTTTCTTTTACTAATCTTTTTCAATATATATATATATATATATATATATATATATATATATATATTCACATTCTCAATATTTTTTTTGACAATTCTATATCTTTGTTGGGTATGCCTTTAAAATTAAATCGTAATTAGAAAATATCAAATCAAAATACAATTATAAAAAGTTTTTAAGTAAATTAAGGTTCTTATTTATCAGAAAGAGATCACTCATTCATGGTAAAAATTTATAATTTTAATTATTTAAAAATTCAATAGAAAGAGCCTCTCAAATGAAGATATACAAGCCATTAAGTTATATTAGGATTTGAATTCCATAATTATATTAAGATCTTTCCTATATTAAAAACTTACTTTTAAAATACACAAAACAACCAAATAAACAGCCACCTAATTCAAGATAAAATCACAAATTAAAATTTGTGAAGTATGTATTTTCCATATTTTTGCAATTTGTGGATGGCATTCACCAAAATTTTATCATGGAAAGACAATTTTTTTTTTTTTGTTAAGTCTATTAAAGCTACATATGTTTATCTTGAATTTGAAAAGACCTTTTGGTTTGTCAAAAAAAAATTTAAAAAAAAAATTTGTTATTGAAATTTACAAGTAAATCTATATATTTATGTGAAATTTGTTTGACTTGATTTCTACTGCACATAATGAAAATAAAAAATGTGTTGCATTGTGAGGATTCTTTTAAATGAAACTCCTACTATGCTCAATAGGAAGGTGAGGAGTTACCTAAAAATAAAATTTAAAAAAAAATAAATAAAATTGCTAGCATTCCTTCCAAAATATATAAATAGTTAGAAATGCCTTGATTTATATATATTTTCTATGTTTAAAATCTCCTCCTCATAAAGTTTGACTCTCCTAAATTAGAAAGCACGGTATATCTTCCTAATTTAAAGGATATTAAGACTAGGGTTCACACAATCACTTACATATTCTCTGTATTAGAATGTAAAAAAAAATTATAACTATTTAATGATTAAAATTTCGTGTCAATATACAAGATAGATTTTTTATTTTTTATTTTTTTCACTCCAGCTTTTAGGATACTAAAAATAAGACTTGGACTTAAAATGGTGCATATAATTTTTTTCATGATGGAGAGACCTCAAAAGAGTGTGAGCAGAACGGCTGGATTGATTTTTTATTAAAATAACAATAATAATAATAAACAATAAATAGGCTCACTGAGTACATATTCATAATCATAATCTCTCTCTCATGACACTAAGCTTGACTAATTCGATCATTAAATGACAGTGATTTTAATATATTCTAGATACCAAATTTGCATGTGCAATACTAATAATTTTCCAAATATCCTAATCAACAACTCATTTTTCTCAATTTATTTAGAAGGAAAATTAAATAATGGGGTTACCAAATTGCATAATTGTGTACTAGTATTAATTTATGTATTTTTATTGTCGGTGGGAGAAAAAAATTATTCTTAGCCTTCAATGGTGACAAAACTACTAATGGTAGTTTCTACGCGTCTTTACCTATATAGCAGATTCCAAATACCCGTTTGGTGGTGGAGCCTTGTATCAGAAGTTGGTGTGTAATTGAAGCAAGCAAAGCTGGTAAAAGCTAAATCTAGAGAGAGAAAGTGAAGATTACTGGTCATTGTCATCAACCAAATTGACAATGCTCAACCCAACAATAAAATTATATCACCAAATTGAGTTAATTTTTTAAAAAATTAAGAAGAATCACAGCCCAAATCCACCCACTTGAATGCTACATTATTGCCACTTTCTCACTCGCTCTTATTCTTCGTCAATCTCTCAATAATATAATCCATTTACATCACCATAGTCCAACAGAGTCTCTCCTAGTCCAGAGACTCCACAATCGAAGCGGAGAGAGATCAACCCACAACCCACATTCTCTCCCTTCACTCCATTGGTGTCTTTTTAAGATCTGGGTTGTTTGTGTTTTGATCAATAGATTGGTCAGACTCATCATTTGTGTCTTTTTAAGATCTGGGTTGTTTGAGTTTTGATCTGTATTCATCTCAATTTGTTTGATTTGTGATATTGGTGTTGAGATTGATCAGACCCAGTTGGGGAATTGAAGGGGAGAGAGGGATTTCAATATGTACGGTAGAGATCCGTGGGGTGGGCCGCTGGAGATAAATGCGGCGGACTCCGCCACCGACGATGACCGGAGCAGGAACCTGCAGGACTTCGACAGGGCGGCGCTGTCGCGGCCGTTGGATGAGACCCAGCAGAGCTGGCTGTTGGGTCCCGGAGAGCAGAAGAAGAAGAAGTATGTGGATCTGGGTTGCCTCATTGTGAGTCGTAAGCTCTTCGTGTGGACGGTGGGGACGATCCTCGCCGCCGGGCTCTTGGCCGGGCTGATCACTCTTATCGTCAAGACGGTGCCCCGCCACCACCGTGGACATCCTCCGCCGGATAATTACACGCTGGCTCTCCACAAGGCCCTCATGTTCTTCAATGGCCAGCGCTGTAAGTAAAAAACAGATTATATAAATATATATATACTACAATATCATATTTTTGTATATATAGGCCCGTATGTATGTTTAGTTCATATATCGGTTATATTTTGTTGTGGCGCGCACACTCACATATATATATTTATATACATGTATGAATGTTAATATGCATATATATCAGTTCTGTTTTGTTGGGAGATGGTTCTCAGATCTGATTTGATAATGATAATTCATATTGGTTTTTGGTTCGATTCTACAGTAGTTGGCGAATTCAATTTGAACATTATATGGAACTATTGTGACTCTGATCCGATTGATTCGTATAGGAGCCTTTGAGAATGAAAAAAAGCAACGAACATTGATAAAACAAGGATTGAACAGGATTTTCATACAAGTATATCCCTACATGTGTGGATGTATATTAATTATTTAAATTCCATTATTGTAATCTACGAAAGAGACTTCATCAACTAAATGCACAGTTGTTTTTTACTCATTAGTATTCAATCCATGATCTATCTAATTTCATTACATTGTGCTTTTTTTGTGGTTGTTTTCTAATTTGTAATGTTTGACAATTACAGCCGGAAAACTCCCCAAGCACAATAATGTTTCATGGAGGGGAAACTCGTGTGTGAATGATGGCAAGTCTGATTCCTGGACTTTAAGTAAGGATCTGGCGGGTGGCTATTATGATGCTGGAGACGCGATCAAATTCAACTTTCCTGCATCTTTTGCCATGACTATGTTAAGTTGGAGTGTAATCGAATACCCTGCAAAATACGAAGCTGCTGGAGAGCTCACCCATGTTAAAGAACTAATTAAATGGGGGACTGACTACTTTCTCAAGACATTCAATTCTTCTGCTGATATCATTGATCGGGTTGCTGCACAGGTAAACTCTTGTAATTATTTAGTCAATTCGTTTAGCTACATCTATATTTTACCCTTTCTTTCTATTTTGACATCCCATATGGAAATTTTAATCTCTCAAGACATTCTGTATTTTTCATCCTGCAATTTCTTAACGTTGCTGAAGAAATTATCAGCACTGTGCTTGTTACATATGCTTTGTAAATTTGAATAAGTTTACCTGGCTAACTCATCGGTGGGTGCTCTCTTTCCTTTTGTCTAACAGGTGGGAGTAGGGGATACTTCAGGCGGACCAACTCCTAATGATCATTATTGCTGGATGCGTCCAGAGGACATTGATTACCCACGTCCCGTATCTGTATGTCACAGTTGCTCTGACCTCGCTGCAGAGATGGCCGCTGCTTTAGCTGCTGCGTCTATTGTTTTTAAAGATAATAAGGCCTACTCACAAAAACTTGTACATGGTGCTACAACCCTCTTCAGGTTTGCCAGGGCTCAGCGAGGCAGATACAGTGCAGGTAGTGCTGAAGCTGCAATTTTCTACAATTCTACTAGTTACTGGGATGAGTTTGTGTGGGGTGGAGCTTGGATGTATTATGCTACTGGGAATTCTTCCTATCTTAACCTTGCCACTGCTCCCGGTCTTGCTAAACATGCTGGTGCCTTCTGGGGAGGCCCGGATTATGGTGTATTTAGCTGGGACAACAAGCTTGCTGGAGCTCAAGTAAGTTGGTGAAACTTAAGCTTATCTTTCAAAAATTGTGTTATTACTACACCAATATTTTATATTCTTGTCTAACTCACTAACAGGTTCATGTGCACACCCAAGAATAATTTGAATTTGTTGAGGACCCTATCTATGCATTTTCCAACCGATCAACGTTTAATTGTGTTTGTGTGCACACGTGTGTTGAATCCGTGTTACAAACAATGTTTAAGGTTCTTCCAACATCCATAGGAACTGTTATACGTTATCACAATGCTTGGATTTCTTTGTTTGATATATACTGCATGTTTGGAAATGTGACATGCAGCAATTGATCTGTCATTCTGTTTTTGGCTTTGGGCGGTCTATGGTGAGCCTTTGACTGTAAAGATTCTAACTCGTACATGTTTGAATTGTATTATGTTTGCCTGTCATTAAACGTAAACTATACTTTGGAAGTTCTAATAATAAAGGGTGGTCAATTAAAATTTGAGATCGGTTTAGCAGGACCAGTACGTGAACAATCACTACTCTGCTATGTGTTTCTGACTATGGTTCATCGTCTGTTTGCTAAAGGGATCAATTGCAATCCCTTATGAGGTTGAAGTTGCAGCTTTTCTGAAATTGTTTTATTACTAATATTACTTTTTGCCCCAAATATTTTTGCTTATGAATTATTACATATATGTCAAAAGACATACTAAAATTTGAGCCTCTGACATGTTGATCAATGTAGATCAGATTTATTTACTTGGAGAATCTAGTTACTAAGATTTCACTCATATCATGCCCACTTCTATACTGATATATTATTTGTTATTTTGTGTTTAGGTGCTTCTTAGCCGTTTGAGATTGTTCTTGAGCCCTGGGTATCCTTATGAAGAAATTTTAAGAACATTTCACAATCAGACCAGCATTGTCATGTGCTCATACCTACCAATTTTTACAACCTTTAATAGAACAAAGGGTAAGTAACCTCTGCTTTGTTGATGTCTGTTTGGTTCATGGATTTAGTGAGAGAAGGGAAAATAAAATCTCAATGTAATTGTTCTGTGGACCTTTTACAGGAGGTTTGATACAGTTAAATCACGGAAGGCCTCAGCCTCTTCAATATGTAGCCAATTCTGCCTTCTTGGCTGCCCTGTTCAGTGATTATCTCGATGCTGCAGATACACCTGGATGGTACTGTGGACCTAATTTTTACTCAACAGATGTGCTGCGCAAATATGCCGAGACGCAGGTATGTGATACTCTGTTCTGTATCGGAAGTAACAGAGAGGCAACCCTTTGATCTTATTCATGTGGAATTTATCACTTGTACGGGGAAAAAAAAAAATTTGTAGCGGTCTGCAAAAACATGAGTATGTTGATGACGACTAACTGTACCTTTCTTTTTTCTCCGGGGTTTTGGCAGATTGATTACATCCTCGGCAAAAATCCTCGAGGGATGAGTTATGTTGTGGGATTTGGTAATCGCTATCCAAAACATGTCCACCATAGAGGTGCGTCAATCCCCAAGAACAACAACAAGTACAACTGTAAAGGAGGATGGAAATGGAGGGACACCACCAAGCCAAATCCAAATACAATCGTTGGAGCTATGGTTGCTGGCCCTGACAAGCACGACGGTTTCCATGATGTGCGTACTAACTACAATTACACGGAGCCAACGCTTGCAGGCAATGCCGGTTTAGTTGCAGCCCTCGTGGCACTGTCAGGTGACAAGTCTACTGGCATTGACAAGAACACGATATTCTCTGCAGTTCCGCCAATGTTTCCAACTCCACCACCGCCTCCAGCACCTTGGAAACCATAAGACGCCGAGGCTGCCGTCAACATTGTCTCCGAAGTTTTTCTTGAGACTCATATGGGGTACACGATTTTACTGCATTAATTAATTGTTTTTGGACTTCACATACTGAGAGCAAAAGTATTACAAAGATGTGAAACTATGGTGGCATAAGCACTGTGAAGATAGCTGGGATAAGCTGGCTAGGGTTGGGAACTTGGACTACCCTGAAGAAGTATATTTGGGTTTTGGTCAGTCTTTTTATTTGTAATTTGTGATACACATTGTATGTATGAAAATCATCCATGTTTTTTTTTTTTTTGATATATTAGATTTTAAACAGTTGGAGTTTGGTTAATAAAATTTTCATGTCATTGTCTAACAGGAACATTTCTTTGCTTTTCCTTGTCTGTGACTCAATTTCATGACTTAATTACGTATCTATATATTTATAATTTATAAACTTCACTTTTTGAAAAATGTGAGAAAAATAAAATAAAATTTTATTTTTCTCACAAAAAACCAATAAAATTGAGCAAGCATCCTTTAAAGGACTTAAAATTAAATAAATTTTGATTTTTTGACTAATGGTTCCTAGAGTATGGAGTTGAATTGACGAACATGTGCCCTATTTTTTATCTTTCAAATATATATTATTTAATATTAAAAAGATGAAAAATTAAATAAATGAAGCATAGGATGTTTCCAAAACCTAGTTTATAACATAGATGAAAAATTGACCCATTAACTTTGAAAAACTACTAAAAATGAAAATGAATTTTCGAATATGTAGCAGCATAGTGCACTTCTATTTATTGGAAAATAAATTGACAAAAATAGGCTCATATCCTCTACAATAGTTCAATCCTATAGTTTCTTTTAGGATTTGTAATTTATGAATAAAGTTATCCTTTATTTAAAATAAGGACCATGAATTCTTTAGCAATCAAAAAATGTCTAAGAAATGGCTATGAGATATTAGTAGAACAGTAATTGGGAATATGGAAAAAAAAAAAGTTTGATAGTGTGATTGAGACAATAAAAATGATGCAGAAATGATTCTTCTTTTAAAATTGAAAACAACACTTTCATTTTTTAGATTCGATGGATGGAGTAAGTGAGTTGATTTGTCCCCTCTATTTGCATAGTGTGAATGGAAAGCATTCGGTTCCTCATTCGTTTTTTAACTTTCAGATGTGTATTACGATTTAAAAGCATATATAATAATCTTTGATTTATGCAAATTATGAATAAATTTAAAAGAAAGAGTAATAACACTTTTTGGATTAATTATGATAGGTGAATATAATTTTCAACAACAATCAAATAAATTTTTTTGCAACCAATTAATCAAATGCACTTTGTGCCAAAACCATGTAGGATAACAAACAAGTTTTATCACATAGTTTACCTTTTACCTTCCAAGGGATATATTGAAGTGTTCAAATTCACATGGAACACCTGTGCTATTTGTGAGGAAAAAATATTGAATTCGTTTAAAATGATGTACAAAAGCCAATAACAATGCACTTGAAAACATGTTTTATCTTATTGGGGGTATATATCAATTCGTAACCTTTTTTTAAGATTCAAGAGTTCAATATTATTATACACCATTCATAAATTGGTCAGTTTACACTGATATTCTCCCAAATCCGTTACACTGCGAAGCATGCTTAAAAGAAGACATTTAAGCCACGCTTGGTAGGTGGAAAATGAAAGGAAAAAAAAAAAAAGAATGGAAGAAGAAGAAAAGAGAGGAAATATTAAGTTGTATTAAAAAAGTTGAAAAGAAATGGAAGTATTTAGGAATTCATTAAAACCATCCATATTAGTTAGCGGTGAATAAATTATATTACTTTTTTTTTGTCCATTTTAATTTTTTTTAATAAAGAGAGAATTCTAATTTTACCCTTGTTACTCACAAAATAAAATCATTTCTTATCTCTTCTTTTCGTTAGTTAAAAATGAATTTAGGTTTATGTTGGGGTTGTAAAATAAAGCATTCATGTATTAAAAATAAGAATGTAAATAAAAAAGTGAATTTATGTGACCAATTCTATTAAGTTAACAGTATATATATATATTTTTTTTCTTTTTGTTAATCTATCAAACAAAAAAGTTATAATTTTTCACTTTATATATATATATGATTATGAAAAATAATTTTTCTTCAAAAAAATTTTCGTCCAATTTCCTCTAGCCAAACATAGTTTTACTCAATTGTACCAAACGTGTAAAACTGCACCCTTAATAAAACTCCCTATCCCAACTTTTAAATGAGAGTATCTAACATTAAACTATCACTCTTTAATTTCAATCACATCACAGAAGAAATAAACACTATAAATGAAATTTAATGGTTGTGATTTGCTTTTATAATTAACATGATTGAGTTGAGTATTAGTTAGCAGACTCAGTACTGACTACTAGTACTAGTAGTATTTAAAATGAAATATAAAAGAAAAAATAATCAAAATTGAAAAATTAAATTCACTTTATATATACAGTAAATGTAAATATGAATTATATACATATATATCCCCGGTGAATGGGAGGTGTTAGGTAAAAGCAAAAGAGTAGTGTGAAGGAATCGTCTGGTACACCGATCACCGATTGGTCTCCGTCTCAAACTTTTAGAGAGAGAAAGATGTATAAACACATATACATATAGAGAGAGGGTGAGGAAGTTGCGGAACTCAGGTACTGACCAAAACCCTCTCTCTATTTTTTGTTTGCTTTGTATGATTCCCTGAGATGGCGCTTTTATATTGATCGAACATTTTTGGGGTTCTTCTAGTTTAGACGCCCAAATCTTCGTTTTAGTTTAGAGAAATATGGCAAATAAATTATGTGGTATCCAATTTTGAGCTTTTATTGTTTGCATATTTTTTAATTTGATTATATAAAAATGCATAGTGTTTTCTTACTAGAGATGAAGAAAGTTTTGAAAGATACAAAAAAAATGTAATGAAGAAAGTTGAAAGAAGCAATAACAGATGCTAATTATAGATTATATGATGGTTTTTTTTATTTTAGATTGGGTTCCAATTTTTGTGGATAAATTATGAACTTGTTAGACTAAGTGGAAACCAAAGATTTTAATCATGTTTAAGTGCGTAATCATAAGGGTCATGGTGAAAGATGACGAATTTAAAGAAATACGGAGAGCTAACTTTAAGAAATTGTTACAAGAAAAAACATATGGGAAGCTTAGGTTTAGATGAATGTAGTGTCAAGGAGATTTGAGAAAATAAATTTTTTTCTTCTTTGGATTAGGGTGTTTGAGATGTAAAAGACATTAAGGAAGATGAAAACAAGAAGAGTTTAAGAAGCAGATTCGAAAATGTTTCGAAGCTGATGGTGTGTCTTGACTAACAAAATTGTTTGACAAAATCATAATAACAGCTAAGAAAATTATTGACGAGTGACAGAAATTTATTGTACTGCCTATATATCGAACAAGGGATATTCAAATTCATAAAAATTATCATTGTTTTAATATTAATGAATCATATTTTGAAATTTTGGACAGAATGATTGAATAATGACCAAGACTTAAAATATATTTCATAAAATGAGTTTAGGTTTATGTTGGGGATTTAAATTGTGGAAGTTATCTAATTGTTAAGGTGATCAATGGAAAGTTGTAGAGAAAGTCTATGATAAGGTCCTTATAGATATAATTTGGTGGTTGCTAGGGAAAATGTCACAAATTGATATATAGATATGATAAAGCTGTAATTATATCCAAAACATAAAAGAAACAAGTAAAATTTCAATTATTGTAAGCGTACTTTAGAGATTAGCATTAAACCCCCATCTTTTTTACTTAGTCATTGATGAACTGAGTAGATATATTTAAGTTGAGGTCTCAGGTATATGCTATAATGTTACTATTTTATTCGATGACATCAAAGTATGGTTAAATGTTAAATTAAATGTTTGTAAAGGAGCTTAGAATACAGGGGGTTTATTGCAAGTGGGAATAAGACTTAATAAACAGGATGTAGTTTTAGCAAAACGAAGAGTGGTGATTAAGATGTACTGAAAATCGAGGGTTAAGAGTTATGGAAATGTGAACGATTCTGTTGTTTAGATTCAATTTTCACAAGTAGGGAGAGACTGAAGATAATGTTACTCAAAAAATTAAAGTAAGATTAGTCCATTGGGGGATGTTTTTGGCATATTGTGTGATGACATATACCTCTTAAACTAAAAGGAAAATTATATAAACAATCATTATATACCATTCTTTATGGAATAGAATGATGGATGGTTAAGAAACAACATGAAGTGTTTTGAATAATCAAATTTGTTGTGCTTCAAGGATGGAAACAGGGTAGCTTGCTGATGGAAAAGTGATTTTTGAATCCACTTGTACCCAAGTGGTTGGATTGGTTTGGCAGAGACACCTTATTGAACCGAATCCATCAAATTGCTTAAAATAATGATCTCATATCCACTCCTCAAACTTATATCCTTACTACATAAGGATCTACTAAACAAATATCTATCTAAAGCCATATGCCATCCTGGGTGGCAGCCTGCATTTTTTCAGGCCAGTCTTGGCCTTTTTGTGCCTTAGCTCAAACCAGATCATCTTTTACCACTGCTGGAGTCGGACTTCATCACACACGGCCCAAAAAAATAGCTGTAGTTGCTCATCATTAACCAAATAATCCAATATCATTGAACTCGTAAAACATTCAGTTTTCAATATGCTGGACAAGTTACACCTGTTCCTCAAAGGTGCTATTTAATCTGGTAAATAGAACAATGTGTGCTTTATTTCTTTGAGATTTTGTAATTTCCCTTCTTTTTTTTTAACCCTTTTTCGTCCACATCTAGTCTAATATGCCAAAATTTGGATGCGTTCAGTATATAAAAGGAATGCATTAGGTATGTTCAGTTCAGATGCTATTTACTCTACACAGCATGTCAGTGGTTTGGTTTTTGAACATTGTTTGAGATAACTCATGTGCCTTCGCATATGCACCGGGCAACAAATTTTGGATAATTGTTCTGTTCATTTCACAGTTGTGAGAGATTTTTCTTATGACTAACTGTTGTGCTATTATGGGATTAGGGACCTGGGTTGCATTAAATTGTAATGTCGTCCGTTAGATATCAAATTATGGAAAATTAGACTTCAAGTGTGGCGCTACATTTAAATTTTAAATAGCACATGATGTGAAGTGGTGTAATTCGTAGCATCCAACCTATGCACACTGCCTGAAATTAGTAATGTTATATTTTATTTTGCTTGTATGCTTGATGATAAATTTGTCATGATTTGAAATCTGCATAACTTGTCATTTGTAGAGTCTGGATTATGCTTGCCTTGATTCTTATAGCACATTCATGTTTTGTTTGACAGATTTCTGGTGTCTCAACAAAGATGCCAGATTCAGCTGATTTAGGAAAGAACAGTGAAAATCATGGGAGTCAATTTAGGGAAGACAGTGAATATATGAGGCTGGTTATATCCAATGAACCAAGGATAGCTGAAAATGATGTCTTACAATCTCAAGCAGAAACAAAAAATAAGTCATTTATCTGGTGGATCAAGACCATAATATGGTGTTTTACTAGTATAATAATCCTTCTCATTTTCTTGAAATGGGGAGTGCCATTGCTTATTGAGAAGGTATTTTCCTGTCCTTGGCTAGGCCCTCTCTCTCTCTCTCTCTCTCTCTCTCTCTCTCATATGTCCACATGAGAACAATAGATAAGGTCAACTATTATTGGTTACTCCTGCTTATTCTAAAACTTTCCGCCTTTAACATCCAAGTTGGGTGAATGAAATCCCCTATGTTGTATCCCAAAGGAATGATCCATCAGGTTCCATCCACATCAGGCTTTACCCTTCTATTGTTTGATGTTTGTGATTGAAAATTAAAATGACAGCTACATGTGCAGGCTTATTAGCTGGTTTCTCAGTTTTCATTACAGATATATTGTCCCACAGAAGTAGTATTTGGATTGTTATATTGCCATTGAATGGATTGGAGTATCTAAAAATTGTGGACACTAGTTGAAGTTATAGCTTGATTCTTCTTTATCCATGCAATGCATCCATTCTCATGGTTGCAACATTTTTTGTGATGGTAAAGTTTAATACACATGGTCACACAACATCAAGACCCAGTTTGACTGAAAGCATATTTTAGGCCTTTTTGCTGGCTAAATCATTAGTTATTTACTTGTACCATGTGCAACTCAGCGTTGCTTTTACTAACTCACCCTGTTTGTCCTTGCTAGTTGGCATATTTGCTTCTCCTTAACGTTGATCATAAAATGTTCTTCATTCTGTGTTATTAGAATTACTTAAAGAATCAATGTGAACGGATAAAATTAAGAGGTGTTGGGACATATCACCTTTTTTTTATTTGGCATTTGATCCCACAAGTTGATACGGTCAATTTGGTGATATGGAGGCATCAGCTAACAACAGATCAATTGTGGGTCAGAGTGTCGACAATGCGCTTTGGTTGGCTAGTTATGGAAACATTTTTGAAATGCAATGGAATCTTCCTAAAAATATGAATATATGGAAAGAATACAAAACATGCATGTAAAGAATCTAGAACTAGGGTAAGCAGAAAAAATTATGGATTGAGTGTGTTGTTGTACGTGTACCAATACACCAACAACAACAACATATAGACAATGGCACAGAATCAAGTATTAGGGTGCTAAATTTGTGGAATTGACTTAATGTTGAGAATGTAGAAATGATTTGATTAAAATGAAGGGTGTGTGAAATTTGTAAATAATGATTGTATAATGTAAATAACACTGTATTGCTTCCTAAGTCAAGTATTTTTGCTTCATAGAAGCACTAAACTCGAGTTTTACTGCTGTGGCTTCAATAAACCTTTGGTTTCTCAATTTTACTGTAGGTTCTTTTTCCAATCTTGCAATGGGAATCCACTGCCTTTGGTCGTCCAGTTCTTGCACTTGTACTTGTTGCTTCTCTGGCACTGTTTCCTGTGTTCTTAATCCCTTCTGGCCCTTCGATGTGGTTGGCTGGAATGATTTTTGGATATGGTCTTGGGTTCGTTATAATCATGGTTGGAACAACTATTGGTATGATCCTTCCATATTTGATTGGATTACTCTTCCGTGACCGAATTCATGTAAGTCCAATAAATGTCAGTGTTTATGGTACAGAGAAATGTTGTTATTAGATTTCCATTCTCCTTTTTTTTCATGTTCCTGTCTTTTCATTTCATGTTCAGCAATGGCTAAAGAGATGGCCTCAGAAAGCAGCTATGATCAGAATTGCTGGGGAAGGGAGCTGGTTCCATCAATTTCGAGTGGTTGCCCTCTTCAGGGTCTCACCATTCCCATACACAATTTTTAATTATGCAATAGTGGTGACCAGTATGAATTTTTGGCCTTATTTATGTGGTTCGGTAGCTGGAATGGTTCCAGAAGCCTTCATTTACATCTATAGGTTAGTTTTCTGAATTCCTTTTAGCAAGAATTTTTCTGCTGTGTGGTTTCAAGATAATTATATTATACAAGCAAGAATAGGCGCCATTTATCATTAATTACTAAAAAAATTAAAGTGCATTCTCGATTAATTCGGAATGTGTGTGAGGTCTAGTCATTACATCACAAACACACTATTGAGTTGCTGCTTTTTTCAGTTTTCTGGTTGATGCAAGCATATAACAACAGATACCCTTCGCTTTGCTTTTTAAGGGTATGCTTATATTGTAAAATTGATGATTTTTCCTAAACGTTTCTCGGCAGAAGCTAGAATATTTTAAGTACGCTAATGGTGTTTGGCTAGGCATATTTTTGCTCATTTTGGTTTGTGTTGTTCACGTGCCTTCATTCCCCTTGTTCTCCTGTGCAGTGGTCGATTAATAAGGACGTTAGCAGATATCAAGTATGGGAACCATCACCTGACTTCAGTGGAAATAATATACAACGTTATCTCCTTCATTGTTGCAATCATCACCACAGTTGCTTTTACTGTCTATGCAAAGAGGACTCTGAATGAACTTAAAAGTGCAGAGATCAATGAAGAAGCCTCCGCCTCTGATCATGGCAGATTTGAGATGGAAAAGCTTCCACTTGAAAGACCTAAGCATCTGGGTTCATCATCATCCTTGTCATAGCCCTAGATGGTTTTTAAATTGTTACTGTATACAACTGGAGCTAATGAGGGGTTTCGGTTAGATCCCTAGGAGGAGGAAAAACAGAGAAAATACTGTAAAATGTGTCAGAGATGGAAGTGTATTGAGTCTATTAGCAAATAAAATTTCCTCTCTTTTTTTTTTTTTTGTAAAATTATTATTATCCTCTTTATACTGGGCAGGTGTCAATTGATGTTGAAAAATAACATGAGAATTTACCATATGCTTCCCCACATTAAATCCATAGCTTGAGAATACCATGTTTAGATTGTTGAATGCCAAATGTGAAGTATGGCAATTTCATGAGAACCAGATGGCAAATTTTAATGAAATTGGACTTTGGTTTCAGACTCCATTTAGACATTCATCAAGGTTAATTTTGACATTTTGCCATCTGGTTCCAAGTAAGATTTAGTTGTTTTATCTCCTTTAACTAATTTCAAGAAACACTGGAGAGTAAAGTCCTTCACCAAGTCTAAATTACCTTGTTTAGCGACTTGCATAGTGGAAAACCGAACCTTCTTTTATTGGTTAGGTTGGTTGATCCATTGTGACTTGGAATAGAACCTTATTGGTTAGGTTGATTGATCCTCCATTGTGACCTAAAGGTCACGGGTTCAAAATCGGAAACAGCCTCCCCATACGGAAGTAAGGCTGTGTATATCTGACCCTCCCCAAATTCCGCAGTAATTAAAGCCTCGTGCACTGGGCTAGCCCGTATAGATAAGGTATTTTTCAAGAGCAGGGCATAATGGTTTGTATTCCTCTTCAGTTTCATTACATCTCACAATCAATGTATAGAAAGTTAGCAACTACTAAATAAATAGATTTCAACAGTTAGATTTTGCAACTAGGAAAAACAAGTTCTTAAACCATAATAGTAGAAAGCTGCATTGATGTGTTTACAGAAAATATATCAGCATCCTTTTCTGTTAGAATTCATCGGCAAGAGATTGATTACATACTGATGAATCTAATGAACTCACAAGTCACAACCATGAATCAAATTTGCTTGTATATATGAATGTCATTGATTGTTTTGGGAAAACCAAATCATTATTGAACAAACTCAAGGAGATGACATTTGAGTTCGCTTAATACAAGAAAGCTCAACTACTGATGCAGTAATTCCTGCATCAGCATCGGGTATTTGTTCCTCAGTACGAATGTTTTCAAACGATTCTTTGGTCATTTTTTTTGAACCGCCAGCCCAACTTCCAAGCATTTCGTGCACATGATCTTTGAAAATTCCTTCTTTAAAAGCGCTACCCATCTACATTCAGAAAGGAACAAATTAGAAAATAAGCATGCCAAACTACTCCCACAAGCTTAGTGAACTTAAATTTCTAAGTTGTCTCACCTGGGTGACTAGAGCATACAGAGGTAATGTGCTGTAACTGCAGAGTACTTGAACAACCACCCTGACCAAGCAAGTGATGCAGTGAGATGGACCAGACAAAATGAGCATATAGTTATATGTATATATATATATATATAGACAGATTGATAGATAGGGTACCCTATAATAAGTCTTGGGATGATGTAGCACAATCTCTCCATGATGCATGAATGAAATCCATATGTACTCTGGAGAGCAGTTAATGACATAGTGTTAGTACTAAACCAAAATGCAAAAGACACTTGTATTTGGGAATTCATTGATGAAGTCACTCTGCTTACCCAAATCCAAAAGAAGAAGCCGATCTCAAATGCATTTTGAAACAAAACAAAGTGAATCAAGTAAAGGACAATCTTGGGTTTTTTAAACCAAAAATGTCTGTCAGAAGGCTCCACTGCTTGTGCTTCGTTGTCCCCCTGCTTATGCTGTGCAAAATCTTCAGCCAAGCGGATGATAACGTGCTCTAACTTTGCGCCCACAAGAAGCAAAAGCTGCCATTTCACCAACTCGCGTTACATTTGTGCCATTTCTTGCGCACCATGCACTAATTTATGCTCCGTTTATTAGGAGGGGTGGAAAGGACCTTCCTAAGGAGAGGAAGCTATCCTTCCCTCCATTTGTTTGGTCTGAGTAGAAAGGAAAATGATGTGAACTAACTTTTACTAGTATGTCCTAGTTCAAAGAGTTGTTTGAAGAATGAACTTAAAATATGAGGCTTTTCTTCTCTCTGTCCAGCCTTTTAGACGGAAAGAATGAGGTGAGCATGTTGCTTCCCTTCTCTCTTCCCTTTCTGTCCCTTTTACTTCCTACCAAATGGTTCATTAGGAGGGATGGAAAGATTAAAGGAAAGGAAAATAGAAGATATGGAAAAGGCATTCCTAGGGAGAAGAAGCTATACTTCCTCCATTTGTTTGGTCGAGTAGATAGGAAAAGGATGTTGACTAATTTTTACTAAAATAACCATGTTCAGAGTATTATTTGAAGAATGAAGTAAAAATATGGGGCTTTTCCTCTTTCCCTCCACCTTTTTGGACGGAAAGAATGTGGGGGAGCAAGTTGCCTCCCGTCTCTCTTCCCTTTTACTTCCTACCAAATGGTTCATTAGGAGGGATGGAAAGATGAAAGGAAAGGAAGATAGGAGGGATGGAAAAGACCTTCCTAAGGAGAAGAATCTATCCTTCCCTCCACTTGTTTGGTCGAGTAGAAAGGAAAAGGATGTTAACTAATTTATACTATTATATCCTTGTTCAGAGTGTTATTTGAATGTAAGAATGAATTAAAAATATGGGGCTTTTCTCCTTTCCGTCCACCTTTTTGGACAGAAAGACTGGGGAGCAAGTTGCTTCCCTCCTCTTTTCCGTCCCTCTTCCTTCCTGCCAAACGATAAACACTCTATCCATCCCTCCACTTTCCCAACCCTTCTCTCATCCCACTCTTCCCTTCTAACAATCAGACTGTTACACTTGAAAGGAAGCGAATTACTTACCACGAGGGGTAAAAAGGATAACCAGAAATATGTGTGCCATCCTGCGTATTTTGACAACTTACAGTGGGAAGAGTTAGGAATCCATTACGAAATGAGTCAAATGCACAACCAAGAGGAAAGGAATGTACCTTCAATGTTCAGCAGCAAAAAGACCACAACAAAGAGCCACAAATACCAGCTGAAGTAGAAGATCAGTTGACAATGTTTAGCACAAAAGATCAGCTTCATCTTCGAACACAATGCAAAAAGTAAAAACTATAAAAAAAAGTTTACCTTATGCCGACAATTCTCTTGAAATCAATTTCCAGTGTCCTTAATATATAACTGTGAAAATCATAACCTGGATTCGAAGGACAATGGGCCTATAGATGAAAAACAAACTGTGTTTAACTATTATACTTTTCTAACAGTATGACAGGAAACGGAAGAAATTAGCTAATAATAACCAATGACGGGAAACCTTACTCTTATAAATCCTGTTCGTAGAGAAATATAGTCGGACTTTGTAACTGAGCCATAAAATTGTTTGAAGAATGAAATCTACAAACAACCACTAAAAATGTTATCACACTTGAGAAGTATGCATCACATTTGTAAAACATATGAATTGAATACACACTTCCATTTACTATGTACTAAAAAAATTATTATCGTCCTTCAAAAACCTTATTAGTTAACTCAAAAATTTGAGGTTTTCACTGTTGCATTGTGATACTTTGTAAAGCCAAAACAAAGTAAAAAAATTTCTACTACTCATAATGCCTGAAAACAGATGAAAAGGTTTGAATTACTTGTCCGGTTAAGCATTGCAAAAACACTAGAATTTGGAGGGAAATGTATAGTGATACAAATGACATGGAACTCACCATCCAACTTACAACCCACGTCCTCCTCCAACGTCCAGATGCACGTTGCTCGAAACGAAGGTGATGGTGATGGTGAACATGGGTAGCTGCATGTAGATATGATTTTTTATCAGCTAAAACAAATTATGTACGCTTGCATTGTGACAAATCAACTTTACCCGTTGTCCTGATTTCCTCCTCCCAAGGCTTCCAACGACGAATCTACATGAAAGTTGAAATACACAAATTTATTGGACAATACTATATTAAGCATAGAAAACATTAAAACTCGAGTTATAGAATGAAGTAACTGAAATTCAACTCTACTCAATAGGTCAATGTCATAAATTGAGTTCTGTTTCCTTTTTATTTAACAGATGGTTCATTCACCAAAACCGGTTTATTGCAGATTTTTGCCAAGAACTTGTAAAATCACTAAGGAAGGTGATATTGTCTTGAACTGAAATTTGAGTGAAAATGGAGTGCGATTGTTGCAACCAATCATACATTACCTTTGCCCCTCCAAGAAGCATGGTGCTGACACAGAAGATGACATGAACAACCGCCAATACAAAGATGAAAATGTGCAGATGATGTAATGCTTCTAGTGAGAGTAATGGAACCTTTCCCTGAAATCGGAGAAAGAGGAACAAAATTTAAGCACTAGTTCCATGTAATGTGAGCATAATCATATCAAGAATGTGTTTTTTGCAAAGAAAGAATGGACACAAGCTTCTGTGTCAACAAAATTTGCTCTCATATTTTTTTTTTTCTTTTGAAAGTTCAAGCAACCACGCACACACGCCCCCCAAAATATTGCCCTTAGAAGGGCTTGAACACTCAATCTCGATGGTCTAGAAGATTTTTTAATTTGAAAACTAGCATTTTAGTTGCATTTGGTGGTACAATAAAGTAGGTATAGATTTTGACATTATAGAACTTTTCACTTGAACCCAAAATTTTCAACTTTTCAAACTGCGGTTGCAAAATGATTGTATCTATGGATGGAGTGCATATATATATATATATAAGGACTTCTGATATATTACATTTCCAGACACTATATGAAACTCTTAACAACCAGAACATTTTTGACAGTTCTATATGAAAAATGCTTCATTTAAAATTACAACTACATCAAACAGACTACAAATAACTATATTTTGGAAAGATTATTCTTCTCTCTAGAACTTTAAACACACAATGAAATTTTCTTAACCATCCTAAGGGATTACCTTCAATTCCCTTTCTTCTATGGTCTTATCTTTTAATATCTTACAAAAATCTAACAATTTCGATCAATCTCAATAGAACAAGAGTTGCAATGTAATAATACTTTCTCACCTTCCAAAGTAAAAAAGTGGAAGGTTGCATTTCTCACCTTCCAAAGTAAAAAGTGGAAGGTTCGAATTCAAAAAGAAGGTGTATGAGTTTCTTGCCATAATAAAAAAATAAAACAAAGCAACTCGTAGTTCTTGAGTTAAACTCTTTCTGACTGTACCTAATACCCTTGGAGTGGTTATATACTTGTATATGTATTTGAAAGGTAAAGTCTCACTCCAAAAATAAAATTAAAAAATTTAACATTTCTACATGTAGAAAAACGAATAAATACTTTTTTAAAAAAAAAACTCACAAGTGCACATTGGACTGAATTAGCTGTAGACAAAAGCCTCCGGCCGTAGTTCATAGCTTGATGTTGATGTTCTGAAGCACTTGAAGTAGTAGTTTCCAATTTGCAGGGGAGCATATAAGATGCAAGATGACTAGGGATGCATATGCGGGTTATAAAATTTTGAGAGACCGTCAAGAGAAGAGAAATGAAACCCAAAAGCATCAACTCTGGTAAGAAAGAAAAACAAAATTATATATATATATATATATATATATATATATATATATATCAAGAACAATGAATATGTTAAACAGATAGAAATTAATTCAAGAACAGTTTAAGAATATTGTAACAAGGTGATTTGCTTGGCAACTATTTCCACTACTGAATGGGCATAAAATCCCACTGGGCCGAGTCCTGCCCGGCCCATTAGCCCAAGGACCATCCCGTCCGCTGACTCTCATTCAAGGCCTGTTTCTTTCAAGAGCAAGGCTTGTTTTGACCAAGAGATCAGCCTAGAAGAGACAAGCCCGTTTAGGAGGGATGAAGCGGTTTAGAAAGAGCAAAGGATTTTTAGGGTAATAATAGACTTTTATAAATAGAAGAAGAGGTAAAGGATTTAATTGAAGGCTCAGATTGTTATGACGTAAAATTTATTTTTTAGAAAATATTTTCATTTTTTGGGTAATATACACCCTTCGGGCGAGACTAGGGATGGCAATGGAGGCGGGTTTAGGCGGGTGTACCCTCCCTCGCCCCCGCAACAGTTTAAGAACCTCACCCCGTCCCCGCCCAAAACCGCAAAAACGGCCCCGTTTAACATTTTTACCCCCACAAGTACCTGGCCCGTTTAAGACCATAATTTAATTATTGTTGAAATGGATTTGCTTTTTTTTTTTTTTTTCCCATCTTCAATTCTTCACCATTGCAACTTTCCTTTTAATAAAATTCATTTATTACTTTAATATTGTTATATGAGGTAATTAATATATAGTGGGAAATATATATATTAATGAAATAAGGGTACTTAAGTAATTTGTCTATCCAAATGGGGCGGTGCAGGACGACCTCTCCTCGCCCCCGCACCAAACCTGCGTGGGTTTTTATTGCATCAAATCATCCCCACCTAAATAAGCAAAACGGTCCCCCCAAAACCGTCAAAAATGGGGCGAATAACCGCAGGGGCGGGTCAAATTGTCATCCCTAGACCGGACGTATAAAATAACTTACCAAAAATTAATGGATAAATTAATTTTGTAAAATTTTAATATATTTTTCTTTATAAATATTTTACGACAATCAAACACCAAAAAATAAAAATAAAATTTTAAACAAATATTTAAGTCCAAACAAATCGAGCCAAAGTGTAAAAAATTAATTTTCCTAATAGAGAGCAGTTTCTTGCACATTCAACTACTTATTCGAGTACTGTGACTTTTTTACATAACCATATCCTATAGAGATTAAAATGGGACTAAATTAGACATGCATTTTATTTTATTTTATTGTTTTTTTTTTTTTTTGTTTTGTTTTCCTCTTATAGGTAGTAAAATGGAACATTCTTAACACACACAAATTAGATTCTAACCATTTTGATTGCTGGCAGTTCAATGTGCTACATATCAAATTGAAGCAAATTGTGTACGGTCTAGGGGTAAAATTATCATCACAATAGAGCAAATCATGTGAATTCAAAATTCTATACTTTTATATATATATATATATATATATATATATATATATATATGAAGTATAGAGAGAACTAATTAATCACAAACCTTCTTTCAATTTTTGCAAGGCCTCGAATAAAGCGTCTTGACCTTTGTGTTTCAGGATCTGAATATCAAGCAACCCAAAACATAATTAAGCAATTTCACATGCCAATAATTAGAAGTGTTAATTTAAAAGCTTTGTAATTATTTTAGCTACGTTTACATAAGAATGGAATGAATGATCATTTTATATTCGATATTTTTTTTTTTTTTTTTTGTTTAATGTGCAATATTTGGAATGGTCTAGGGATGAACCCAGCTTCACCAGGCTCCATATTAAATTTTTTTTTTTTATTTGTATATAATATGAAAATACATATTTGCCCCTCAATATGTCAAATTTCTTTCTTTCTTTCTTTCTTTTCCTTCTTACTCTTTATTTATATTTTTTATTCTCCTCAAATAAATTTGCATTTTCTTTCTCCAATCAAATCCTAAGGCTTTGTTTGGTTAGGTGAAAATAGCTAGAAAAGAAAGAAAACAGAAAATTTTTAAATTTTTTTAGAGTTTGGATAGATAGAAAGAGAAAATTAATGGAAAATTTTGTTTCCATACTTGTCTATTTTCTCTCAAAACTTTTCATGCACAAAAAAACAGGGAATTAATTTTTTCGCGTGAGATGTTTGCCTTTTAATTTAACATTCTTATTTTACCCAATAGTGAAAAATAATTTCTTCTTTTATTTTTGTACTGAATTTCTTAGAGACAAGTTCTCTGTAAAACTAACTTTTTCTTTGTTTTTTTTTTAGTATTGCCATCAATACATTTTCGTGTTTTTTTTTTTAAGTTTCGTTTCTCATACACTAATAATTAGTTATACTACTGCCTTAGAAAATATAATGAAGTCTTATTTTAAATATAAATAATTATATTATTAAATTTAATAATCCATTATTTTACTATTTCTTTGCTAAAAATGTACATCAATAAATACAAATTCATTTATTTATTAGTATTTAAAATTAAAAGGGTAAATTTGGTATCTTTAATCGATTTCTTTTTACTTTTATGGTATCAAAAATAACAAATTAATATGTTTTTACAGTTTTCTTGAATAAATTTTCATTCTAATCAAATGCATACTAGAAAATAATTTTTTTTCTATTCACTTCACTTTTCCTTCATTTTCAATTTCTTTTCTTGCTTGTTTCTATCTAACCAAACGGAGCCTAATTTCTTTAACATGTTATTTTGACTATATATATGCTTAAAGATAACCTTCTAAGATTAATTATATATATAAATATAATATTCCAACAAACTACATTTTCAGATAAGTAAAAATAATTTTTAAGAATTTACTATGATTTTTAAAAATATAAACAAATTGTATAGCACTACCTGAATTGATTTCTATGACTCTAATATTATTAAGAGTCACTATTGTTTATTGTTCAATTCATAAGTTAGTAGCGTCCCCCCCTTCCGCACACCACCACCTCAGCCGCCACGTCCAGCGCTGCCACTCTCAAGTGTCATCACCACTGTAGCACCGCTGCCTTCTTACGCCACCATTGACACCTTCCACCACCACCAATGACACCCTCCACCGCCCCCACCCACGGCTTCCACCGTCACCATCACCACACCACCGCCACCTACGCCTTCCACCACCACCACCACGCCACCGCTGTCTTCGCCTTCCATGGTCATCACACCACTGCCACCACCTGAACAACAGCCTCACTGCCTTACACCACCGCTTATTCCACCACCATGGCCTATGCCACAACCACGGACGCCACCGTCGCCTCCGCCACCACCACCGCCTCTGGAACCATTATTTTTAAAATTAAAAGAGAGAGAGAGAGAGAGCAAAAACAAGCCATTTTTGTATTTTTAAGACTTCAATTCTTATAAATGCAATGAGATCTGACTATATCTTGGGATGGCAATCATAAGGCAATGGAGATATTAAGGGATTCAAACCAAATAATATATATATATATATAAGAAAGTGGTGGTCTAATCTAATGCACGCGTGAGAGTTGTCATTGTGAAATTTAAATCATAATGGAATAATAATCTTACTATCGCTCGCACTATATATATATATATATATATATATATATAAAAGAACATAACCATCCTGCAATATAATGCAAAAAGAAACAAGAGGAATGAATGAATACCTTTCCCAGTCTATGAAGGCCTCGTTCAGCAAGAAGAGATAGAAGAACAATGATGGTGCAAACAACGGCGACAACCCACGATGGGGTATACTCTAGAGACCGAGATTCCTCTGCCATTTCTTGCCACAGATGACAACCCCCAGTAATATGATATAAAATGTGAAGGTGAAACTATATATATATATATATATATAAAGGCAAAGAATATAATAATGGAGTGAAAGGTAAGGAGGAACCGACTATAAAAACACGGTGGCCAAGTAAAGAACAAACTTTAAGTACACTAACTAAACAAGACTAGTATCAACTTGTAAAACGTCCCACTAGGCATAGCGTAGAAGTTGCTCTCATTTATACTTGTGAATGCCTTTTAATTAATTGCATGTGTAAGCCTGTTTTGAAAATCATAATAAGTGGACAATATATGACGTAATTGGACATAACATGTTTATGTATAGAATATATATATATATATATATATATATATATATATATATAGAGGGAAGTAAGTCTTTAAGGTTTCGCTTTAACCGCACTCCTAATTTGAATAGTGCGTGTGTTGTAGGGTTGATATAGAAAAAAAAAAAAAAAATGTAAAAATTAAAATTTACCTGCACTTAATTAATAAAACTAGTATTAACCACCAAATCTTGGGGGAGAAATTAATGTCACATATGTATTTAAATATCTTATAATTGTGCAGAAGCATTTTGTACACTTAATTAATTTCTTTATCTCAATTCATTTGGCCAGACATGTTCACAGATCAAATGAAAAGTGCAAAGTCAAATGTGACTATATATAGGTAGCATTTTTTTTTTTCGATACAATACTGAACGGTCTTACAAAGATTCAATTTCAGTTGAATTTCTATTTATTGATATTTTTTACAAAATGTAACACATTTGACAGTACAAGAATAGGAAGATCGAGCTCAGTATCTATAAGTAATATTCGATATTGTGTCATTATGTGATTTAATCATTGCCGCATTACCTAGTGGCGTGGTGTTATAAGGAAGAATTTGTCCCATATCGAATCCAAATGAAAAAATGTATGAATATAAAATTATAAGTTGGTGAGCATATATGCGACACTGTCCAATATTTTAAATTTTTAGATAAATGTGCAAGCACCCACCTGTTACAGTTAGTATCAGACTAGTCCTTGATCCAATACCAGGCCAAGTGCCGAGCTCTTAAGGCATCCGGGTGAACCCCCTGAGTAGGCAAGGCGGTCCAATCACAACGAGAGCGTTACGAGTTTGAGTGGGGGAGAATGTTACAAAAGAAAACTTGTCTCACATCGGATTCGGATAGAAAAATGTATGAGCATAAATAGAAATATGCAAGCGCCCACCCGTTACACCTAGTTTGTACTTTGTAAATTCCCTAATTCCCCGAATAAATGTATCCTTATTAAAATCTCCCTTCCTAGTTTGTTAGGATAATAAGCACCGTCAAAGGTATTTTGAAATCAAGTAACCAAAGCTCATATCTTTCGATAAAAAAAAAAGTAACCAAAGCTCATGGGTAGGCAAATCTTGCTTCTTTTTTCCCTTCTTTGTTTTTTTTTATTTGAAATAGAACAGAACCTGGTATAACCCTACCCTAAAGAAAGGAACCACCAAAAGTGAGTGAATGTTTACCAGCAAAACTTTGAGGAACAGTATTTGAATTCCTACTTCCTTAACAGATATCCGTAACACTTTATTAAGCTTGGCATGCATAAAACACCGTCCGAAATCGCATTCAAAAGGATCAAAATCACTGGAAACTGCGAAGATCTACCAAATCAACTTCAAGAATTTCAAAGATTTTCCACCATTCTTCCCAACTCTCACCTACTTCTTACCTTGGCTTCGTTATTTCTTTATTTTTTTCATTCATTCATCCCCATTGCAATATGAGGAAAATATTACAGATATGAGAGGGAAGAGAGATGACTATCAAATTTTTTTTTTTTTTTTTTTTTATGACTTTGCAAAAGATAATAATAATTGTACAATGAGCAGAGGCAAAGCGAGGGCATTACCCTCAAATGCCGGTATTGTTTTAATACAACCATTTCCATAAGCAAGGTCATGGAAGTACGCTTCCTGTCCCTGCATCAAAATACCCATAGCTGACCTAACAAGGTATTCTGGGTGCTATTACCCTTTGGCCCCCCTCCAGTGTCGCCTGAAAAAGGATCAGAAGTATACCTGTTCTGAGCGAATTCACTCATCTGAGCTGGAGCATGGGAAAAAAAATATGCGGTAACGCGTCATTTATGTGTGGAAGGCCGAGGTTTTGGTGGTGCATAAAAAGAGTTATTGCTGTCGATTGGGGTATGCATAAGCGGATTCCATCTATCGAATACTATACGCCCTCCCCGGCCAATCCTTCCATGGAAGTTATATGAGCGTCCAGATGTGCCATTCGCCATTGGAGCATCTGACGGAGGTACAATGCCTGCTGCTGCCAACTTTTCTGGATCTAGAGGTTTTGTGAACAGCAAAACGGGCTCAAGCGGATCCTACATTGACCCAAAGTTATAATTTGCATTCAACAATGCATCTATTATGCCATGAAAAAATAAATAAATAAAAAATAAAAGAGGTGAACATGTTCCCAAAGAAACCCTTTTACCCTTCTGATTAGTTTTATGAGTGCCCTAAAAAACGATATTGAACCAGTGACTGCCAAGGTAGCAAACAAAAGTTGCATTTACTTGGGAAAATCTTATTGCAATGGCCCCAACAAACAAAATGGTAGAGCCAAAAGTAAAAAAAGGCAGGGTAATTTGATAAATAATATGTATTTACCAATTTATGAAGCCATCCATACGGGACATGTCGTCTTCTGAACTCCCGTTTCATGCTTCCTGCAGAAACCATCACAAGCTTGGAGTCTGTGAAAGGACGATTCTGCACTGCAGCATGTCGATTATTTGGACGGCTGTTAGCAACATCATCTGAATCGACAAATTCCTCCTCACTTGAACCAAACTTGCAAGGAAAAGATGGCAATCCAGGCAGAGCAAAGCTGTCCTCAAGGAGCTCGGTTTCATGCTGAAAACACGAGAGTCAAAAATTAATCGAAATTGCATTTGCATGGCCCAAATATCAGTTGCATTTGCAATATACGTTGGCTCACTCAAAGATTATGCAGCATTACATTACCTTATATTTCATTTGGATCCTTTGAAGGCTAACTTCAGTCTCCATGACATCTCTCTTTTTCTCTTCTCTCTGCATACAATCATGTTGCCAGAGCATGTGTTAGTAGGCATTAGAACAATGTCATCATAGATATAATGTACAATGAGATTCTGAAACTCCAATAAAAAAGAATGAACACCTTAATCAAAGCCTCAAGTATGGTCTTCGCTTGGTCAAGGTTGCGTCTGACCTGGAAATAGTGAATTAAAAACAAATTAACTAAATTAAAACATCTGTGAAATGATTAATATGATGTGGAATTCTGTGAGATAATGTTAATATTAGAAATATAAACATGACAGATACAACATATATTCCTTCCACATATAACGTATCAGAAAGATTTCTTACAGGTTTCAACAGGCATCATTTAATTAATTTTTATTTTAAAATGTGATGTAGCAATTAACAGAAGTGAGCACATAAATATATGGAAAGAAACATGACCATTAGCATTCATTTCATCCATGTATGCCTTTTTTTTTTCTTTTTTTTTTAAGTAAGATTTCATTAAGCAACCAAATGGGGGACGCAGCACAGAACAACTGCATAAACAAAAACCTATAGCCTTAGGCTATCCACAAAAGACAATAATCTCCATAGATTCACAATATGACACCTGAACCCAAAAGCATAGAGAACAAAGTACAGAAAATTTAACAAAAACACAAACTAAAACAAAAAAACAAGGAGACTACTCCATCAAAGGATCTCTTACCCTCCTTAAGGCCCACTGAAAACGAAGACAGGCAGCGCTCCATGTATGTTGCTGTAACAACCCTCATCCTGACACAATATCGTCCGCTTTTGGCTCCCCCAAACTAGAGACTTACTAGGGGGTCACCCATCCTGGTACTACTCCAGAGTAAGTACGCTTGACTTTGGAGTTCTGATGGGTTCACGGCCATCACGGCTTTAAAACGCATTGTGTCATAAAAGGGTGTTGAACCTTACCTATAGCACTTCACTTTACCCAGACAATGTAGGATAATGACACCCAGTAGCCTGCTAGTGTGGTAGCTCGTCCAATGTCTCACACCTGTCCACAGAGGTCGTCACAATTTGTGTTATTTGGACTTGCCTGTAACGACAAGAGTGTCCGTGTCGACATGACACAAACATGGACACAAGACTCAAGTCGGACGTTTCACTTTTGAGTCGGACACGATTGATCGGCAGCCATTAACAGTGAAGCTCCATGGTAGTCTCTGGTTTGAAAATGGGGTTTCTGCTGTGAAGTTCAGAAAGGTTGAAGGAGGAGTTGTTGAAGAGAGAGAAAGTTCCTTGTTAAACGTGCCATTACTTTTTGATTCTTATAAATATATGATAGGGTAAAGTGCATTAAACCCCCCTCAACTATACCCCAAATGCAACAAACCCCCCTCAATTAAAAATAACCCCTCCAACTATGAATTTGGTTTAGTTTTAGGAAAGAGAAAATTATTCGGACTCTTTTCATTACCGGAAATAGGTAAAGACAATTTTACCCCTTAAATAAAAAAGGTGTGGTTTAACATTCATCTGTAAATATAAAATTGATTAAATGATGTGGGACCAATGTAATAAGAAGAGCCACTAAAATGTGGACACCTATGCAACTTACCACTGACCCATTATCCCTTCCCTTAACCAAACCACCACCATTGTTTCTTCTTAGTTCTTTCCCAACAACAAAATCTAGTGTGTATACATATAAGTAAATGTATATGCATCGTACAGACTACACTTTGTTTGTATTGATCCATGGTTGATCTCTTTAATCCGTTTGAACCAACAAAAAATGCCCTCATTAATCCGTTTGAAATCAAAGTCATAATTTCATGGGTCTCTTCAGAAATTAGCCGCGCCAAGTTTGGAGCCATAATGTAATCAAAGTCTCTGAGAAATTGGAATATGATAATCTACTTTGTGGACCCTAAAACAACATCAAGAAATTCAAAATCAAGAAACACAGAGCAACTCTATTATATATATATGTGTGTGTGTATATATATCTAAGAGAAAGACACCAATTGTCCATTTACTTGTAGTTTGATGGGTTTGGCAATAACCAGACGCAGCCAAGACCAAGTCAGCAACCAGATGCAGCAAATGCAAAAAATGGTGCTCCATTTGAAGTAGTTGATCTCAATGAAGAGATGAATATATTACGAGCCTTGAAGATTCAATTAAGGTGTGGAGCTTCATGGATTTATATACAGAAAAAGGAAATCCATCAATAGCTACAGCGTTCAGACCAGAAAACTTTAGTTAGTGACAAACCGGCTGGAGAAGGTCTGTGATTCAGCTACCCAAACAGCCGGAGAATCTTCATTCTTGAAAAAGAGGTGAGACCTAGGCAGTTGCAGCAACTAAATCAAAGAAACTCACCAATACACCACCAGCGAAGATACAGAGCTTCAGTTATCTACAAGGGGCGAGAGTTTAGAACTCCAGACTGACCCAACAAAGACCATTTCGACCAGAGTTGCATTGAAGATGGGGAAAAGCTCCTACCTAATTACTCCATTGATTCCAGCGAATCTTAGACCAAATTCCGGTGTGTTCCAGATTGCAATAACAGAACTCAATCTCAAAAACCGGTGAGCTCCGGTCAGACCATTAACTAAGAGGGTTTCAGTGAGAGCTTCAGTGAAGACTAAAAGAAACACGTCTCTGCAATTGTTTTTTTTGGACGACGCTTCCTCTGAAAATTCTTGGACGCACAACCCTCCACATTTTTTGAACTATATATATATAATATATATATACATAGGCATATAGAGATAACTATCAGTCGAGCGAGATCAAGGAAGAAATAATGAGAGATTTTTGGGATGACAAGGCTTGTTTGGTGGGGTTTTGGGTCAAGTAATAGAAGGGTGTTATAGTCTTTTAACCTTCATAAGGGTGGTATGGTCATTTAATTAAATTTGAGTCGTCACGTGACAAACATGCTATCAAAATCAGCCCGCGGATCACCAGAGTGGGTAAACTGCAACTAAAATGCGAAGTTCAGGGGGTTGTTTGCTACTTTTATAGTATAGGGGGGTTATTTGCTAAAAGGGTAATAGTTGAAGGGGGTTTATTACACTTTACCCTATATGATATATATCTTATAGTACTCCGTGTAGCGTGCTCACTGTTTTTTAAGCATTCAGATCATCATTATAACTATTATATTATTATATGTGGGTTACATTGTAACCCACTTCCGTTTCACACACAAATACATTGGGTTTGAAAATGGGGTTTCTGCTGTGAAGTTCAGAAAGGTTAAAGGAGGAGTTATCGAAGAAGAGAAAGTTCCTTGTTAAACGTGTCATTACTTTTTTATTCTTATAAATATATGATATATATCTTATAGTACTCCATGCAGCGTGCTCACTGTTTTTTTAGCATTCAGATCATCATTATAACTATTATATTATTATATGTGGGTTACATTGTAACCCACTTCCGTTTCACACACAAATACATTGGGTTGGGCTACTATTTGGGCTTTTAATGGTCTATTGTAAGGGTGTTTCAATTATTGTTGGGCACTTTTGTTTTAGGCTGGCTTTTGGACATTCTCACCTCCATTGTACAATTTCCATTATTTTTTTTTTTTTGATAAGTAAGAATTTATTAAAAACGCTCAAAAGGGGAGCGAAGCCCAAAGAAACAAAAGGGCCAAAGGGCGCCTTAGACTTTCAGAGAGGCCAAGAAAACAATAATTTCCTCCATAGATCTATAATCTCTCCCTGAAACCCAACAAAAAAGAGTAGAAATAACAGAGAACTCAAGCATAGAAACAGGCTTCTTTTTTCCGTCAAAATATCTCCTATTTCTCTCAAGCCAAATACACCACCAGATACAAAGCGGCGTAGCCCTCCAAGCGTCCTTAATGCCAGCCCCAACAGAGACGCCTCTCCAAGCCTCAATCAACCCTCTAAAGGAAAAAGGCATGGCCCAATGGACCCTAAATAATCGAAGCATCAAATCCCAACAATCTCTGGCCACGCTGCAATGTAAAAGGAGGTGATCAATTGACTCCTCATTACACAAACACATGTAACAATGATTAACCACCACCTGATTCCTCCTCCTCAGATTATCCTGCGTTAAAATCTTACCCAGGACAGCGGTCCAAGCAAAAAAAGCGACCTTACGGGGGGCCTTGGACCGCCAAATAGACTTCCAAGGGAAGGGTTCTCCGTGACCAACCGAAAGACATCTGAAAAAGGACCTAACCTCAAAACGGCCTTGCAAGTTAGGAATCCAGAACCACCAATCCGGCTCCCCAAAAGAAATCACCTGGCTATACAACAGCTCCAGAAAACGAGAAACATCCTCGATCTCCCAATCCTGAAAATGCCTCATGAACTGAACATCCCAAGACAGTCTCCCGTTATCAAGATGATAACAATCTACAACCATGGCCTATCGGTGAGAAGTAATCCTATAGAGCCGTGGGAAAGCAAGAGCAAGAGGGAGTTCCCCACACTAAAGATCCTTCCAAAAACTGATCCTCCTTCCATCTTTAATGCGAAAACGAACATGCTTGCAGAAGTCATCCCAACCCTTCCGAATGAAATGCCAAACTCCCACCCCCCTTGGACCACGCATCGCCAGAGAGCACCACCCACCACGACTTTCCCCAAATTTGCTAGCAATAACTCTCCTCCATAAGCAATGCCTCTCGAACCCAAACCTCCAGAGCCATTTACCAAGGAGAGCCTTATTAAAAGGCAACAACCTCCTTAACCCTAAGCCTCCAAACCGAATTGGGCGGCACACTTAATCCCACCGAACCAGGTGAAACTTGAACTCTTCTCCTTCCCCCCCCAAAAAAAGAAAGTTGCACTGCAATCTTTCAATTCTCCCAGCCACTGAAGAAGGAATCTGAAACAGAGATATGAAGTATGTAGGAAGGCTAGAAAGGGTGCTCTTAATCAGGGTAACCCGACCCCCCTTGGACAGGTACTGCTTTTTCCAACCCGCCAACTTCCTCTCGAATCTGTCCACAACCGGATCCCAACTCCCCACACATCTCGAAGGAGCTCCCAAAGAAAATCCTAAATAAGAAATGGGAAAAGAGCCAGTGCAACATCCAAGGATCTGAGCAAACAACTCAATCTCCGAAACATCCCCAACAAGCACAAGAAGACTCTTGCCAACATTAACCTTAAGGCCAGAAACAACTTGAAACCAAATCAAAACGCATCT